ATAGCCATCTATATATGATTGACATTTTTCTTGGTGGCTTTGCAGCAAGTGGTGGACTTTTTCAAGCGAGATATATTGGGCAGCTGCTGGACTGTTGAATGGGAAATTGCCGGGAAGCACAGAATCACCTGCGTTATTCTTGTTCTCCTGGCGGATTATCTCTGAGATCTTGCTGCAGACTGGAATGTCTACACTGTGAGCCTCTGATTTAAGCTGGAATCACTTTTAGCTGCTGCCTTGTGTCCGTCGGACCTATTTGGGATGGATTGCTCACCGTCGATAAGACTTGTTTCCAGTGAGTTGGACCGCGACGCTGGGCATGCCAGGAAGCGACAATATGGTCGGGGGTTTCTCTCACTTCCTGGGAGTGCGTCGCCGAAGAAAGGGTACCATTATCAACCCTGTGATTATATGAACAGTATCTACTCCAGCCAGCACCATGGCACCGTGAGCATGGTAGCTCCCTGTCGCACTTGACCTTTAGTCGATAACACCGGATGCAAGATAGGTGAGCACGACGCCTCTTCTTGACAAGTCGGGGTTCGTTTGCCGCACTGAATTCGCTGTCACCCTCTTGGCACACATGGTGCTTGTCAGATGAACTCGGTAAGGGACATTCTATACTGGATCGTGTCGGGGTTTCGCTGGTCGTCTCGGTGCCCGGCGGTAACAGCTCATCGATTGAAGTTGTCGTTGGCAACTGAAGGCCATATGAGCAGCTGACGGTCGCCTCCGTACATCGCTGACAGGCCGGTTTGGTCTTGTCACAGCGCAATTTCAACTGGCGACAGCGACAGCAGGTCTTGATCTCTCTCATGTTGGGCATGATCCGGCATGAAGCCCGTGTATCGGGCGATGCAAGCACATCTTGAAGAGCTGTTTTTGACAGAGACAAGAACAGAGACGTTACGTCGCAGCGAGATTAGCCAAGACTCTACCACCGGCGAATTTCCGGTGCAATTGCCAAATACCATTCAACCACCCGTGTCTCAATCTATACGACTTGCGCGTTTGGATGACGTGTAGAACGAAAAACGTATGCAATTTTGTCCTGTAAACACGAAAGCACCACCAGCTACTACTCTAGAATTCCTGAATTTTGTCAGGATGAAGCACTGTTTGGAGAAGGGGAGGGTGGAACCGGAGAAAAGACACACTGCCTGCCGTCCGCGCGAGATTTGGTTCGAGGTGCGCTAATCCATCGGGTCATGGGCATTTCAACAAGATATTTTTGACTCTCCTGGCTTGTTGTCAATAAAGCTTCTCTGCGTCAGTAGCAAAATAGTGGTCGGCTGTTTCAACATGTCTTACACCGAGGGATCGTTGGCATTGGTTCCCGAGAAACCTCGTAGAATAGCAGTTCACCGTTGATCTGACAACGGTCGTTGGGTTTCCCGTTTTGGTGTACCTCCAAATTAGCGATCGATGTTTTCGAATTTTCACAGTTCTCGGACGACAGGGAGTGCCCACGATGCTATTCCAGCAGAGCTCAAGGGAGAAAAGGGGTTATTGCGACAGTAGAATTCGTTGGTTGAAAGCCATTGGACAAAGCACGATATTAGGCAGCCTCTTCCTCAGGCACCTTCCTTTTCCGCCTTCTCATTAGATCTACATATGTGGTGGCTTTTTTTCACATGGCTTTTCATGTTTCCCCTCCGATATGGTCGTCGACGGAAATCTGGTTCCTCCCAAGTGCTCTTGGTCCTACGCAGTGCCAGGACATGGGAGTATGACTTGTCAAGGTATCAAGAGAAGCTACTCATCCATCCACGGTTGGTTACATCACCTATTTGTGCCTATTGCAGAATGGATAATATAGGATCAACTCCATCAATGCCCAACACTCAATCAATAGTCAGGGCGTCGGCGCCTCTCACCGCATTGTCAGGTATAACATTACCAGTCTCGCTACTCCGCCTCGAAGCACCAACTTGCAGCTCGTTTCGCAACACCATCCATTTCGAGCCAAGCTTCAAACTCTCTCTCATGCTCTCATCTCCTTTTTCCACCACTGAATACATCCTCAGCTGTTTCATCGCGCTCCCGGACTTCCTTCTCTCCGATGCCGAGTGTGAGCCAGGACCCAATCGCAAGAAATACGCCGGCAAAGCAGAAGTATACCGCCATCCTAACATCGCTGTCTCCAAGTCCGAGGGAAGTCCTTATTCTCTGGGCAAATGTGAAGCTGGCGAGAATCCAGGGACATTGAGTGGATAGGAATGCTAGATTCTGCAGCATAGAATGTTAACGAATCGAGATCGAAATATTGATGTGGATGACCAGCACCACTTTCTAGGACGGAGTGAAAGGAACGAAGGGCATGCATATACGTACCAGGAAAACGAGGACGGCGATCGAGAGAAGGGGAATTGGAGAAGACATCATGGTTTGTTGAAGGTGTGCAACGGCAAAGGAATTTGCAGTTTGAATTCCCCGAGGTTCTTGCCGCCTTTTCTTTAACCACGAGCATCGAAATGGATTTTTGAGAACTCCTGGACGCCGCATGTCCAGGTTATAGTTATCCCCTCGTGCTCCATGAAGCCTCTGGAAATGCTGCAGCCTGTGCAGCCCAGCTCTTCTCACAGAGCCTTTGACTCGGAAGAAATCCACAAACCCGAGCCGAGTCAAGCCGCTTGCCCGACCGGGCGGCTCGCAGCCAATACATTACGTGGATAGTCCTTGGCGATGAAGTGCTGTGCTGGATTTGCAGAGCCTGAGACTCGAGGCTCGAGACCGTGATTCGACGTCTGTGCTGTTGATTATCAAAAAGTTCAAGATGGAGGATGAAGGAAGTCGGGCATAAGCGGGCATCTACAAGAGGCACCGTGTCATGGCGGAGGCAGGGTTCCCCCCTGGCCAACCAGGTCGAACCTCAGCCTCGTTGGTGGAGAACACTGCCTGCGTCGGCCGAGCTTAACGCCTGTTAACAGCCGACTTGGCCCCTGAACCCTCGTTTTCCTAAAACCATTTCGCTCGTTAAGTGAAATCAAGACGTCCGCGTAATCTCTTGTTCTGGGATTTATATGGCTGTAAAGAATGTGGCCAGAGACCGAGTCGTAAGTCAAACGCGTCCAACCGAGGAGGCCAAGTAAATGCGGAGGCTGTACCATAAAATGTATTGAGTAACTACCTGGCACTCTCTTAAATCCACCATATGCAGCCAAGTTTCTATCTGATAGTCTATTGGCACCTGGAAAATGATCGCTAAGCTTTACCTTCTTGCTGTCATGGTACGGCATCTTCCCGTGGCCCTTGCAAACGTTCTAACTGACCAAGTCTCTAGTCCTATTCACCGGTAATCTTTCTCCACCAAGACCTCTGTCAAGTATGCGAAGGTTGTGTAGTCAGTGACGACAGACGCCATGCCAATTTGAGTGTGGGCATTCTGATCTGGGGAACTCGGAGCGTCTTCGTTCAAGAAGAACGCGAGAGTGCAAGGATTTTCGAGTATGATATTGATATATGGGCTTCGGAGAGAGGTTTAGCCCACTACAAGGCCTCGGACGCGTAGCCGACTGAATCCATGCGTTTGTAGAATCGACATTTGCTTGAAGGAATGATGTATGGATTTATGGGCCCATTACCATCAGATTGCCGTTGAATGAAACCATTTGTCCCCGATTTCCCCATGGTGCAGACCGACTTCTTTGTTCCTATAATCTATCAAAGCGAAGAAATTGTGGAATACCTTCGAGCATCCTATGGACATCTCGCAAAAGGTGAAAGAGAGCTGTATTGATGAAGAGTTGCCCGGATGCACCACCTCTATTAACTTGATCGGCCGCGACAGAGAAATTTTCGAGCTCGAACGTCATTTGACACTCCGATCGAACATGTGAATTCTCTGTGGACCCAGAGGCGTTGGAAAGAGCTGGCTTTTACAACACTTTGAACAGTGGTGGACGATAACCAAGTTTGTGGAGCAGCACGCCTCGGTTTCAAGCTCATTTGCGGACCCGTACATTCCTCAATCCTTCTGAAACAGTATCGGGGCTCGGCTTGGTCTGAATTTCATAGCCGGAGACGAGGCCGAGATGAAGTCGAGTATTCTTCGATATTTGTCCAGTCATCGAGTGCTTCTGGCAATTTACGGCGCGAAAGCATTCCCAGAACCTTTGAATGCTTTCCGCCACTCAAGGTAGATACACGCGGAGAAACTAAACAATCCTGCTTCCGGACTAGACATCCTGGATTAAATCAACGAGTCTCTTGACGATATAGCTCAAATACCAGGGTTCCAGAAAGTTGACAGGAATTACCTGGACCACAGAATCTGGGTTGCCAATCGGCGTGCCAAATTGGTGAAAGCGCTTGGCCGAGACCCTTCCAAGGAGTTGAAGTCCCTAAAACAGCTCGTTTCAGAGTGAGAGTCGGGGTGGGCCAAAGAAGACCGTGCTGCCGAAGGGCTTATGAATGCACGAGAAGCGATCGCATTCGCCTCTCAACGCGGTCATCAGGGTGATGATGCGGTCGAAACGAGCCAGGAAGGTTTGTTTCGGCCTCAGCAATACGAGAGGCTCGAAATAACTGAAGAACCCAGACCAGAGCATTCATTCTCTGAGAAGCTTCGCGATGCCACACAGCCATGGCTTGCGGAACTGTATGAGGTTCTGGGTAGGCATGCGGAAAGCATATGGGCCGTGTTGGAGAAGATTAAGACGCCACCGGGTTTTCATTCCACATTCCTTATCAGGGAGGCAAGGTACCATGTCATTTCACTCGTGGCAGAGCTTTGGAGGCCGGAGGAAGGTCTGCAGTCATAGTGATTAGTATATAATGCGCATGAATCGGGGAGGGAAGCTTTCCAGCTGTGTCAATGCTGCAGACTCGTGGGCGCCAAGACGCGAGGTATCGTTGGCCCGGGTTGATAGCTCACCCGCATAGGGCGGCGGCGCCCTCCTCCCGGTCAGGGTTAGGCGCGGACAGATTTCCCAGCGGCTGGCATTTGGAGAAGCAAGGCTGAGGCTGGCGAGGCTGAGGCTACGTATCTCCTCCGTCAATGCATGCCCAATTCTCAAAAAGATGTTCCACTGAACCTTTGAGGATCCCACTGCGCCCATCACGTCAAGTCTTTAGGCCGCAACAATGCGTCTGCTTTCATTTCTGCCACAGGCTCTGCTTCTCTGCTGTACGCTAGGCTCGTTAGCCGCAGCAGCCTCCACGTGGACTTTCGCAGACGCCTCTCTGAGCGTAACCAGCAAAGGGTCCGCAGCTGCAAAGGATGGAGGAGTTAAAGAGAAGTAGGTCCTAGTCTCTGCGACTGTTGACTTCATCGACACTGTGTACATACATGGAAGAGCTCGATTACTGACTGCTATCTCGTTACCCAACATTCAGACTCACCCCCTCCCAACCGCTCTCCAAACCCATTCTGCTCGGCTCCTCCGACACTTTGAAGATTACACTCACAACGCAAGAGGGAAAGAGCGCCAAAAGACCGCATCAGGCATTTCTGCTGCTACAAGACCAAGAGGGGAGACTCGACGTTTCGTATCCTTTCAGTGTGAAGGAGTCCGGAAAAGCAAAGGTCGAAGTGGTACGTGTGATTCGTTCAGTGCCCAATATGAGAGCAAGAGAGGGAGAGCAGGGGCGGGAATAGTCACATCCAGATTAGGCACCGCGGGCTATCCTGACTTGTTACTTTGTCTACCAAACTCAGTCGATGGAATGAGAGAAACTAACAGTTGGCTCGTGTACAGACACACAAAGATCTCCCCGTCCAATTCCTCACTTCCTCTCTCGCGACAAACAGTACACCGGGGCTCAGCGCATCCATCATCATCGCCTCCTTCAGCACCACCCCAGGCTACAACTCTCCGGCCTTCACCCTCCAAGTCAAGACGGATTCAAACACCCCCGTACCAGCAGCAGAGAAACCACTCCGATACGGCAAGCTTCCAGAAATCCACCACATCTTCCGTTCTGACCCCAAGTCTCCGCCCGCGATCATCAGTCTGGTATTTTTGGCCGCTGTGGTGGGAACCCTACCGTTGTTGGCGGGTGCTGTACGTTGTCCCTTGTCCCATATTCCATTCCATCACAGCTCCCACCCACATACTCTGTCTCCTCACACTTCAATCCCTCTGCTTTCATTCCTCCACATCTTCTAGGAAGGATCACTACTAACCTCTCCCCCTTTCACATCTCGACAGTGGCTCGCCCTAGGACTGAACCTCTCTTCCTTGCCCAAGGCCTTCTCGGCCTCCCCGATATCGCACGCCTGCTTCGTCTCGTCGATCGCGGGCATCGAGTTCGTCTTCTTCCTGTACTACACGAGCTGGAATCTGTTCCAGACCCTCCCCGTCCTCGGCGTCTTGGGCGTCACGGCGTTCCTGAGCGGGAGTCGCGCCCTGACAGAGGTCCAAGAGCGGAGGTTGGCGGGGACTAGATAACAAATGGAATGAGAGGGGAGGAGGAGGAGGAGATTGAGCTCATCTGCAACACGGCCACACGGCGGCACGGCCACCTCCTTCCACAGCAGACAGATGATCGGAGACGGGGATGGGGAAAATGGAAAAAAGGAAATATAAAGAAAAGGGGTGAAGGAACCCTTGGAAGGGAAAAGGCGCATGGATAGAACAATCACTGCGGGAAATATCACACCCGAATCGAACCAAAACCAAAAAACAACCAAAAATGAGCCATCAAGATCCAATGCCCCCTCCATGCAGGAAAGAACACTGCATCTACATACCTGCACACGTTTACAAGCGTATATATACACTGTGTACAGAGCGGTAAGGAGGATGAGTCCGTGAGCTGGTGAATTGAGCCCGTTGTGAGAGAGGACAGTGTATGCGCCCGTCTACCGCACGACCACACTACCTTCGTTAGGTACCTATCTATCTACAGCAGCACAGAGCCCAGCCCTTCAGCCGTCCGGTATACCCGTTGTGATTAGGTCGGGAGTATATATGCCACACACTCTCTCTCGCACACTATGGATATATGCGCTACGCAGCCCCCAGTTCATTGGACCGTTCACGGCTCTGAACACCATTGTTCCCCGAGTTGGGGTACACGCGTTCGGTAATATCTCACGCCTCCATGCTCAGCAGCGATACGCTATACTGCCCGGTAAGGCTGATTTGCGCCTAATAAATCAAAGATGCAAACTCATCTTCCCCTCTTCTAGGAGACTTGCATGGCCGGCACTCGGTTAAGCATATTACCTCTTATATTTTCCTGCTAGACTAACATTCTGGAGTCTCATGAATATACATAACACCTCCTTGAATGTTGATCATTAGTGCCATTGAATCCTGCAATGGTAACCTATGCTTCTGGAATAGCCATGCTTGTCAACACGCTGTCCTATATGCTGTAAGTCGACCCTGCTGTGGCGGAACTCCGACGTCCAATGCTTGCGATATATTCTGATACTCGATTCCCGGCTGTTGAATACCAACCCCCAATGCTTTTGATGAAATCTCATATTCGACGTCTCTCTCAAGTCCCTTGCGTCGACATAATCTGCCTCGCAATCTTACTGCGCGCACGAATCTTCTCACCGTTGAATAGAAGCACCCAGGGCACCACCGTTAACAAGGCGGCAATACCTCCCAGCAGACTGGCAGCCGGCGGATAATCCAGATTGTTGAACATTTGATTCGTGAACAGCGGGAACACGGCAGCGAAGATGTTCCGCATAAAGCTCTGGGCAGCCAATGCTGACGAAGCATAGCGATGGTAGACGTCAGCCAGATAATTGAAGACGGCCAGGTAAATGACGAAGATGCCCATCTGTGCACATCCAATGGCGAGGACTGGTGATATCCAAGGAATGGAAGAATACGTGGTCCATCCGAACCAGAAGAGGCCGATCGGTAACAAAGCCCCCTCAAGACAAGGGAAATACAGTCTTCCCTCAGGGCTGCTGTTGAGTTTGGGCCATCTCATCTTCGCCAGCTTCTCCTGATAAATCGATAACACGGTCGCCAACACAGATCCAATGGCGATGGCAGCGAAGACTCCTCCGCTCTGCTCGACGTTGAAGTTGTGGCGAGTCTGAAACACCAGGGGGATGACGGAGAATGTCATGTACAGCAGAGCCCAGGCAAAGGCTACCCACAGTGAAAAGAAAAAGACGACGGGTTCTGTGGTGAGGAGCTTGAAAGGAATCGTCAGTGACAGGTACAGCATGTGGGCAAGCGAGGATCGGCTTTCATCCGCTGCAACTCTGTAGCGGATACGGGTCTGTGGGCTTGGCTTCTCGTCAGAAGAGCTGACCGACTCTTTCTCGACCTCATCGAGGTATGCATTCAATACCTTCGCTCGACGGCTGAGGAGTACTGAACCCCGTGTCTCTTTGAAGAAGAGGTACACAACGACCAGCATGATCCCAAGAGAGATGATCTGATGATAATAGATCCAGCGGAAACTAGCGCGACCGACGATGAAGCCAGAGACAAGTGGTCCCATGCCAGTGCCTGCAAGTGCCGCACCGCTGTATATGGCCATTGGCGTATTCCGATGTTCAGCATGATACAAGTCAGACATGACGCCTCCAACCATAGTCGCAAAAGTGCTGGCCCCAGCCCCAACGAAGAATCGAGCTACCAGCATTCCGCCGAAGGACGGAGTGGTTGCGCAAGCAATGAGACCCGCCAGGAACATGACTGCAGAACCAATGAAGACAGGTCGCCGACCATTGATTTCCGAAAAGGGCGCAAGAAACATGGGGGACACAGCGAAACCTGTCGCCCATGTCGTGACGCCAGTGTTGAAGGCGACTTCAGACAGGTGCCATTTCTCGCGTTGCGGCTGCGCAGCAATGGAATAGGAACCGGCGCTGTACGCAGCAAGGAAGGTACAGCCACATGATAATATCAAGATGATGGTCTTGTGCGTGGTGGACCAGGTGAGTGGTGATTCATATTTTTTGAGATTCGGCGGGGGTATTGACGATGCGCCAGACGAGAAGTCGTCGAATGGGATCTGAGTGTCAAATGTCAGGTAGACATATGTGGTGCCATCCTCAGTCAGTGTATCGGGAGGACTCGTGCTTGAGCGATGAGAAGGAGGTTCCAAGATCGGAACGGGTTCTTCGGAGGGTGCTAGGCTGTCCGTGTCTGTGGTGGTTTCGACCTTATCGCTGGCTCCCGGTGGCGGCGAGGGCCTCGATTCTCGGACGATGATTTCCCCCATGTTGGGCTTGTTTGGATCAGGAACGACTTGAGAGATTCACCCTCATTGTTTTGGCTCTCCCTCTGACTTATGGCTTGGGAGTCTTGGGGTCCCGGTGTGTACGCTGAGGGGGAGGTCAATGACAAACCCAGGGCCGGTCAGGAGCGTATTTGGAGGGCGTGAAAAAAAGAGCCGACTCGCTCGAGGCTCCCTTCCCTCCAACAGGATATCGCCTCTTGCCCATGGTGGCTGCCCGCCACCGTCACTGACCGGATAACGGCAGCGGCTACTGCCCACCGCGGAGGGCGATGTATCCCCGAGACGGATGATGGCACCATGGAAGCATATCGCACGCGCATCCTGTCCTCAGAGGGTCAAACAAAAAGTTTTTTTACTGCTGGGCCCTCTCTGACCAGTCACAGAGCTCGGTGGGAAGCGGTGGTTTGACCGAACGGACACATGCGTCGAGTCGAGCGCGCGAATCTGCGGAATTGGGCCTCGCTTCTGTGGCCCGGTTGCATCAGTTGCCAGTCAGATGGGCTTTTTCCCCTGGATCGTCACGCTGATCGGTCCATGACTCGGTTCGTGGGATGGGAAGGGCGTGGGATGACGGAATCACCGAGATACGGCCGGCGTCGTCGACTCCAAAATAGCTGCGCTCTCATGTCATTCCTCTCCGCGCTCAGAGGGAGGAAGGTGTCACACCTGCCTCGGGGATGATAATAGAGGAGAGGTACCAGCGTAAAAGGGGGATTGGTAATGCCAAGTGACGACTCCAGCTCTATACGAAGGCAAAGTCATGTGGAGGTGAGGATGCAGCTTGACGGCGGACGTGGTGAGGGTGAGGGTGAGGGGGTGGGTGGCGCAGGTGGCATGAGCTTCTCCACGCTGCGCCAGCCTTATCAATTTCAGGGCCGCACCAACGCGCCCTTCAGCGACGCTATATCGTTTAGGTGCTCACCAATGCTGCCGCCTCCTTGCCACACATGAACTCAAGGCTGTTCGCTTATTCCTCCAAACGAGGAAACAGCGCCTCGAAATTATTACCCAAAAGATGGTCGGAATTATGCCAGGCTTTTGATTTTCAGCCTCGATCGCTCCCACTGCATGGTAATGATCATCATCGATGTACAAATGGACCCCCCGTATTGCTTCATGAACCCTAGCCATCATATGCAGGACATGCACCCCTGAATGCCACTTTTGTGTATATCCTGATCCTGGATTGCCCACCCAAAAACTGATCCTGACCCTATTTGCATCCAACACGTGTCGAGGAAGATTATCCAACAAAGCATATACACCTGGAAAATAGTTTACAGAGAGTGATAGCCCATTGCCGCTGCAGCGAGAGCAATAACCCACCTGGGCAAGAGCTTAGAGCCCCCGCTTTGCAGGCTCACCGCCTGGAGAACTGGCTCAGGCTCGTAATTAGCCGGCTGTGTCGAATTGAGCGAGCCATCCCAGCAGAAGCGGTTGAAGCAGCTCGTGCACGCCTCAGGTACCTCGGTGTTGGTGCGTTCCATACTGCGGCTCAAGATCGCACAAGCCACGCAGGTAGGCCAAGTGGCGTCCCGTGTGCCGTTGGCCATCGTGGCAACATCCATCCCATTGAGTATAATGGCATCCCGTTGGGTGTTGTTGGTCGACAGCTGGAAGGTTGAGATATTGCTGAATGTCACGTACGGCGAATTCGGGATATAGACGACCAGTGGCGGAATATTAGTGCCGCCCGTGAAATTGGACGTATCGCAGCCAAAGAAAGTCGGACGCGAGTTGAGGCCCAGATTGACAAAGGTGTTGACATCGGGGACACTTGGGAAGACTGTGCCATTCGCAATGGCGCTCAATGACCGTTCATACGTGGCCACCATAGACGTTCCATTCGGCCAGTTGAAGCTGGTATCGGCCGATGAGTCGACTGCAAAGATGACGTCCACGTGACGGTTGGGTTGGATAAGCGGGTGAAGGGGCACATTCTCCAGGTCTTCCCCGCCATCAACGAGCGTGAGCCGCGACGAATTGGCCGAAGGATTGGTGAGCGGGTTATATCGATAGAACGGATTGGGTGTATAGTCAGCAATGTCGTTGCTATCGTCACCCAAATCCGTCAGGATATCTGCGACGAGGTTCTGCAACGCATCTGGAATCCCAGTTGCATTGAGATTCAAGATGAATTGGTTGAACAAGCTAGATGACGTTCCCATAAGGAAGCCAGCATTGTCGAAGCCTACCACACACTTCTTATTCGCCGGCACTCGGCCTGCTGTCCAATTGGTGCCCAAATGATTCATTGGGACGAAGCCAAAGGAGGTGGGATCCCAGGAGCCCATCTCATATGGGTTGAACTCGTAGATGGTCGTGTTGGACGGGATCAGCGTTTCCCCCGGTGCTCGTGAGTCGGCAATAATGATGGGATATGGGGTGTCGGCTTTCAAGAAGGGTGCCGAAATGCCAATAGAGGACCAGGTGTAAGCCGGGCCGCCCTCGGTGGCATTGATCAGTTGGTACGAAAGGGCCCGACCCCAAAGATCGGTAAGGGACGTGTTGAACCCGACGTCTGACTTTCCTTCGACATCGCTCACCAAGTTGGCATAATATTCGGCCGTGTTGAAGATTTGGAGTCCGCTTTTCTCGGGACCTTCAATCACACTGTTGCCGAATTCCCACACCGAACCACTCGTTTGCGCCTGTAGTGCCCCGACGGTCGTGAAGTTGTTCATGAAAAGGGACCCAACTAACCATGATCCTCCACTCAAGCCCGACAGGTATGTCGCCGACTGGAGCAGACCACCAAGCTTGCCCTTGGCGTTGTTGTCGGCGGTGCGGGAATCAAACGCCTTTATCGCACCCGCACCATTCATCAGTGCTCGCCAACCGCCTCCCGACACGGCAATGCCGATGTTGGGTAGAGCGGAGACATTATGGGCCACCTGATCGATGTATCGCGTCGCATTAAACCCTTGGATGTTCAATCGGCTCAACAAGTTGCGCATGGGGGCAATAGTGTTATTCCTGCGCTTCTGTAACCATTGGGTCTCGTTTGGCGAAAGGGAAGCAGCGCTTCGAACCACAGGGGCATTGGCAGGGCAATTCTGGAAGGTCGGAGTGTATCCTTTGGGCGAGTTGGGCAAGGCCCGTCGCAGGTTCTCGACAGCGACCAAGGTGTCGACGTAGTCATTTTCGAGTGGGATGGCGTGTGCTGCGAGGAACGTTAGATCTCGAAGACAGAGGCCATGGGGGTATGGGACTCACCATCCACACCGGCCGCGACAGTACTGGCAATGATAGCTAGCAGAGCGAACTTCATAATGGTAAGTGGTCCAGGTCTGAGAGGGATACAACACACCACAGACAGGGAAGATACAAAGGAGAAGAAGGATAGGAGCGGCAGCCTATTTCACCTTCACAAACGCAGTCACCTGGATGGATGGCGATGCTCTGTGGATTATCATACCGTATCACTACCCGGCTTGCATGGATGAATAGGATGATATTAGTAGTATGTTACTGAAGTGAGCAGTAATGGCGAGCTGAAGGCATTTCCACATTTTTGCATGGCGGGAAGTTTGGAGTGTGTTCGTGTCTTGGGTGGAATCAGGCCATGATGTCAAGGATCCAGACCAAATCACACGCTTCACTGCCACCAGGGCTGCAGGATTGATGATCAGTACAACCAGTCAATTCCCTCGGCCAAGGACGAGGCCAAGTGCTGAGCTCTTGTTCCATCCGGTCGATCCGTTGTGCAGGCAAGATGATGTTGTTTTGGGGGCAGTGTTTGAATGGGGAGCAATGCCTGGAACGAGTGGAAGAAAAAGGACGAACAGGAGCCAGACGGAGCCATCGCAGCAATACGGGAGTTGCGTGGCCGCCACACCAGAATGGGCGGCGCGGTGGCTGACTGCGGTTAGCGGATTGGGTTTAACTGGCTGGTGCCTGTAGGCGGCAAGGCGCCAGAACAAGGGGGGTAATAGGCACCTGCCTAGGGCCCAGGGGGCGTCGATAAACTCAATAATAGGCTCTTTTTAGCGGCTGACTCCCGAGATCCTTTGCACACCTCGAGGCCCCGAGGAGACGTCGCGGGACTGGTGGGATGGTCCTTGCGAGTCCCCAGCGTCCGGAGATAGCACTCTATCAGGCATTTCCGATCATAACGCAATTTTCCCTTATGCTCCTACATATCCAGTCGCATAAACAGTTCGGTATCGAGCAGGGCCGCGTGCGAGTACTGTTACATTCACACACCATGCCTACATCCGAGTACGGAGTACATACGTAGCATATGCTGTCTCCCGGGTCATTCTCTGTAGCTCACAATCTTGCCAAATGTGTCGGCCATGCCCCAGATCCCGGACCGCAGACAGGTCAACTGCACAATCTGCGAGTGGTCCACAAACAGGTTGACATCGATGCCGAATTCGCGGACGTACCAGTTGAACACCGGAGGATCCGCGGCCTCAAACATGACCTTCTCCTGGGGCAGGTCTCGCAGGATGGCCTGTATCACATCCGTCCGCCAGCTCTTCACGTTCTCGGTGATTCCTTCGCTCTCAATCATCATCCGTTCGACGCCCGCTTCGATGAACTTTTTGCCTAGATTGACCACCTTGCTGGGATCGGATGTGCCCGTGGCTTCCAAATCCTCTGCTGATGTGTCACCACCGGCCCCGAACTGGATGCCCAATTCGGGCTTCGCCTTCATCCCCATGCTGTGTACCTTGTCCACCAATCGCAACCAGTCGTCGGGGGGGAAAGACAGGAATCCTGATGAGATCTCAATCACGTCGAAGCCCAGGTCCTTGCACTTCAGCAGGTACTTCTCCACCGTCGTGTTGGAGTCGGGTTGAGTCAAGATGTGTTCCATCCACCCTCCGGTACTAACATACACGTCGTGTTCGTGAGCCAGGTCAATCAGCTCTCGGACTCGCTCTTCAGGCATCATCGAGAAGCTGCCGCCGGCGAACTTGAGTCCATCGACATGGTATCCCATGGTTTCCAAGACGTCCTGGAGGTGACGCTTCCCATACGATGAGTAGTATGGCCCTCGAATCTCGGTCACGCCCTTGGTGCGAGGCTTGGGTGTCCGGGGGTTGTGCCGTATGAAACCAAATCCATTCTCTTTATCCTGCAGAAGTGTCTGCACCTGACTGTGAACTGGACTCGTAGACAAGAGGCGGTGGGTTCGCGGTGCTGGTGGGAGCAACAGGGCAGGTCTGGCAGATTTGGGGAGCAATCTGGTCACGCTCTTCGCTGCCATTGTGAGAGTTAGAATGATGTCTCACTCGAGTCTTCTACTGGAGCATGGAAGCGGTCTGGTCCAGATGAAGCGTGACCGATGGTCGAGGATGGAGGGAGTTAAGTGTTCCTTCATTCTTGCCCAGAGTGAACTCGTTCTGCAGGAGACTTTCGAGTGCCTTTACATCAGGGCTATGTCGATCATGGTGACTGCCACGCAAGCCTCACTCTTTGGAGGCCGTTATAAGGCCATAGAAGATAGCACGCGAGGCTGCTAAGAGGAGCATCGTTTCCTAAACAAGGTGCACGCCAATCACCGGAAGTGAGACCCGGGGACCATGACGCAAAGTTCGTCTTGAACAGCAAGTTGATATCTCGATCGAGCAACGACTACGACAGCATTCTCCTTGTGCGCCACAGAATATCAGGGATACCTTGGAAAAGATAAGTCTACACTGGTCCACGGACCAGAAGAGGGGTTGAGCCGTGGCATTGGAACGGTCGGATCAAAGGGAGCCCAGCCTTGCGCAGTCGGAGCATGAATTGTACAAGTTTTCATCCCTTAGATCTCGGTCACAAAGACACCACTCGCTGATACGCTTCAAGTTCTCTCAAACTCTTCTCCAACTGTGTACCCTCTTGCAACACCCGTCCTTCCTTCCTCGATGACATCACCTAGCTCTGCTTCATCTTCCTCGTATTTGACCTCGAAATCGCTACCCAAACCGCGCCAAGAGCGGTTTTGTGCAAGGTATTCGGCAGCAGGGGAGGCGACACCGCCCACCGTAATCATGGTGCCGCCGGATCGTTTGGTCAGTGCAGTTGAGAGTCTCGAAACATCGTGGGCGTTGGGGTTCGGGATGGACATGGACGCAATTGGCTGTCGAGATCTCTGCATCGGCCGTGTACGGGAGACGTATCTGCCCGTCCGGAGATCAAACTCAGGCGGCTCAGATTCTGAATCTGAATCCGTGTCAACCTCGCCTTCGGGGTTCCCGTTCATATCACCAAATCCATTTGACATCCCGGTCTGTCCCTCTCCATTCTCCTTGCGCCTCGATGCCTCCTCTAAGACCCCATGGAAATCGCCCCTCCATTGCCCCGTCCACACTCTCTGATCATCTCCTTTTAAAACCATCTCCAACTCGAAAGGAGTAATTATCGGTCTGTAAAACTCCTTGCTGTCGACTAAAGAACTCTCCCAGCATCCAATCACCACCCAGCCCCCTATTTCTGAGAAATTTGCCAGTTTTGCGGGATTGAGTTTCCCGACAACAAAGAGATACGACTTTTTCCCCGCGTTAGAGATTAGCGATTGAATGTGGACTAGGATCGACAGGTAGTTCTTGACGGACAGCGTGTTGATGAGGATCCCCCAAACTGGGACGGTGGTGAGAGAGGTTACAAGGGCGTAACGTCGGCGGAGGAGCTGAGCCGTAGAAGTCTCCAAAGAGGACGAGCTGACCGCAGAGCTCGATGGGTGGTGCGCGGCATCGGTGGAATAGACTCTTAAGCTGGCCATGCGTGATTGAAGTGTCAACAGTAGGGACGTAGGTGGATCGGAGATATGAAAAAGATGCCATTCTGACAGGGATGAGGGGTCTTCCGTGACCGAGGGTGGCACTGTCCGATTCGGAATTGATGAAGACGGATCGTGGACAATCGAAGCAGCAAACAAATTCGAGTAACCCACGTTTTGCAGCATCTCGACGAGTGGCAGGACATGCGCAGCGTAAGGGACGTCAGCAGTTAGCACCACCTTTCCACCGAGATCTGGAAATGCCGTTTGAAATGACTTGACCACATGGGTTGTTTCCAAGCCCAACGTAGTGTAGATGTGCAATACGGGTAATCTCGAAGTTGGCGATAGGCAAGCCCTGCCATAGTGGACGACAGCATCTGCATTGACATGCTCTGCAGCAATCTCGTCCACGCAACAGGAGCCATAGGAAGTGTCGCCCAGTATGGTGAGCATGACTGGCTTCGTGTCCTCGATGGAAAGCCCAGACAAATCAGGATCACCCGAATTTGGACTTCCACCGCCTGTGCCATTCGTGTCCGTTCCAGCCGGCGTCTTTGCTTGTTCTTGCAATCCCCTGGCCAAAAGCTGGTAGACTCTTGCTGAGTGGGCTAGCATCTGGTCAGGGAACTGCAGTGCCACTCGCTTCCATCGTCGCTGCTTGATTTCGTTGACTGTTCTATTGATCTCATACCTTGTCTTGATTTGTTCGTCGGACAAGGCTTCTGGCGGACGCTGTGCAGCCTCTGGAAGAGTCTCTTCCAAGATATGTGTATCGGGCGTGGAGAGTACAGGCGCCGCCGAGAGTTCTTCCGCCATCCCGCAGGGTCGGCAGCCTGGCTTTCTTACTGCGGCTTCCCACAACTCTGCCCTTAGGAGCGTCGAGAGTAGTAGTAAGAGCGATGCAGAGGATAATCACCAGGAAGAAAGGCGCAAGAGAAAACCTCGACCGGAAACGAGGCTAAGTTTCTGTCAGGTGTGGCGATGGTGCCGCTTTTACCAAGTGTCATGGGTCAAAGGCCAGGGCGGACAGCCTCGTCGATGCCATGTCTTTGAGAACGGGCTGCACGGTCTCTAGTGGGTTATTGTCGACTGATGCTAGGGCAGAGCCAAAGATTACATTGAACTTCATTCTGCTCAACAAGAATGGAGTGTTGATATGCCCTCCGTGGTCTTGGACCAGATGTCTTGGCATCAAAAATGCTTAGTCAACCACCGATCGAGGGAATCGACTTTTGCAGCCCTCTCTTGGTCTCCTTCCAAAACCCTCATCACTCTTTGCCATCTAACGGCTGCGCCCTCTCCAATCATGTCTTTCGTCCTTGAAATATACCACGCTGTTCAAGCCTGTGGCAGCGTCTACCTGGGCTTGCTATCGGCCATGGCAATCTACAACCTCCGTCAATGGGAACCACAAACTGAAAGTGCGTCACGCTATTCAAACACGGCTACGCGACAGCTTCACAAAACCAGAACCACCCAAGCTAGTGGTGTGCTAGCTGTAAGCAGTTGGAAATTCCGCTCTTCTATCATGTCAGACACTGATATTAACTGACCAGACTCTGTCCTCATTTGTGTCGTCGGTAATTCTCGTTGTCGCCGTCTCGTCCGGTCGCAACACCATGCCGTTCTTGCTCAGTGCCGCCAATGCCGGCGGTCTGGCTCTGGCATACAACCACATTGCGAATTTCTGGCGTAGCAGAGCCACCGTACCTCTAGCCTCCACCTACAATGAAGGCGTCAGATCCACGAAGCAGATGCTACAAGCTCTGGGGGTGTTGACGATTAGCTGGGCGGCGTCCACGGTGATATACCTGTTCAGAGCAATTCTTTACTGAGAAAAAGCCGGAGCCCACGACTCTTCTGGCGCGAGGGTTTGTCAGCTTTATGAAACATATTGCAGTGACCATCGGATAATGCCCAAGGCGGAACTTCTCCTCACGCCTTTGGGCTCGTTTAGGTGGTGGGGTAAGAAGCACTGCGCCCAGAAAATTGGGTGCATCTGCCGGTAATGCCCCACGGGGACCTCGACCACCAAGAATCCCCTTTCCGATGCCTGTGGACTGCGGTTGATTCCGTTGCGCTCGCTCAAGGTAAAAAGACTGCGGGGCCTCTCTCAAACGAACCCAACTCACTACACCTCCCCTCGATTGGATTCCTCTCTATCTTTCGACTACGACTCCGAGAGCCTCGCGAATCGTTTCACTCTGCAGCCTTTGGCGTCCAAAATAAAAGTCACCAATCTCATTCCTGTCTCAATGGATCCTTTCGAGTACAACGCCAACCCAGGCCGCGTGGTCTTTGGCAAGGGCAGTATTCAAAAGCTTCCGGATGAAATCAAACGTCTAGGTTTCAAATCACCCCTTATCCTCTCTACTCCTCAGCAAGTCAGTCAGGCGGAAGACCTGGCAAAGATCCTTACCGCCGCATCGATTGAGCCTGCCGGCACCTATACGAATGCTACCATGCATACTCCCTCGCACGTCACCGAAGAAGCCATGGCCTTCATTCAATCCAAATCCGCAGACTGTGTTGTATCAATAGGAGGAGGTTCAACAACGGGATTGGGGAAGGCAATTTCAGTCCGCACCGGTCTACATCATATCTGCATTCCGACCACCTACGCCGGAAGTGAGATGACGCCCATCTTGGGCGAAACGCAGGACGGTCGCAAAACCACGCGGACCGATCCTAAGATTCTTCCTGGCACGGTCATCTATGATGTCGACCTCACCATGACCCTTCCCGCATCTCTCAGCGCTACGTCAGGAGTAAACGCAATCGCCCACGCTGTGGAAGCGCTCTACGCGAAGAACAAGAATCCAATCATCTCCCTTCTCGCTCTCGAGGGTACCAAAGCCCTCGCAGAATCCCTCCCGGAGATCATCCAGAACCCTCAGTCCCAACCTGCTCGGGAAAAGGCTCAATACGGCGCCTGGCTATGTGGTGTTTGTCTCGGATCGTCGTCGATGGCCTTACACCATAAACTATGCCACACGCTTGGCGGCTCCTTCAATCTCCCCCACGCCGAAACCCACACTATCGTCCTTCCTCATGCCCTGTCCTACAACGCTCCCGCCATCCCAGAGGCGATGGAGAAGCTTGCCTCTGCCCTCCCCGGCAGTGAAGGCGATGCCACCAACGGACTGAACATCCTGCTCGAGAAGTTGCACGTGAAGCGTGCGTTGAAGGATTTTGGTATGAAGGAGGAGGATATCGATAAGGCCGCCGAGATTGCAGTGAGCAATCAATATCCAAACCCGAGGAAGGTGGAAAAGGGCCCGATTAGAGAGCTGATTAGAAGAGCGTGGGCCGGGGAGCCGGCTAGAGCGGATCTATAGAGAGGGACAGAGTTGGTCATATCTGCAGTCGTGTCTGTGGTAGACTGCGTTCGAGAAGGCCGCTATCTAAGCCTGAAAGTGTATATGCACATACCACCACCGAGCATGATGTTTTTTGGTCATGCATTATTTTCTAGACCTCGGAATTTTCCGAGTGCCTTCCATTTGTTCCGTGTTTACTTCTATTGTATGACCAAGCTCTACAGGAGAGATCCAAATCCTTTCAAACAATCCCTCGCTAGCACTATACCTTTTTGTCTATAACCCGCTCCAACTGGACAACTCTGGTGTAATGTGTTGGGCGCCCGGGCCACGCCCGCGAGGCTACGGTAGCTTTCGGGCCCCTTTTTGGCTGCTTCCGCAGATATTCCGTCTCTTCCTTGTCTATACACATCACTCATTCCTCCGCCGTCCCATTGACGATGCCATTACCAGTTCCACGAGAATCAGCATGCTTCCGGCTGTCCTCCTCCTCCTTTCCGGGCTCGGGGATCCAGCGGCTGACAACCGTGAAACCCACGGCCAACGCGACCATCAAGATCCAAATCACATGCCCGCCGAGCACACGGCTCCGCACACTGGCGGCGAATAAGCTGGCAAACAGCGCAGGGGAGAAGGCCCGTATACCGCTCACTAGCGTCAGCGCCACGGCGTTCAGAGTGCCGAGCACCTCGGGCCCCGGCGAGACGTCGTTCAGGACGAGCTGGATCGCGGTGAAGGACATGGCGACGCCGCTCCCGAACGCCAGGGAGATGGGGGCGATGGTCCAGAACGCCGCCATCACGTGGTGCCGCAGCAGCAGGTTGCAGACCGGGTACAGAGCGAAGAAGACCGGGTAGGCGGTCGCGCAGAGCACCATAACGCGCTTAGTGCCCCAGCGGGCCTGCAGCCAGGGGAACGCGATGAGGAGCCACAGCGACTGGGAGAGCCCGCCCAGCCCCATGAAGAGCGAGATCAGGAAGGGCGAGAACCCGAAGCCGCCCAGGTGCACCGGGGTGAAGAAAAAGACCGGGAGGATGGCCGTGTAGGAGAAGGCCAGGAGCATGATGTGCGCGTATATATACAGCGTGATCGGGACGTTAGGAGAGCGGAGGAGGGCGAGGATGGACATCTCCTTCTGGGGGCCGGCGGACGACTTCTTTGGAGACCGGACGAGTGTCTGAGGCAAAAAGAACTTGTCAGCTTCGGTCGCGCCCTGCGAAGGAGAGGGGAGCGGAATGGACATCCTCACTTCTTTGATACCAATGGCACTGGTAATCGTTGCAACAAGACCGATTGAGCCTGATACGAATGTGGGTAGCGCATATGGGTACTCGTGGAAGAGCTTGATATGCCCAAACACAGATGGGTATTCCGTCGCTGGGTTTGCGAGCGCGCCTCCTACCACAGTTGTCAGCAGCCTCGCGGGCCGGCCGAGGACAGCTTACCGAGTAATGGACCTAGAAAGATGCCCAGGTTGCCGGTGAAGGCAAAGAAGCTAAATGCTCTGGCCTGGGTCTTGTGCGTGCTGTTCTCGGTGATCATCGTTCGGATAGTCCTGCACGCACTGTCAGCGAGGCTTCAGGAGACGATGGCACCAGCATACACAATCGTCCCCGCAAACACGCCAGCGAAGCATCTGAACAGGACCATCTGCCATATTGACTTGCTCAGTCCGAAGATGGCGGTTGCGACGGCCACGCCGCCCAACGAGCTGACGAGGACTGGTTTTCTTCCAAAGTGGTCGGCGGCTTTGCCCCAGGGAATCATGAGCAGCATTTGCGTCAGCGAAAACAACGACTCCTGCGCGCATCGTCAATAAGTGTCACCTGGGGATGTCTAGGAAACGATTGGGCCCACGATCAATCCACTGTAGAAGCCAACATCCGTTTCCGCCACTTCTCCAGTGTCCCATATCATCTGATTGACAAAGGGAAAAATGCAGAAGAATGCGACGGGTTCGATCAGGCGGGCGAAGCAGAGGAGGAAGATTTGATCCTTGGGCAACGGCCTGTCTTCCCCCTTTCCATTGGCGCCATTGGAGGCTTGATTCTCGTCGTCGTCCTCCTCAGGAGCAGTCGGTCGGTCAGTGGACGGAGCAAGGAGGGCGGTTGTTTCGTCGACTTGAGCGTCGGTGTTGTCTTGAGTGGTGTCTGCTGCTGGCATAACGAGAGCAAGGGGGGCTTAAGGAAACATGAAATATTGTATATGTTGAAATATCCAAAGGATCGATATTGTAAGAGATGTGACACCGTATAAGTGGCTATTTGGGCGATTTCTTCATGTTCAGAATGTACTTCATGTGCTGATTGATGGTCATCCGAGAGAAGGCACCTGAGTGGTTAGGCGTCCACTTGGGGTACGTGCGCCTAGAGGCTCTAGGGTTACACGCTGTTTAATTAGAGTTCTCGGTAAAGATGCCCTAAAGCCCCCTCGCCCCAGATGCCCTAGAAACCCTCCAATGGCCCAGCTCCCCCCCGGGAGATTTTCCCTCCCAGTGCACCAACCAAGTATTAAAGCCCACAACTGCTCTCCAATTTTTTCAAGTCGGTCTCCAATTCGACACTATTCTTTGCTTGAAGCTTCAGTCAACGCACATCTTGCACCAACAGAAGGAAACCCCTTCCTGGCCATGCCTTGATTTCCCCCTCAAACCATGTTCGACACCATTTGCACCCTCCCTGTCCAGTCCGACATCTTTGCTCAAGTCGTCCATCCCAGGCAACCACTGTTCGCGATCGGCTTGTCCTCAGGACATGTGCACGCATACAAGCTCCCCTCGGACTCCGAAGTCATTGCGGATACCTCAGAAGACAGTGCTTCGCCGCCCCCTAAACCTGCCAATTCCGTCAATGGCTCAATAATACCTTCACTGCGCAGAGCTTCCACTGCCAGCCTCTCCGAGAGCGGCCTCGGCTCACTTGAGACGTTGTGGACCACCAGGAGACACAAAGGATCGTGTCGATGTCTTGCATTCAGTCACGAGGGGGAAATATGCTATTCCGCAGGCACAGACGGTCTGGTAAAAGCGTTTCACACGGACACCGGCAAGGTTGTCAGCAAAATTGCAATACCTCAAAGTGCTGGATTGAGGGAGGTTGATGGCCCGACAGTCCTGCACGCCCTGTCACCGCAGGCTCTACTGCTAGGCACGGATTCTGGGAAACTATATCTACAAGACCTGAGGCAGGGCGGAAGGGAAATCGTCGCCAAATGCAGTCAAACATGGACACCTCACGGTGAGGAACATATCAACGCCCTCGTTCCGCTCCCCGCGAGCGAGACCAGCAGCAGCGGCTTCCCTAAGCAGTGGGTCAGCGTAGGCGGCACTACTCTTGCAGTGACCGATCTTCGAAAGGGAAGTATCGCAACAAGTGAAGACCAGGAAATCGAATTGACGAGTTTGGCCGTCGTCCAAGGCCTCAAGAAAGGCGGGACCAGCGTGGGGGAGAAAGTACTTGTTGGGCAGAGTGACGGAGTTGTGAGTTTGTGGGAGAGAGGTGTATGGGGGGATCTTGACGAAAGAATCGTCGTCGAACGAAATGGATTGGGTGTGGATAGTCTTGCCGAGGTGCCCTTTGGCCATGGAAGCGGGAAATTGAAGATGAACGAAAAGCTGGTAGCTGCGGGCCTCGAGGACGGCAGAGTTCGATTCATCAGAATCGGTCGTAACGGGGTCCTAGCCGACATGGACGCCAAACACGACGAACTCGACGGAGTCGCCGCCATCGGCTTCGACATCGAAGGGCGAATGATCACTAGTGGAGGCCAAACTGTTAAAGTGTGGACAGAGGCTAAAGGACTTCCGGGTGGTGGTCGGGCTCCAGCGACCAAGCATGAGATATCCTCCTCTGAGGACGACGACGTCGAAGAGTCCGATCTGGACGACAGCAGCGACGAGGATAGTCAGTCAAAGCCAAAGCGGAAGAAAAGGAAGAGGAACAAAGGAAAGGATAAATCCGGAGGCAAGGCGTTGAACTTGTTGCTTTGATTGGAGGCCTGGGTCAAACAGAAGAGTGGGCAATGGCGTTTCCCAAAAGTTCGTGGTGATACCCCAGATTATGGTACTGACAGGCCAAGGAGGAATGCTTTTGATTGTGCTCGCAAGATTCGGAGCTAAGTTGTTGGCAGCAAGGGATAGCAATCGTCGACGCTACAGCTCGATATGGGTCGGAATAAAGTGACCATGATGCTTAAACTGCTCGTCATAGTACATAATGTCGTCTGCGGTATCAAGATGGACTCGATGGAGTGTACTCTAAGTAAACAGCTGCTTGGGCAGGACATATTCGGGAGCAACAAGGCTCGCAAAATGACGCTAGCCCAATCTAGCCAATTCAGCCTCGTCGTGCCTTGATAGCCGAGGCAGATCCCGGATTCGTCATCAATTGGGCGCGTCTCGATAAAGCATCGAGCTTCGCCCGAACGAATTGGTTTTCCTGTCCGCTTCTTTGGGACAACTCCGTCTGGTTCTCGTCCAGGACTCGTTACACGCAGCCAAATGGCATCCAGGTCGTCGTTACTTCCAGGTGCCCTCGAGTGGAGGCTCGTGCTGGCCGGTACCTGCTTATTCTCGGTCGGGGTTATCGCCGGAGGGCTTTGGAACAAGAAAAAAGCTTCTATCGTGCGGTCTCCGAGGGTCACGGTCCTGCCAAAGCTGTCTCCGGAGGAGATTGCCGCAATCCCGTATCCCCCAGACGTGCTGCCTGGGGCACGCGATGTTGACACGCCCTACGGCTCGATAAGAGTGTACGAGTTCGGTCCGGAAGATGGGCGAAAAGTCCTCCTGGTTCATGGCATCAGCACTCCCGCGATCGCGCTGGGAGCCGTTGCCCACGCCCTTGTGGACAATGGATGTCGCGTCATGCTCTTCGACCTGTTCGGACGAGGCTATTCCGACAACCCTGCAGACCTCGCTCACGACATCCGACTTTTCACGACTCAGATCCTGCTCGTCCTAGCCTCATCTCCGTTGTCGTGGACCGGCAAGGACTCTGGAAAATTCTCGCTCATCGGCTATTCTCTTGGCGGCGGCATTGCTATAACCTTTGCATCCTACTTCCCCAACCTGATTGACAGCCTGATCCTATTTGCGCCTGCGGGGATCTTGAGGCCTTATCATATCAGCAGGACAAGCCACATCATCTATTCGGAGGGCCTTATCCCAGAGTCATTGCTACAAAGTTTGGTCAGAAAGCGACTACGAAGACCAATGGCCACACCTTTGAAGAAGCCAGTAGACAAGGACAACATGGTGGACGCAACCGAGGCAGTGGCGGCTGAAGTCAACCTCGAATCCAATTCACAAGCCGTTCTCTCCAAGATCCGTCCTCACGTCACGGTTGAGAAGACAGTCATCTACCAGCTAGACAACTACCCGGGCTTCGTCGCTGCGTTCATGTCTAGCATCCGCTATGGTCCCGTGCGGCATCAGCATGACCGATGGCGGATCTTTGGGGAGCATTTGGCCCGCATCAACGAAGAGAAAGGTACGCAGAAGAAGGTGCTGGTCGTTTTGGGTGCCAATGACCCTATCATCATCCAAAGGGAGGTCGAGGAAGATGCGACAGAAGTGCTTTCGGGCAATGTGGAATTTGCCGTCTTCGAGGCAGGCCACGAGGTGCCGGTCACAAAAGGCGACCAAATAGTCGCCCGAATCTTGGACTTCTGGCAGCGGACAGATTAAGACAGAGACATGACCAGGCGTTGCCTCAAATCGAGTATCCAATAGAGTGGGCGTCGTGGCGAGCGTTGCAGGGCAAGATCAGAGGCCAATAGACCTAGAACCGACGGAAGATTTGTCATAGACGATAGATATTTTTGGCTTTTGAGGTAGATAGTGTTCAATCTTTTGATCCCCCCCCCCTTTTGCACCGAAGGAGAATAACCAAAATGGCTAGGTACAGTTCATCCCTTTGTTGCCCGGTTTGTTAGAACCAGCCTCGCTCAGCCTCGTCAGTGGCTGGAAGGCAGCTCCGGCGCCACCCGTCCTCCTCGCTAACTCTCCCCTTGTACCTAGCCTCGCCAGGTCTGTAGGTACCTTGCAGATCTTGGCCCTTACACCAGTGCACGCGACCCAAAACGCGTGGTCGACTCTCACCCACCCACCTCTTCCTTGCTCCTTGCTCCTTCCCCCCTGCGAACCTTGGTGACCCTCAACTGCCCTGTCCTTTCCTCCCTCCACTCCTGTTCGTCCCCTGCTACGTCTCCAGTCACTCACAACCAACCAGCGTCATCCGGAAGACCTCCGCCTCCCGAATCATCTTTGCATCTGTGATCCCGTCCATTTGTCTCACGAGGACTGTCACTGAATCTTCTGAGGTGTCGAGCCGCCCGATAACATCTCCGAATTTGTTCTTGGCTGGGGCCCTCCTGAGAACGGCCTGTACCCCAGAGTTCCGGCCGAGCAAAATGAAGTCCATGACGGTGCTGGACGCCCCGTAGAGGAAGGCATTCACCATGTCGCCCTCCTGAGCGTTTCTAGGAAAGGAGGATTTGGAGTCGATCTGGTTGATTCTACATCATGTCAGTCCACGGTGAGTCCGTCTATTTTCTCGAGCTTGCCTCAATGTTTGAGCCATGGTCAAAAGAGGAGTCAGTTCATGCGAAGCTGGTGCTGGAGTCAAGTATCGAAGCTTGATGTCACGGGTGTGTGCTACATGCCAGGCACGGTATATCGGATTTTCTCCAGAACTAGGAACTTCCATTGCTCCTACCCAGATATTTATACGTTTTTCGGGCGTGCCGGGGCTTCGCCTTGTTCATCATGCACATTTCAGCTCCCTACTTCTCTCCAAGGGCCTTACATCATGCGCGAGGGCAACGTCTGGCACAAAGGGGTCAGTCACTTGGTGCGAAAGGGCAAAAGAATCTCTCCCAGTGACCTGTCCAAGGCTACCCCACGCAAGGTGGGCAATGAGTGGGCGTCGAGTGGGCTAAAGCGAGGCTGGCAAATCGCTTCACCTGCAACCGTCCTGATACGTCAGCAGTGGACAGTGGTGTTCCATGAAAGTAAGCCCAACTGGAAGTCAGGCGACTACCGGTAGGCACCGTAAAGGGCAAGATGTTACATCTGAGAGACAAGCAGATCTTTTACGAGGTATCATCGCGCAGGGTCAGTGCAAAGAAGTCTTGAATGACGTTGTGACGGGGGCGCACGGAGCTGGCGGCAGGTCCATGATATGACTCAGTCAGGGAGCTGGACGTGGGTCAGCTCAACTGGAGCAGACTTTCCTTCCCAGGGCGCTGCTTCCTCGGGCTTAGGGCACTTGCGAATGAAGCGTCGCTGCGTAGCTCCAGGCAATCTGCCATCCCCCTAGGCAGTGTGACCGTCTGATCGGTTTTTCCTGCTGTGCCATCAACAAGCACGATCGAGTTTCACCGAGGCTAGCAGAATATGCTGGGCGCCCTTCCTGGCTGACCGGGACAGGTTGGAGCGAGCCTTCAGAAGTCAAGGGGCAGGGGTCTCCTGTTCAGCTGTTCAGGCCCCAGATATCCCCCAGACATTACCCCGGACCCATTCCTGTCGGAATACCTCGTATAAATCGGGCGCATCCTCGAGCCGACTTATTCCGATATCACCAATCAGGCCACGGACCCCTGTGCGACGCAGCGAATGCTCGACGCATGGTATCTTTCGTTGCAAACAGGCTTCGTTGCCCTGATTGGGAACAAGTTCAGGATGCCTGGAAGGATGTTGGCGCCGACCGCAAGAGAACGACATCTCAATGGTGACGAGTGTGAACCACAAGCCGGACGTTAAAAATGGAACATCGCGAGGCAGAGTCACCCCACACTGGCCATCCAACCACAACATGATGAAGCCGAGGTGGGTTGATTGTACCCCCACGAACTCTTCAGAGCATATGTCGTCCGGGTCAAACGCGGAGGCTCGATTTCTACAAGTGCATATCGGCCCGCCACATGGACCTGATCAGCAAGGGCATCAATTGAAACTGGCATGACCATCAACCTGACCTATGGAGATACGTGGGATAACAGACTGGGGGAAGCTTTTTGGAGGGCTAAACGCTGACGGGACTCACATCTGAACTGGGTTCGGGGCGCAAGCCTCACTATGATAGGCGACAGCACACCTCAGCCCCGCGAGGGAAGCTGACGCAAGTGGGAGAAGCCTGTCTCACGTTCGCAAGGCCCTCTCTCGGGCTTCTCGGGCATTCCTGAAAGCCCCTGACGAGTCCTTCTCGGGCCAAATGACTCTCCCACCCGGGCGACCTCCTTGCAAACGGATCATAGCGATTCATAGCCATGCTCGGGGTTTGCGGAGATACTTGTTTGGTTCCCGGAAAAACAAATCTTCCGGCTATCACACCCACTATGCTCAGGGGATGATACCTTTTTGGGGATGGCCTCTCGGCAAAGTTGCCCAGCCACCCCCGAGCTCACTCCAGGCACGAATCGTTACGTCCGTCGCACCTCCGACTTCCTCCCTTCCCCAAGCCTGATAGACAGCCTGACGAGCCAGACCAAGGATACCCACACACGCACAGTCTCCCAAAAACGCTACAGCCGTGCTTCAGCAAGACTGTATCGCGGATGATCAATAGCGGCTCCTTGAGACTTTCCCTCCAAGGACCAAAGCGTACAAGAGTGCGAGAACGAGCAAGTGCCATTCTTGAGACCTGCACAAGGTCAGCGCATCCACTGCGTGGCAGTGACACCCGACGTGGTTTACCTTCTTGAAACTCCAGAGCATCTCGCAGAAACACTCGACCTGTTAGCCTATCCATCTCTTTTTCGAGCGTGAGCACAGCAAGGTCTTCTTTTGATCTGTCCCGTTTCTGGGTCTTTGCAGGCAACATCGCTCTTCTCTGGGCTGCTCCTCAAGCCTCGGTCGGCGGTCTGGAGCAGGCGGTCAACAACCTTGCCATTGGAATAAAGGTACGGAGTATTGATTGAGCATTCCCCCGGGCGAGGACATTCCCAGTTTATACTGATGCTGCAGTGGCGAGCGAGAGTTGGCGAGTCAGCCATGCAAGCATCTTTTGGTTCTGTAGTTGCTCCAGTCTGCCCACAGAACAGCATCCCGTGCCTTGCCTCGCCTGGCTTTGGCATCATATCGCCTTACAAGCAGAGTTCGGCATCCGCCTTCCTTTCTCGGACAAGGAAAACAAGGGCTGGATCAAGGAATGGGACTTTGACCTTTTTTTGGGCTATATGTAAATCTCTCTCTCCCTCTTTCTCTCTCTCTCTTTGTGTGAGCGTGTGAACGTTTGAGCGTGTCTTCTTGACCTTGGGCATCTCTGCATCTTCATGCGTGATCAATACGCCCGTCTATCCCCCGTCCTTCAATGCATGCACGCTTGCAAACTAAAACGCCCAGTAATGCCCCTTCTCGTCGGTCGTCATCACCCTTGCTTGCTTGCTTGCTCGCTCGCTTGCTTCCTGGTCATGCGTAAAGAAAACCCTTCGTGGCTCCAGCCCAGCTCCGGGTCGTTTCCTGGGGGCTATACTCCGTCCCTCGGTCCTGGATACCGCGCGCGCGCCTCTCTGCGTCTGGACACTCCTCTGCCACAATCCCCTCATCACGCGTCTCGCACAAGTGTGTCGGTGTTTCCTCCTCGGGAACATCCCCTTCTGGCTTGCGGATTTCTCACGGGGAAATTGTGTTTGTTGAATATGTGCGCCGGGAGCCCGGGCTTCCCCGTTGCCGTCCTCTCTTCTTCAACATTGTAACGCGATTACAATGTCAAACCCAGCCCAACTGCTCAGTCATCCAGCCGAGGGCACCCTTTTCCGCGTCTCACCCCATCTGTCCATCGACCCATCAGCCATGGCCGTTCCCAACAAACACCCCGCCTCATGCAAACATGCGCCGGAGACCCCTCTTCCCGCCGGCAAAAAGAACCCAAAACTCCCCCGCCCCCCGGGCCAAAAATTCCCCAAAAGGCGAAAAGGAGACTCGTCAGAAATAAGATTTGGTGGAGATGGCTTTCTTGAGCCAACTCCACGATTGAAAAAAAAAGAGGGGGTATCATAAGCCAGCAAATAAGTAAGTAAGAAGAGTATGGGGGGGTTAGTTTTTATAAATAAAAGCAAGACAAACCCTTCCCCACCCTTCCTTTTTCCCTGCCCTCTCCCCTGTTGTGAAGATGAGAGTGAGGATCCATCCATTTCCTGAACAGAAGAACGAAAAGGGAGGGGGTGGGGGGTTTATCCCGTTGATGTGTGGATGTGTGGTATATCCTGGCCGTTAGATCTGTTGTTGGTCTCTGTCTGTACTGTGACTCTGTGTAAGGGCAATGCTGCCTTGGCCTTTTCGCCCTGTTTTCCCCGACGTGTACAATACACATGCGATATAACGGGGTTTGGAAAAAGGGGGATACCTTTTGCGCCCTGCGCCGTCCGTCGCCCGCCGCCTGTGACCAGTCCATGCCGGAGCCAGAGAACCTGCTGGGGGATGGGGAAAATCTGTCTTCTTCTTCTTCTTCCGAAAAACGCCGCGTTAACATCGTCGTCAATGCTGTCCGAGGAAACGCAAATAAAACTTTTTGGTAGGTTTGGCTGTTCGATGGTTTTTTTGACCCAGACCAGGATGCAGATATATGGGAGAGGTTGTGGTAATATTAATCCTTTTCCAGAAAAGATTACTCTTCCCCTCCAAATGTAATGGAGGCGTAGTCATCAAAATGAGTGGAAGAAATTAGTTGTCACTTGATAAAGGACAATTAACGTCGGGGTTTTTTTTTCCGTGGTCCTTTCCCAAAAATGAATGTCGTCGTCCTGGTGCAAGGACATCCCTCTCCTCTCTCCCGCGTTTCCCGTGTCCAGGAGTAAACGGTTTGCGGCCCGGCAGAGGAGCGCGGCCATCAAGACCGAGCGAAGCCTCTACAACGTCAAGAGCCGCAAATGGTAAAACTCGCAGTCAATGGACTTTGTGAGAAGGGAGAGAGAGAAAAGGGGTCGCTCAGATCAGGAGAAAATCCCATTTGTTTTGCTGCATCACGTCCCGCCAGTGGACGTTCTGGTTCCTCGGTACTGCTGTTGTCGCGGTCGCGGTCGTCGAAGACGAAGAAGAAGAAGAGGCTCCTGCCAGGTTTCCGGCTCCGGTGGCCGCGGCGGCTGCGGCGATGGGCGTTGAGATCGATCCTCCAGGGCTCCCCGCCGTCACGGGGGTGGCTTCACAGACTCCGGCCGAGACCACCACGTCGTCGTTGCGTCTCCAGACCTCGTGCAACAGGCGCACCATGCGTCCAAAGGATCCGTGGTCGGCAGCTTCGCCCAGCGCGTCGCACCGCTCCGAGAGGACCCGGCGGAACGGGGAGGCCGGGATCGAGTTCGCGCCGCAGATGAGCATGGGCCAGACGAGACATCGGTCGAATCCATTGGGGCCCGAGGGGATGAAGTGGAGCAGGTCGGCCATCTGCGAGATCAGGTTGACGGTCGCGGGCTGGTAGCGGTTGTGCTCGGGCACGAGCGAGCAGAGGTACACGCGGGCGGCCTTGCGGAAGACGGCCGTGATGTTCTTGGTCAGCTGCTTCGGTCGCAGCACGCCGGCCTTGTTGAAGGGAAGCTGCGGGGCTTCTTGCGGCTCGATCGAGTCCAGCGTGCCCGCCAGCGACGTGATGTGGCTGCACATCCCAAAGTCGTCCAGTTTGCCCTCGACCTTGAGCGAGTCGAGACACGCCACCTCCGACAGGAGGTACATGACGTAGTCGTTGCAGCCCATGAGTCTCTCGAGCCCCGTCGACGCGCCGGCGAAGAACATGTTCCTGTAGGTGTGGGAGAAGCGCGGGGCTTTTCCGAGCATCGTCGAGCCCAGAATGTCGATCCACGCGGTCAGACTCATGTTGAACGGAGGATGACCACCGGTCGGGGCATTGCTCTCCAAGTTCTGCGGCAGGTTGAGCTTCTGGACAATGTCCGCGGCGGCCTGGAAATGCTGGTGCCAGGGGATCAGTTCCTTCTCGAGGTCCAGAGCCGACCCGACACAGCCTTGCATCGAGATCATTCCGAGCAGCGCATCGAGCATTTCATTGTGCTGGCTATCACTATTGAGGGCATCGACCACAATCGTCACAAAGGCAAGCTTATGGCGCATCGCATCGTCGTCCGCGGTGTGGTTCGGGAATTGTCTGTTGCCCTTCATGTGAGTAGCGGCAGCGAGAAGGCAGGAGTGGAGGTATGCCTTGTTGTTTTCCAGCGAAGGCAATATCACATTCGAGCGAACTGATCCATGCTGGTAGGCTTCGAGGACGGGGAATAGCAGCGGCAGCACGTTTTGGAGCAAGTGCTCGAACAGTGGTTGGTCGCAATCCTCGAGTTGGACCAGGGAGCATTGAGGTTCGAATTGGTGCGCGATGTGGGGAAGGTCGAGGTTGTTGAAGTCAAAATCTCCTTCGGTCCAGGAGTCCTGTCGGCTCTCGAAAATGTCTTGCTGGACCCAGTCGTCTCCAGTATACGACGGCAACGTGGCATGGGCAGGCGGCGGGTAGAAGGTGCTAAAGGTTGATATCGACGAGTCACGGCGAGTGAGTTCGTCATTGACATAGGTGTGGCGCTCCGTCTTGACATCCACCTCCCAGGGTACTGCTTGCCCGTACGTGTCGGGAGGCATGTAGATGTTGGGACCATATGGGTCGAAGAGGCCTGGAGTGGTCGCAAAGGAAGGGTCGAAGGTAGGATCGTACTCATCTTGAGAGTCCTCCGAGTAAGATTGTGCGGCATTGTTCAGAGCATCTGTGCATGGGTTAGTTGGAATTTGAGAAGAGATGCTCCATAGGTCTGGGGTGTGTTATACATTGACTTTGAGTACTCGTATTCTTCTCACTTGTCTTTGTTCTTTTGATGATAGTCTTGATGTGCTCTTTCTGCTTCCTCCGTGTCTCGTTGTTGCTCCACCAGTGGGGTCGTTTGTACTCGCAGTCAAGGCCCAAGTGTCTACATGCCTTGCATTTGGGCTTCCCTTCGTCACACTTCTTGCGTCGCAGACGACATGTGAAGCACCCTGAGGTCAATCTTAGTATTCATCCTCACCAAAAACGATGACAATGCGGTCCATGGCAAGGCTCACCTGATCTCGATCGTCTGTGCATCTTGGAGGATTTGGTTGAGGGCGAGTCCTTCGTCGCGGGAGCAGCCTTCTTGTCGTTTCCAGAGGCCATTGCTGATAGTGCTGGGAACGGGTGATTTCGGTGTATAGTCTTCTTCGTTCGGCGCACGAAAACAACGACAAGACGCAGATATCAAGGACGGCAATGACAGGATAGGATCCGGTGAACCGCGCTGCTGTTAATTATTACGAGGGAATGGTCGCGAACACTGTCCAGCAGTATCCGCAGGGTCTAACGGGGGATTGTCGACGAGGTGAAGGGACAACAGCGAGGGCAACGGTCTGCCTTGAAGGAAGTCACGGCGACATTGGCCGAGGATGGTGTATATGAGAGACTTCGAAGAGCTCGCAAAGGGTGGAGAGAGCTATATTTGGATCGTAGAGGGGAGGAATCATGCAAGTACGATGAGGCTCCGAGCAGGTCGAGGAAAGGATCCGGTTGTAAGAAACAACTGTCTGCATCGAGGACGAATGAGAGAGAGGGGCGGCACATGTTGGAGGAGGTGTATCTATGAATATCGCGTCTGCGCCTGGAGACGCCCATCCAGTATTGGTGGTTGGGATGGCGGAGGAGGGGAACCTCGTTGATTGAGCAATGAAAGAGTTGGTCGAATGGGTCATTGTCGAGGTAGGTCAACAATACTCGGTTGATTCGGTCGCTCGATAGTCTGCAGCAAGCATGAGGAATCAGCATGAAGTGTGGGAGCTATCCACACTGATTGGCTGGTGAGGAGTGGAGGGCGCTTCGAAGCTAAGATTAGACCATGAGAGCTTCGACGAGTCCCCATGAACAAGTCTGTTAGCGCCTCTGGGTCCAGGCCTGCATCAGGACCCTGGCTCATCCACACCTCCCTGGTCAGGGCCCAATTTTTGCATGTCCAAATCTGTAGAGCCAGCTGGCTCTTGACAGCCCTTTGCCGGTCAAATGAACCCCCGAAGGACAATCGAGCCACTGAGAGTAGTCAAAGGCAACAGACCATCGGGTGTTTGGTGCCTGCCATGGCCTAGACCCGCTCACAACGGGGTCATGCGGAATTGTACATCTGAATGTTGATGGAAGAGGGCAGAAACTGCGCGGACGCATGAGGTACCAATTTCTAGGGTGAACCACGAGAAGTCGTTACCAAAGCCGGGAACATTGCCAACGCAATGACGCTGCCATGCAGTTGGCCATGCAATCGGCACACCGGGTGCTTGGGATAACAGCGGTACTGGTATCCCGCACAACAGAAAATGGGGAGAATTTACCCCAAGCAAGTAGTTGCACACACATCATGTCGGTCGAGGACCGCACGGGTAGACGCAGTGCTAACGCTTCCCTTCTCAAAACAGTACCAGTAGATATCGCCGGGACGCACCCCGACATGACAACGCCTCTTTCTGCCGGATGGAAGTTAGGACGTTGGGTCGGAGGAAAAACCTTCTTCTAGCACGTGCACTGCTTATTACTTCCCCACGACGTTGACATTGTACCACAGTCTCGAAGACTTTTGCTCTGTCTTCTGTACGCCGTTCCACCGTCCGAAGCTGTGCCCGCAGACTGTCGGTAGCACGCTGATCGGCTCTGATCGGCTTGATCTTCAGGGCAGCCATACGCAGACTGAAGGCTCAAGAAGGGGTCAGCCGGGTTGACAGAGGGCATTCGGGCCTGGTCAGGTGAGTGAGGCATGAGAAAAAGAGCCGATGGTGTGCAGCAAAAGCTGGGACTCGGAGCAGTGATTGGATGTGAAGAGCCGAATCAAGGTCGAAGGCTGGGGCCTAGTGCTGGAGCTATCCTGGGTGAAGGAAGGGAGTCTTCCCTGCTGGGGTGAAGTTCAATCTGGGTGTTGAAGTTCGCGGGAACGACGGGAGCCAACCGTGATGCCAAGACAACTCTTCTGCATTAGCCTCACATTAGCGTCATCTGTTAGCGTAGCGGGCCTCTAGTGGGTCAATGGTGGGGTCTCAATTGCCAGGAACTGGTCAATGGGCCACAGGCAAGAAAGGGTCTGCAGGCCTGGCAGGGAGCGAGGGGAGGTCGGTGGTGACACTAGTTGCTTCTTCCTGCAAGCTCTTGAGACTTTCCTCGAGAGCTTGGACCAGCTTACGGAGTCCTCTGCCCGATGACTCGACTCGCTTGTGCCAGTCTGCTAATCCGTTCGAGCTCGAGCTCGTTTGTGCCCTCCTTCCCCTCAAATCTTTTCTCGCTTCTTTCGCTTTGCATATCAATACTGTATCTTGTCATGGTGCCCTTATTTTTAGAACTTCCATGCGTCTCAATGTTTCCATGGGGTGTGCTCGAAGCCATCGTGATTGTTTGCGTTCACAGAGAGCGTCTATCTATGGAATCAGGGCTGGAGAATATTGCCCTCATTAGCATTTTCACACAAGCACTGCTGGTTCTATTCTGAGGATAGTGGTTGGAGTCTGAGTTTGGACGATACCGTCGGAGGGGAAAAAAGTCAGTTCTGTTTGCGCTGTGCGAGGCTCTTCGTACGCTTCAGATAGATGGAGAGATTTTAGGAAAGCCATCCCCGCCTCGCATTTGCATGCAGTCATTGTTCTCTCTCGCATTTTTTTTATGCACATTTGCAGCGACGCAGCCTCTTTCGCGACGCAGAAGCTCTCACTATGCGGTCGCAAACAAAAGAGTGCAACGACTAGTTCTTGTGTTACCTCAGTACCACACGGAGCTCTTACCACCCCTCCATTCACGTGGAGGGTCTGAAGAAGCTGCCTTCCATGCACAACATTCAACTCTCATCGACATTACCCGAAACCTTCTAGACCTTCTTGCGAACCTTTTTGCGACAAGAATCCTTACTTTGACCTGTCAAGAACACAAACGTGGGAGGTCGTTGTCGGTCTAGAGTGGTCGAATGCCATCCCGCGCCCTTGAAGGCCTAGGTCCACTATCACACCTCGGGTAGCTGGGATCCAGTGGAATAGCAAGCAAAAGTCTACGATTACGCAGGCGAAGCTGCAAGTCGCCGAGGGGAATGGTCGGCTCCACACTCTCCACCGTCTGCAGAGGTCCGTTTTGCCCTTGTCTTCGTTGGAGCCCAACGGGCGGCTTTGGTTAAGCTTTTTACAGGCGGAAAGCCGTCGATTCTCTTGTTGGGATGCACTGTGCAAACTTGTGAATGCCTGGCGCCGAGTGACCCAGTGACGACTTTCAAGGAAGTCTTCCGGCCTGGGAAGCTCCCAGGTGCATCTCAGGTACCATGTAACGTCGTCCTACGGCAGATTGTACCACGTCAATGTCACTTGTGTCCTCGTGCCGTATTGTTGGCAAGTAGCGGTGGGCTCACCGCCACCAGGCTGTGGCTGCCATGTGCAGTACGGCACGTCGCCATGAGGACGGGGATCAATCGCTCCAAATGCCATGTGCATAAGAGAAGTTTTGGAGATTTCCGTCAACACTGTGCGCAACGTGCACTCCTCGTGGAGGTAGGCGAACCTTCTCGTAGGGGTTGGTGGACGCTCAAGTAAGTACAATGTTGAATCTTTTTTTAAAAGGATGATGCTTGCATGTGCGCTAGGAAATGAATATCACACTCGAGCTATTGGGATCAATAATTGACCCTTTAGCGAGAAAGCGTTCTCCTCACGAATAGTGTGAGGAGGTTCACAAATGGCGGGAGAAGTTCCCTAAGTTGTCGGCTGGTGGGAAACTCTCCCCACGCCAGCATCGAATTGACTTTGGCGATTCGGCCAATCTGCCGACGAGTTGATAGGAAGACCTCTTATCGCGGAAAGGGCCGCTTTGGCCGTCGCAGCGTTCTAACCCGTCTATGGAAGGTCCGGTTTCCTATCAGACCCCTCTCTTGCTCATCAAGAATCTAAGAGGGCAGGAGGGGTAGGAACAAAAAGTCAACTGGGCAGTCCAGATGTTAAGGGTCCAGTGTCTAGATCCCAAACACCTCAGGGTCTCATCCGTCGAGCTCTCCCGAAACCCTGAATTGACTTGGGTGGACGAGACTCTTATTGTGAATGTTGTGCCCGTAGAACGTCATCTGATCGAGGAATCTTCTTCCAGGAACCGGTACGGAGTACGGAGTACATGTGGGTACAATGTGGAAAGCGTGCAACGTATTCAGTACTCGTAGACTAGGTAGATCCTTGGCCATCTTGTGACTTGCACTGGGAAGACGACGCTGGGTCACCGTTAGCTCAAACCGTTTGCCGAGAGATCAGCAGGGCAAACTCTCGCAACCCGAGAAAGTCTATTGAAGGGGACTGCATTTTCTGGGCAGCGTGACCAATCAGAAAATTCGATTCCGGGAAAGGAGGGACTGCAACGGGGAGGAGGTTGGGAAAAGACAGGGCGTTGAGTGGGAAATCTGGCAAAGGGGAATTTAGCGGTACGGCACGCAGGAGAAAAGGCACGAAAAGGGAAGAGCCTAGGGGATCTTCGGTAGGAAAACGGCTTGAGGCAGGGGAGAGCAGAGGGCGACAGCGAGTGAGAAGCGCCAGATGCTATTCCAGGGAACAGACTATGGGAGGGCTATACCTGAGGCGGGAAGGCGGGGAGATGGCAAGTGGAAGGGTATTTTTGGAAAATACCCAGCGGCTACACTGATTGGCTGAAATCCGGGGGATAATCAAGCAGCAGGACGTGCTTGGCCCCCGCCCTCCCCTCTCCATCACCCTGTTCTGCCCTCCCATTGGTCGGAGCGGACTGCGGGATAGTGGGGGCGGCCAGACCCTGACCGGGACGGCTCCAGCGCGTAGTATTCATAGATGCCCCTCCATTGGTGAGGACCCTTCTTCCCCATGTCCATCTCCCTCTTACCGCCAGCCTATGCCAGCCTACGCCAGCCCACAGCAGTTTGCCTCTCACTGAGTGGCTGCCTCTGTGTCGTTTCACATCTATCGCACGCATAACCACTGCAGTAGCGATTCAATATCCTGCATCCATCTCTGCAAGTATCCTGGCCGGCCAACTCCACTTGTCACACTTCTCGAGACCTCTAACCGCCCACTTCCACTCCATGATCGTCTATACATACATATCTGAACCCCTTCATGAACTTCCATCTCCACCGAGATACAATCTTCGAAAGATTGACCTTCAACTGTAAACACTGCTATCCATCATATAGTAGCACCCATGGAGTGGTCGATACAGTACTCGCCGCTTCAGCTGCAGCCGGTTGAGATGCAGCAAAAGACAGCCGACCTCTCCTTCCTCGGGCGGCGGACAATGGCGCCCAGGCCTTTGTCAGAAGCCACCGAGATCTTTGACACTGACAACGAGGACGACTCCGAGTCCCTCCCCAGACCCTGGGACTCACAAGATGATGATAGTGAATCGACTCTATCATCCAGCCGCGACGAGCTCCCTACCCCGCCTCACAGTGGTGGCCTTGACGGCTTCGAGTTCCATTTCGATGACCGCGCAGTGTTGGGCCCCCAAGGGCCTCACTTGTTCAGAGACACCCCTGAGATCCTGACAAATCCCGACGACGATGTCTTCCTCAACTTGTCCCCGGCTGCCGAGCCGAAGACCCCAGCCAAACCCATCAACGCCCTCAACACTGCAGTGGCAGAACTCGACGAGTCACAAGTTCGAAACTGGACTCCTCGACAAGTCGCCGACTGGATGGCTGAGGCGGGCTTCGAGCAAACGGTCGTGGAGAAATTTCTCATTCACGACATCTCCGGCAGTGTCCTAATCGACCTTCAATTCGAGGATCTCAAGGAACTCGATATCAGCTCCTTTGGCAAGCGTCACAGAGTCATGAGCTCCATCCACCAACTCCGAAACAGCAGCATGATTTCCCTTGAAGCACCCCTCTCAAGGACTCCTTCGAGAAACACGCGAAGTCCTCGGGCTGTGCAACGCGCTGCTCGCCCAGAAGAATGCCACGTCGTTGTGGATCGATCTCGCTCCCGCAGGCGAGCTCGCCAGCCCGACATCGTCACCCCCGCCGAGTCCATATCCATTGTTGGCATTGAGCAGGTCCTCCCCAAAGAGCACAAGTGCTCCAAAGGCGAAGACTGCCCCAAGTGGCAAAAGCAGCAACGGAGGATCCTCCGCATGCAGCGGGCATGGGAGGATGACGCACATCGGCCTGTGTCTGAGGCCCGCTCCGAAGCCTTGCCGTCGGTCGTTGGCTCATCAGACGTCCTGGGACCTTCCTCTGTGAAGATCACCGCTGAAACCTTGAGCGGCGTCCAGCCTCGCGACCCCCAGGAGAGCGTCCGACAGTTCCTCAACTTCCAGCACCTCCACAACCCATCGCACTCGAGTAACCCTTCGCCTCCTCCTGCCGCTTCTGCTTCATATGCCGTCAAGTCCGCTCACCTCGCCGAGCACCTCCGTGGGCTTCCTAAGCTCACCATCCCTGTGGGACAAGCTCAAGACGAAATTCCCTCGAGGACGCCCATCTCCGCCCTCCAACAACCCACTCAGATCCAGGCTCAACTCAAGGCCCAGCTCCAGCGCGATCCATACCACTATGGCGGCGTTGCATCTCCCGCGGACATCTACCGCATCGACACTCCCATGTCGGCCACTGATATTCCTGTCACTGCCATGGCTGCGGATCCTTGCCAACGCGATGTCTCTCAATCTGTCCCCCCGGAGATGCGATATGGCGCCGCTCCAGTGACGATCAGCCCGCCTGAGCCCATTCAGCGCTGCGTCTCAACCCAGCCTGCTCCTCCTCGGCGCCACATCCGCCAGCAGTCTTTCACGCCCTCAGTGGCCCCCGTCAAGGAGAACGATGCACATGTGCCTCGTGCTGCCGCCCGAGTGACTGAACTCGACCTCGCCAACCATCAAGGCTGGATGCGGAAACGCAAGACGACCCGCATGCTCCGACATGAATGGCAAGACAACTACTGCACCCTGGTTGGCAACAAGCTGACGATGCACGACACTCACTATGCCAACGCCACTGCGCTCGAGGACATCGACGTGGATGAGTACACACTGCACGCCTGCGCACAAGCGTCGAGCTCGAAGCTCAGCGCTGCGTTCAAGAAGAGTCTCCTCGGCCAGGGCAAGAGTCCCGCCGGCGACCAATCATTCGCCTTCTCCCTGATCCCGGATAACGAAAAGGTAAACAAGAAGATCTTCGAAAAGGGCCAGAAGTCCCACCACTTTGCCGTCGACAGCTCCAAGGAGCGCATCGAGTGGATGAGAAAGCTGATGCTGGCCAAGGCCATGAAGAAGAACGACGCCTGCCGGATCTGAAACTGCGCCGTCCTACTCGCCTTCCGTTACTACTACTACCTCCCTGTGAATACTCTCCTCTTCTCATGACTGAACGACTCTCCTACCAAGATGTTGCCTCGCGGCAATTCTCCTTTTTCTCACACCGTCCCCATCAGCTCCCTTCTATTACCTTGCATCAGCCTCAGGAGAACAGCAACGCAACGGGAATCATCATCTATCAATCACCTATCAGCCTTGTTCTGCATTTAGCGACCGGAGCATTTAACATTTTGACCTACGTACGACCGACCTTACCTGTCTGATGGATGGCGACCATGATCAGATCAGGGACTTTTTGAGGGTTTGTCTGTTGTTGTCTGATCTACTTCTTACTACACTATTGTTGACCGAGATACCCCCAACATCTTCTATCTTTCTACCAACTTGTCCCTTCCCAGTGGAGGGTACCAGCGAAATCTCCTTTGTTGCAACACACACCCTCACTGCCACTGAGCAGTTGTCCCAGACCCTTCTGAGGAAGGATGGGCTCTTTGAGCCGTGGACAAGAGTCCTCGTGCATCCTCTATATAGCTACTAGCCTAGTCAACCAAATCATTGGGAGAGGTGATGAGCCTGTCTCATTGCCTCTAATGAAAGAAAACATTCTATAACCCTTTTTGGGCCATTCTCTTTCCACTATACTATAATATGTATGTACATGGTATGTACTATATTTACTATAGTAATACATAGTGGACTGTGAGCCTCAATCGCCCTACTTCTTGACCTCCGAGTCAGTCTTGAATTTGAGTCCTCCCTCTCCCACAATCTCATGAAATGATGACCTCGTTCAGACCGTGTGGTCGAAGCACTCCTCCCATAACGTGAAGGAATATACTTAGTAGTCCTACTGATACCTACCACAGCGACACGAATAGCGACCGAGAATTTCAGTTCCCATCGTCGTTGTCATCGCCTTCCTACCTGCCAGTGCGATTGAATTCAAAAATACCAGTACATACATAGTACATAGTATCATGCGCGACCTGGGTCTAGGAGAGCACCACAAATCGAGCCTGGTCTACATCTAGTGTGTACTGCACAAAGTGCTAAAACAAATGGCAGACTGGACTAAGCACGTTCCCAGATCGAGTTGAACCCAGACTGGCCGTGGGTGAGTGATTCCGGTCGAACCAGTCTGAGGCAACTCTGAACTGTCTGTATAAGTACATAGTACTTTAGTATCTGTTTTGGGTCGGCCTCAATCCAGTTTGCATAGCCTTGGACACAGCCTAAGTCCGTGCATCCAGCATGGGTCACTTCTACATGGTTCTTGAACACCCTGAAGAATCAGTCTCGGTCACTTGATGCTGCCCTTTGAAAGATCAACTAGAGCAGGGACAGGACAAAATGCAGCACGAAATTCGCTCAAAAGGGACTAGCTGCTTCCAGTTCCCAAACCGGAAATGCCCTGGGGACTAGTACTAGGTATGGGTGCACATTGTCTTGGCGCATGAATACTTGTAGAAGTAGCAAGTGCAATATGCAGAATTCTGTCTGCCTAGGTGCTTACTACTACTAGTGCACTGGACAGCTGGAACAACTTCGACTTGCTCAACTTACTAATAGATGTCAGGCCATCTTGGAGTACTAATAACTATAAAGTCGAGCTGATCCAGGAGTGGGTTTCGAAGAGAAAGTATACTATACTCCTTCAGGATTTCTGATAGCCAAATCATGTCCAGCGACGATGACAGTACTCCTACTATCTTCTACCTTTCTTTGAATTACAATGGCGGTCCAACCATCATCTTTTTGCACGGCCTCTGCTCTAGCCACACCGAGTACAGGAACGTTTTCCAAGATTGCAGTCTTTACGACCATCACATCCTCGCCGTTGACCTCCCAGGCCACTCGCGATCCTCTCACATCCTTCCATTCAGTCTCTCGTTTGCTGCCGACCAAGTCGCTCGAGTGATCCAACAGCAAGCTCACGATCGCCGTGCTCATGTGGTCGGCTCGTCCCTCGGCGGGTTTGTTGGGCAGGAGCTGGCGAAGCGACATCCCGAGGTCGTCGAGAGCCTGCTGGTGACTGGTGCGGCCCCGTTCGCTGGGTATAGGAGATGGTTCGCAGAGCACCCGAACGTCTTGTACTGCCTCCAAGCCCCGGTTTCCAAATACAGCCCCAGCTGGGTCGACACGGCAATCTGTCGGTGGATCGGCGTGCAGAAGCCTGAAGGTCTGCGGGAGCAGGAGAAGAGCAACTTTAGCAGGCAGCTTTTGGTGGACGGGTTCAGAAGCATCGCCCAATTCACCGAGAAGGACCTGGGCTCAGTGCACGTCAGAACTCTGACTATTGCGGGTCAAGCCCAGGACGACGTGGAGGCGACTCGCAGGATGGGCGAGCTACTGAGAAGAGAATGCGGCGAGAGCAAGGCCGCCATAGTCCGAGCAGGCGCTCACACTTGGCATCTGCAGTTCCCTCAACTGTTTGCAAAGACCGTCAAGGCCTGGATTGATGGGTGTCGTCTTCCAGAGGGTGGCATGGTGCTAGAACTGCGGTGTCAGTAGAAAATGGATGTACGACTGGAAACGCTGCTAGTGAGAGTTTTCGCTAGAGTTCATAAAGAGAAGACAGGAGCAGAGGGACTGTACTTTACCTATTGATAGAGGTGGTCGGTGAGCGACTCGGTGCAATGCTGGGCAGCTGCAGCAGTGAAAGCCAAGGCACTGCCGACGACTTCTCGATGATGTTCGACGAGGCCGTCCAGCAGATCAGGATTATAGCAAATGTCGATTGATTCGAGGCAAATACCAAAGTCTACGTCCTTCACTTTGAAAACATCACATGATTCATCCGCACACAACATTGACCACGCCCATCTCGACAGCCACTCTGGAGGGTCTTATGCCGCTCTCCTTCCATCAAGCCATCAAACCAGTGTTGAAAGGTACTGCAGTATTCAGTGTGATGCCGTCCATACATTGCAATATGTTCCGGATAAACAAGAACATGCTCCCCCCAGCCCCCAAGAGAATCCATTCCATGCACCCAGCAAGATATCCCTTCACTCCCTTCATAATGGCAGTGCTGTTCCCATTCACCAACCTCAATCTCACAGCATGAACGCTAAGCATCCCATAACGACAGCAAAAACCCCGGAGACAGCATAGCCCAGTCTATCGGCGGAACCTGTAAACTTAGCATTGTTGGCGCCCGCGCCAGAGGCACCGCTGGGGACGACAGGCGTGATGGGCGGTGAAATGGTGCCATTGCTGCTGGTGCCGTTGGTGTACTTGTTGCCACTATTAACCCCACCAGCTCCAGCTTCAGCGCTGGCGGCGGCGTTGGCAGCTGCGCTTGCGCCAGCGTTGGATTCGCCGTTACCGGCATTAGCGGCAGAGTTTCCACTTGAAGCAGAATTCGCACCGGCAGCAGAGTTGTCAGAAGAAGCTTCGGCGTTGGCATTTGCATTTGCATTGGCGGCGGCATTCGTGTTGGCGCCTTGGGAGCCAGAACCTGAAGTCCCGGAAGAGCTACTGCCGCCGTTGCTCTCACTGGAGGAGCCAGCACTTCCACCAGAACCGGCCTCAGCCTGGGCATTAGCTCCTGCGCTTGCCGCTGCTTGTGCTTGTGCACCGGCACCACCAGTAGGTCCGATGATGGGAGTCTGGGTGGCGTATGGGCCGGTTGAGCATGGTGTGGTAATAGTCATTGTGGTGGCTCCGCCGTTGTGGCAAACATCGCAAGACATAACGGTGGTAGTAAACCCTTCAGGAATGGAGGTTGGGTTCGGGGTTGCTTCGCATGGGCAAGCCTCTGTGATGGTATACGTGGCTTGTCCAATTGACTGGCCGTTGCTGCAGATCTGGTGGTAGATGGTGAGGTACTCGTGGATTTCCTCCACATCCCCATTTGGGAGGGTGGTGGTGTAAGAGAGGATTTCAGTGCCTTGTGGGCCGGTGGGGGGAGGCGTGATCACGGCACCACCACCGTTGCAGTTGGGACCCGGACAGAAGGTGATGGTGCTGGACAAAGTGGTGGTTGTAGTCAAGGCAGTCGGGCAGACGGAATAGTACACGGTGGTGGCAGCCGTGTCAGCTGGGTCATTGACGACTGTGGTGGTCTGCGCGTTGGCCGCAGCGATGAGCAGTGCCGCTAAGGGCATGTTGGTGCGCGTCGATCGCTTCATTTTTCCAGGTGCGGGCAGGATGAGGAGTATGTTTTCGGTGGTTGCAGGATGTATGTATCGCGACGAGCGAGGAGAGGAAGCTGAAAATCAATATTCCAAAAGAGTGACTGACTGGAACAAAAACGACACTTCGAAACGAGTGTAACGAGTCTCGAAAAGAGAGCGAGCCTATCGAGGAGTAGAAGAGAGCAGAAGGGAATTTGGAACCATTGCGCATGATATTTACCTTGGACAGAGTCACCGTGCGGCGAGGGCAGTGTGATCCACATAACGCTGTCTCTGGAATGCAAAACAACCACCTCAACAACAAAGCATCTCATTGGCAGGCATGGAGAGAATGTAGCGCACGCTCCGTGACATTTCTCAAGAATTGGCGCTTGAAATTGCCAAATTCTTTGCGGGTTGCACATGATATGTGACTGCGGTTGCCACGAGCACCAGGAACGGTGGTAGAGAGGGCTGGAACCATTCAAAGCTCGCCAATGCCCAGCTTGAGCCACTCCAGATTGTGCAGTCTGGTCCGATCAATCTCTTGAGTGGTCACTCTGTGAGAAGAGACTAGAAATTGCAGGAGGGGGAAGGGGATGGGAAGATGTTTCCTATCAAGTCGACATTTCAAACTCATCGCCCTCACCAAAGAGGACCCAACGAGAAGGAAACTTCCTACAAGGAAAAGAGAATTACTCTCCAGAGCCATCGAGCTGACAAATAGCTCATGGCAACACATCGCTGTAGAAAAGAACGAAACGACGGTCGTGGCTGGCTCTGTTGCTTTTTTTGATCTGAAGAGAAGAAGAAAAGGAGCAAAAGGTGAAGCTCGACGTGAAGAATTTGTAGCGTGGCCCGTGCCAAGACACCATCACGTGCCACACAGCCTTGTCGATTCACAGCCTCGTTGAGAGGGACGAGGCCCTGGATTTGGCTGTTGGAAGCTATCTACTATTCCCTACTGATCTCCCTACTCTTGTTTCGACTTCATCTTCAACGGCACTTCGAACACTAACGCACCATTCCGCCCTTCGCGCAATTTCCTCCACCGCCCCAACCTCATCTCCTTGCCAGTTCCAGCCACGATGCACAGACCTTGACACTCGCCTTCCTTCTTGCCTCCAAATTCGTGGGTGACGACTTTTCTTCGCTCAAATACTGCCAAAGAATTGACAAAGCCACGCACTGGACCCGGATGTGCGTGTGCTGATGCAGTCATCCCATGCTCGGCCGTGTCAACCTCCCCATTCACAAGCCCATTCCCGTGGTCTGCCTCCCCATTCACGACGCCATTTTGCGTTTCCGAATCGGCCATTCCCACAGTTCCGAGAGGCAAAAGCATTCTTTTGTCATCACTCAGTTTCCATGCACGAATCCAACCATCCCAACTCCCACTCAAAATCACATCAGTTCCAGGCAGAGCCGCCAGAGCAGTAATGCCCCGGGGTATTGGTCTTCGCCGATCATCCTTTTTTAATGCCTCGATAACCTTGGGATCTAATTCGGAGGTCACCTCTTCGAATGGAGGCGGCTCTTCAACACCATGTGCGGTCTGAACGGTGAATACAGCTTTTTTTTTATGAATGCTCCAGAGGCTGATGGTGCCTGCATCAGAACCGGTCACAAAGTTCTGCGGCGGCAAAGCAGCCACGCAATCCAGACTTCCAGCCTGGTATTGATCGTTTTTGGAACTGTCGCCCAGAAATTTAGTGAGAGACTCGTCCACAACCTTCCACCATAGGGCTTTCCGATCTCGAGCGCCAACCGTGACGCACTGATCCACAGACACGGCCGAGACGTCGACAATGTGGTCTTGATGGCCGAAGAGTGTCTCCACATAGGCAAGACTATCCTCACCAGCCAAGCTGTAGGTTTTCAGAGACCGGTCCATGCTTGCACTGAACAGTTGTTGACCAAAGCCGCTTCGACTAGCCGAATTTGGTGCAAATTCAAGCCCCGTAACTCCGTCCCTGTGCGTAGTAAACGTCTTCAAGGGCCGCAGGTCTTCTGCTGACCAAATTATAAGCTTCTTGTCCGCTCCTCCCGTGGCCACAAACTTCCCATCCGGCGAGGCTGCGACAGAAAGAATCCGCGCGGTATGGCCATGCTGTTGAGGTGCCAATGCCCTGATTCTGATGCCTCGAACATACGCCAGCTGTTTTGGCCGGCGTCGGTGTGAAGGGGTTGATTTTTGCCCATTCGAGGTGTTCGGTTGTTGAAGTTGCCATTTTATCAATGTCTTGTCCTTGCTCACAGTGTACGCGTAAGGTTGACAAACTGCCACGCCAGTGGTCGATTCCGTGTCCGCACGAAATGCCGTGTGACTAGCGTTCGCAAAATCCAGATTCTGGGCAATCAGCCGATACTGTCTGCCCTTTGCTTCGTCAACGTCCTCTTTCAGCCGTTGTGCAATCAAGTCCCTGTCAAGGTCTTCGGCGTCAAATCCAGTTTCATCTATTTCTTGCCTGATATTATCCAAGTATCGTTGTGCAAGTCTGACTCGTCGCTCGGCCGCAGTCTCGTCTTCCTCTGATGTAGCTTCTGACTCTTCAACCTCACTTTCTGGCCGGATTTCGTCTTCAGATTCGCTCCCGGATATTGACTCGTCTCGCTGCCGATCTCTATCTCGAGGCTGTCTCCCTTTCCGACGGGGCTGGTCGTCTGGGTGCTCTCGTGCTCGAGCGGCATTTTCGACTTCCCGCCTTTTCCTCGCCTTGCCCGTAGCAAGATTATCTCGTTTTCGCTTCTTCTGCGACGCTGGGAGCGTAAAGAACGAAGACATCTGGGCGTCTTCGCAGCTCGAGTGCCGCCAGAGCAGACTAATAGTCAGTTGCCGTGATATAAATTTCTCCAAAAACTTTTTTAAGATGCGGGCAAATCTGCGGTTTCGTAGCGCAGCCTTGTCGGAAAATTTCATTCGCCGCACCTTCCTCAGATAGAAGAACTCGGCACTAGCCCAGCCTTGCGCCTTCAAGGCAGAGCTTCGCGTGCGTGTTCGAGCAATTGAACTCGTACACCAATTTCAGCCCACGATCAACTCATCCAGAACAACATTCTAGTACCCAGCATCACTCTAAATATTCAAAGAGTTGAGGGGTGTTGATCTGACGACCTCTCCTGTTACATAAAGCGACCTTCACCACCTCAATACTTCTCTCAATATGTAAGACCTTGTTCCATCCGGGCGGCAGTCCAGCCAAGTATCTAACAGCACTTCTTCAGGGAGGTCCTCATCGGTCTTACTGGCCGAGACTTCACCATCATTGCCGCCTCTAAAGCTGCCATGCGCGGTGCCACGATCCTCAAATCTAGCGACGACAAAACCCGACAACTCAACAAACACACCCTTTTGGCCTTCTCTGGCGAAGCAGGCGACACTGTACAGTTCGCAGAATTCATCCAAGCAAACGTCGCTCTCTACTCGATGCGTCACGATACAGATCTGGGGCCTTCCGCAGTGGCCAGCTTTGTGAGAGGAGAGTTGGCGCGGAGTTTGAGGAGCAGAAAACCATACACGGTGAACTTGCTACTTGGGGGTGTTGATCCGATTACGCGGGAGCCAAGTCTTTATTGGTTGGATTACCTTGCGAGTAGTGTGAAGGTGCCATATGCCTGTCACGGATATGCTCAGTGAGTTTGTTCTCCAGGATTTCTCGACTGTATGAATAATCGAGGGCGACCCCATCGACTGACGATTGTGATTTAGGTATTACTGCCTCTCTATCCTCGACAAACACCACCACCCAGACATTTCCTTCGAGCAAGGCATGAAGATCCTGCGCATGTGCACGGACGAACTACAACGACGTCTACCGATTGACTTCAAAGGCATGACGGTGAAAGTGGTCAAGAAAGATGGCATTGTGGATATGGAGTATGACACTAGCAAACAGGTCCTGGCTGCTTAGAAGTGCGAAAAGGGAGAATGAAAGGGATATTCAATTGATCACACCTCATGCATAGCGTCGGCGTAGAAAAGGCTTTATCTGAGTAGCTCGAATGCAGGAAATGGGGTTCATTTCATTTAGGGAGCATTATAGTACGCTCTGCAGTCGAAATGCCTAGGGCATTCTTGGAGATAGCCCTCTCTCCCTTTCCCTAAACCCGTCACGTCTCCTTGTTTTCCATAGCTGCGACGGTGAAATGGGTTGCCCGAAAATTTCTATCTTCCCACAAACAGCCCCTTTTTCTCCCAAAACGCCCTGCTAGATAGTATTCAGACAAGTAATGCCAGCTGTTGAAACTCCGATCTCATCATAAAGAGTAGCCTAGATACCTCCAACAGGTATTCGCCGACCAAACCCTGAGCTCGCGAGATGGTTGACGTCCCGTCGTCCTGAAGTATTACTCTGAGGAGTGTTGCTTCTCAGACGATGGCGAGAGCGTTGCCTGACAGGGCTATTTCGTCTAGAGCTGCTCTCCATCTGGACTTGATGACCATGGTTGTATCGTCGAGCTCGCTGATTCCGCAAATGCTGTCTCCGTCGAGCCAACGACTGAGGAGGTCCTACATCCGAGTCTTCTGACTCGAAGTGATCGTGAGTGGCCTCGGCCTCTGAATGCTCTGGTGAACGTTGTTCATCAAACAAGTCTCCTTCATCTTGATCCTCGGATTCTCCATCGTGCTCGTCCTGTACGTCTTCTCCTTCGTCATTCTCCTGATCATTTTCTTCTTCCTCATCGTCATCATCGTCACTGATAATAACCCGCGCCGGTCTTGGTCTTCGTCCATTTGGTGGTGGGGCGGCGACCTCGCTATCAGAAGCTTCCGTCAATTCATCGTAGTTTGTCTCTAGGTCAGACTCCCAGATTTCGTTTTGCAAGCGGTGACCATAGTCGGTGTACCTATCAATAAGTCGTTGACCACTGTCCGCGGACTCTTGACTTGGAACTTCCGAGAGATTGTCGTGCGTCTCATTCTCTGACCACTGTCGGTTGTACATGGTCATTGTGGACTCGGTGTCGTCGTCATCTTCGTCGGCCTCATTGTCGATGAAATGATTCATCCCATCATCCTCGTCATAGTAGTCGCGCCAGTCTTCTTCCCCCTCTGATGCACTTGATGTCCTGGACCAGCTGGCATAACGATTTCCCGCCCCTTCTGCACGCAGGGACGTTTCGAAGTCACGATCGATATCATCATCCGCATCAAACTCCGAATTGGTCATGTGGGACGCTTGCGAGTCGTAATCGTAGTCGGACAAGAGTTCGCCATCAGAATCATAGATTTCATTGAAGCCACAGCGCCCGCATTCACCATCTTCAATTTCCCAGTGACATTCGGGGCAGCGCACGACGTTGTCCTCCAGATCTAGAATTCCTCGACCCCAGCGCAGCTGCGCTCGTATTGGTGTCAGGAAGATGCCTTTGAAAAGACCCGGGCCGTTGCGATCTGCTGCCAGCTGAGCAGCCTCTTCCTCTTTGGCTACCTGGTGTTCTTGTATGGTCTCATCTTCGGGCAACAAATCGGCTCTGCCAATTAACATGTGGACCAGATCTCGGAGGAGGTAGTTGGGAGACGGTTGTGTCATGATTTTGGTCCTGCAGTCTGGACAACTTTTGCTCTTGTTTCTCCTCTGTGCTCCACCAAACCAGCTGGCAAGACACGTGTAGCAGTACGTGTGACCGCACGAGAGGACGTAGGGCTCATACAAGGATCTCATGCAGATCTTGCACACGGAGAGACTGCGTATATCCTCGATATGCTTGAGATGGGCAGGGAGAGGGGGCCCGTTGTTGTCCGCCATCTCGGTTTGAGGCTACGCGATTGTTGTGAAAAGGGTTTATGTGGTTTATGTTGGACTTTGAACGGCGGCGCTCAATACGTTTTGTGGAGGCGGGGAAACATAGGTCAGCGTGACACGCGAAAGATAGGCGACGGATAGAGCGGAGGGCAAGAGTGAACCTGTTTGTCGAGTTGCTTCTGAGGAGATGCAGTCTCGCAAGAAAAGATCGCCAGCGCGTCCTTCAAAAACATCCACATAGTCAGAGGTGAAATATGGATCGTCCTAGCCACCTCTGCAGCCTTCGGATCTCTGATATCAAGGGCTTGGCGTCGATATACCCAAGGAAGGTCTGCCGAGAATTTTCTCCAAATCTCGAACTTGGTTGCGATATTGTCGCCTGTATTTTGGCCAATTCTCTGGTCCTCGATTCCGCGGCCATGTCCAAGCCAATTTCCTTCGGTTTTGGCAAGCCGAAGCCTGCTGTATCTTCGTCCGCCGTTGCCACAGCTACCCGCAAAACCCCCGCGTTGTCGAGCAGCCGGCCCTCGCGAACCGCTCTCCGCCATGATTCAGACAACGAAGATGAAGAAGAGCCAAGGCACGAGTCAGTCTCTGGCTTCTCGTCAAGTGGTGCTATTCTAAGCCAGCCCCTACAGGACTCACAAGTGAAGGTGATAGCGAATGCCGGAAATGCCGACTGGCGCAGACATGGGCGAAGAAATTTACTTCCTGCGGATGTCCAAGTACAACAGCAGAACGGCGATGGCGTTGTCATGGTAGAGCGAGACGAAGTTAGTAATGCTAGTGGGCTGCAATTCGCGGACAAGAACAATGAGGAGAGAGAACATCAGACAAATGGTGATCAACAGTCGCAGGAGAAACATACTGTTGAACGGCCGGAGCAGCTGACGGCAGACGAGGAAGCCTTGCAAGCACTGTTGGACGATGGATCCGGCAAAGCAAGGTCTAATGCTGTCATATCAATACAGGGAAACAGACAGCTTTCGCCTCAAGACGAGACGCAAGACTTCAGGGACGACGTCGCTTCCAGGCCGGATTCAAGCACCCTCGAAGAGTACGCCGCCATGCCTGTAGAAGAGTTTGGGATGGCTATGCTGAGAGGGATGGGCCAAAAACGCCGTGCCAACGGAGAGATTATCGATCTCGCTCCAAAGTCTGACGAGAATCCACGAAAAGTCCGCAAGCATGAAGGCTTTCTCGGAATTGGGGCAAAAGCAGCCCCTGGATCAGATATCGAGCTGGGTGCGTGGGGAAAGGCTGACATGCGAAAAAATACAAGAGGAGAGGGGTTTTTTACACCACTGATGCGCGAGAACAAGGCCACTGGGGAACGCATCTCAGAGGACGAGTTCCAGAAAAGAGTGAAGGAGTCGCGGGGTGCCAAACCAGAGGAAGATTGGAGGCAGCGCAGGGATCGTAACCTGGAGATCAGTGGTCGGGATCGGCATCAAGAAAAAGACTCACCAAGAAATGGGACCGATGACTACCGAGAGCAGATGAATTCGTTTTCTCGCTCCAGCTCTTCGAGGCGAGACCGAGACGGACGTGATGATTCCCGTTCAAAGAGGGACAGAGATGACAGAGAGTATGGAAATCCGCGGTCAAGACGTGATGATGACAGGTCACGAGATCGAAGGCAAGACGAGGATGATCAAGATGACCACGATAGCCGACGTCGAGCCAAACATCGGGACCGCTATCGAGATGAAGACCGGTACGACTCCAGTTCGTCTCACCGAAGTCACAAGGACCGGGACCGGGACCGGGACAGAGATAGGTACAGGGAAAGAGAGGGCGATCGCCGCCACCGGGACAGATAATGTCGAGTTCCCAGGGAAGAAAATATGGGAAGAGCAACCGCCGAAGCTTCCATAGACAGTAGGTTTACGCTCCGAGAGAATATGAATACCCATTATGACCCTTTTCTTTAAAATTGCACGACAGCAACAGCGCCGTCATCGCCATCCGATTGATTATACCATGACAATATCTCCGTCCATGCCCTTATCATGCACCTCGTGCCCGTTGGCGAGCAGCGGCCCGTTCAGTCCACCCGCGGCCGAGACGCCAGCAACCTCATCCATCTCCCTGAGCGTGTACTCGATCAGGTAGCTCTCGTCGACCAACTCCTCCATCCTCTTGTAGTGCCTTTCCGTGTAGACTTCCAACGCCCTCAAGAGCCCTTTCATCCCGCCGGCTCCGCTGCCCGCGTTTCGTCGGCCCCTGGTCGTCTCCGTCTCGCCGCCCACGGCGCCTATCTTCCGGTCCCGGGCCATCTCGACGAACACGTCCTTCGGGTACGACCGCAGCAGGCAGTTGAGGATCCTCTGGGCCACGGGGGCTGTGCGGGCGTTCGTGTTCCAGTCTCGCACGTTCTCCAGCAACTGCCAGAGCTGCGTCCTGTCCAGGGAGGCGAGGACGTCATCCACCGCTTTCGAGCCCATAATGCTGCTGCCGCCGCTACCATTGTCGTCGTCGCCTCCATCCTCGACCGTTTCTTTCCGGGATTCGGATGAATTGACCACATTCTCGAAGACGCGCAGCAGTCGACCAGGGTGGCCCAGCGCCAAAGAAAGGGTGATGGCCTCGCGGTAGTTTTTGCTGAATATGTGGTTCTGGAGGAGCTGGTCTTGTTCGATTCGCTCAGTCGCGCGTTGAGACGCCAGCAATGTGGTTTGAAGCGTGGTGTCACGCCAGAATGTCAGGGTTGCGTCGCCGGCGCCCGATATCAGCGAGTAAGGATAGGTTTGCGGTTGCGGCTTGCTGTGCTTTTTGCTCGCAGCGGACGAAGATGTTGTTGTCCGCGGGTAGGAGTTTGGCGCGACCAGCGCCCACACGCGATCGGTGTGGTTGTCCAGGGTGGTTAGGAGATGGTCGGAGTCGGGGGCGGAGTATGGCGTCCAGATTTTGACCAGCGTGTCGGAGGATGCGGATGCTACTAAGGGTTGATCGTTTGACTGCGCTTGGGCAGGCCGGGCTGCTTCTCCAGCATCGTCATCTTTGGGTTTGGAATCGGCGGGTGGGATCCAAACAACTTTCAACACGGAATTACTGTGCCCTTCGAACGTTTGGAGACAGGTGTAGGTTGAAAGGGACCATACTTTGACTGTTCGGTCGCCTGAGCCACTCACAAGCAGTCCGCGAGCGCCACTTGATCCCCCGTCTGGGAGAGAAATGGGAGGTGTCCCTGCAGGAGAGAAGCGAACGGACCAGACACCTCGCTTATGGCCGCGTAGGATGGCCGTCACCGAACCATCTTCCAGAGACCACACCTTGATAGTGCGATCTTGAGACGCTGAAGCAAATAGTGGTGAGATGGGTGACACGTCCATTGCATTGATATCCTTCTCGTGCGCAACTCGGGTGAACAAGGCTTTCGTGCCTGTTTGAGGTTCTGTTGCTGACTGGTCGTACTTAAGTTTCGCTGTGTCCCATCGTTTGATAGTTTTGTCTTGTGAGCCCGTTAACAGGAATGCTGGCGGGTATGCTGCTGGATTCCTCAAAGCCGGCCCATCCGTGGGTGGGCTTCTAGGTAATGCGATGGCGCCCAAGGACTCTGCATGTCCGGCGAAAACAGCAAAGCATTCGTACGATGATGAGGCAGGGTCTAATCTCCATAACCTTGCAGTGTTATCCTTTGCACCGGTTGCTACCCAATATCCTGACCAATCGACGTCCAAGCAGATGATAATGTCTTCGTGCCCCTCGAGCAGCGCAACATCGTTTCCGAAAGACTCGACGCCGTCTGGAGGGTCGGACTTTGCTTGTTGATCATTGTCTCGAATCGAAATCAGTCTGAGACTCTCCGTGTTGGTGGCAAGTGCCAGCAGAGTCCTGTCGGGACCGACACACGCCATGTCAATAACTTCATCATAGTTTCCAGATATCGTGCGAATCACTGGTAAAGGCTCCAGCGACTGTGACTTTCCGAGATCTCGCAGAGCAGAGATACTCTGCAACTTCATCGTTTGATCTTGATGGATAGACAGAACCGCGTCATCCTCAGACACCGGGATGATAGCTGTGATAGCATCATTCTCAAGCCCTGGTTTCTGTTTGGGAGTTACTTCACGGCCTGTGGTGACGTTCCAGATCCTCACTGCGCCATTTTCTCCTCCAGCATAGCAAAATCGACCTTCCAGCAGAAAACCGGCTGTTTCCAGCACCTCCAGAGCCGGAATAACTCTTTGCTGTTTCCATGTCCGGCCATCCCAGAGAATTATTGTCCGGTCGCGGCTTGCTGAGAGGAGGAGTTGTTGCTCTTCGGAGTATTCCAGGCTTCGCACAACGCTAACGTGTGAGTCCAGGGTAGCGCTGGGTTTGCGAGCAGCTAGGTTCCAGACGCGGATCTTTCCATCTTCGCCGCCGGAAGCAAGATAGATCGATCGAGCGGGAGATGGGTCGTCGACCTCCATCTGGTCTTCCCCGCGGCTCTTTCGCTTGCGGCTCGTCTTGGCATGTGATGGGCTTGTTGACTGTGTTTCGAAGAAATGAAGAGCAGAAACGACCCCGCCGTGGCCATGGAATGTATGCGAGACATAACCACCTCTGAGGTCATATACCTTCACCGTTCCCTCGGCGCCTCCCGTCGCGAGCAGTGACCCCGTGGCATCTATAGCCGAGGACACCACCGGGGTGGTATGTGGCTTCAGTGTGCGCGTAAGTTCCGCAGTTATTGTGCCAGATCCTTCTAGAGGTCTGAGTGAAAAGATCCGTAGTGAAAGCGACCGCGAAGCAATGACTAAATGGTATAAATCCGGAGCCAGACACAGGCTTGTCACAGCTTCTCCATCCCCTTCGATACGACAGAGCACCTTGCCGGTCTGCACATTGACAATCAAGACATCCTCATCGACGCACGTTGCAATGAAAGAGCCGCTTGCATTGTGCGAAACATCGCCGCCCGTGAAAATCGGCTCAATGGTTTTGGCAGCCTCAAAGGTTGTCTTGTGGTGGATTTTGGTGGCCATCGTCGCTGGACATTCGCATCCTTAAAGTCACACCATGAATACAAAGGCCTTTAGATACAGGTATTGCGGCGATCGGGACGGATCGAACAACGGGACACCAAGGCTGAACCTGTTGAGATGCTTTTGAAATTTCACGGGAAAAAAAGTTCAGAGATCAAACTCCAGCCAATTACGTGTGGCAGATATTTTAAGGTTCACGCTAGTGCTTGGCAGCTCAGCCTTGTCGCCACAATCTCAGCCTCGCCACGAATGGACGCTGTCGGCCATTTGTCGGCAGTTCGAGCAAACATTCTTCATGCGAGTGCCGTTATCACTGGTACTGGAATACAAGCAAGAAGCATATCGACAATGCTTTATATATACATCTATATGCAGCGGCCTTAGAGCCAAGCATCCGTTGGTGTGGGGGCCTGCCATTGTCAAGAGCCAGAAGGCACGAGGACTTCATCATGGTCAGACACTTTCCTTATCACTGGAGATAACCGGAAGATCTTCTAACCATTGATCCTTTGCAGTCATCTCGCTCGTCTCCTGGAGATACCTATAGCAGGTATAGAGGCTGGTGATGCTAGTGTAAAGAAGTATTCCTAGCTGTTCCGCTTCAGACAGGAGACTTGAGGAATTGCAACGGTCCCTGCTTCGGTCGATCAAAGGCGATACTCCACTTCACCATGAGTATTGACAATGGGTCAGGCAGTGAAAATGAGCGGCGTGAATGCGCTGCGTGCTGGTGCGGCAGCGACATGTTTGGTGTCCAGCAGTCGTCTTGTACCAAATCTGCACTCCTCACGCGCTCTACACTTCCAACAAGGCCATTCCTCTCGGACCAAGCAGCGACAAATAACAATTGGCATATATCCTTCTTGATCATTCAACCTTGCGCATAGGCGAGTCATTTTCTCTGTTCCACCAAGATCGCTGCCATGGCCCAACCACTGTCTGCACAGCATGCCACCGCCCTCTGCGCCGGGGTCGACGCGGTCATTACACACCTTCAGAGCACCCTTGAGCACGATTTCAACCTTCAGCATATGCGCATAGCATACACAGCTGGCGTCAATGCTTATCTCGAGAAGATGCTTCAGGCAAACCTTCAACAACACATCGATCGGGTCCAGTTCGAAAACGCCCTTCGACTTGCTCTTCCTCAGTCCCTCGGCAACGAGCCTTATGCTATGATCATCAAACGGCAGTTTCTCCTTTCAGGCCTCTCTACCGACATTATTCTTTACGATACTCATTGGGCGCAGCAGTATCACGCCCGAAACCTCGCCAATCCAAACCCAACAGGCACCCCTGGCATCATGTCCACAAGATCATCAACTACGGAGACTCGAAACGCTCTAATGAGTTACCGCCAGAGGGTATACGCTGAGGCAATGAGAGATGTCGCTGAAGGAGAGGGTAGGCATCATTTTGTCACTGGACAGGAGATGGTGATGCAAACCGACGCCTGCATCAACAAGTGGGTTGAATTTGTGAAGGCAGCCGGAGGCACCGTGTGGGAAGAAACAAGCAGGGACAACGAAGACGTCCACAATGATCAGGAGGAAGGTGCGGAGCCCAACGAGAATGCAGTCGATGAAGTCGCCGCTGTCCACGTCCGCAACTGGGGGGAACGAGCTGATGGGCGCTTCTACTGCACCATTTGTGTTGGCCATGGGGGCATTGCACATTGGAGCTCTCTCAAACGCCACATGCAGTTGAAACACCATCTAGATACCTGAGGGGGTCTGATGGGAAGATGAGGGATCTGAAGGAGATTGAAAACGAGGAATGACATGACCATGACACAACATCGACACCAGTGGGCCACTGGCCTACAGGGTAATAGATTCGGTGAGCTTGCACGGTGTTTTTCATTCAGCCTTGTTTTACCCCGAGCTATTGTGGATGAACCCCCAGTTAATCGGTCAGCGTGCAATGAAACCACCGTCGACCTGCAAGAAACTGCCCGTCATCCAACTCGCAGCATCACCGGCCAGAACGAGTACAGCCTTTGCAACATCTTCAGGTGTTCCGAGGTGTGGCCAGGGGCTTTGTTGGTGGAGCAATTCGTTCGTTTCCTTCTTCTCCAAGAAAGGCCTGACCATCGCCGTGGCTAAGAAGCCCGGACAGACGGCATTCACATGGATCTTATGTGGAGCATAGTCGACCGCCACCTGGCGCGTGAGATTGACCACAGCCCCTTTGCTGGCACAATATGATGCTTTTCAAACATGGATCAGCCCTTTTTCAGTTCTTGGGGGGCCGATGGTCTGGTGATCAACCGAGCAGGGGGACTTACGTTCCAAGGCAAGGCCGACTTGTCCCCCGATCGAGGCGATATTGATGACCCATCCACGCTCTCCCGACGGCAAGGGGTCTTGCTTCATCATCTGCGTGATGGCAAACTTCATCCCGAGATAAACGCCTCTTGCGTTCACGGCCTAGCAACAGAATCTAAGTCACGCTGCCCGTAAAAGGATAAGTGTCTTCCTACCATTGTCTTGTCGTAGTTGCTGACAGGTTCATCAACGATATTGGCCAGGCCCGTGAAAATGCCGGCATTGTTGACCATGCTGACCAGGTTCGTCAGTCAGGGTGTGTGCCTGCGAGACATGCATGGTGACTCAACAGCTCGGGGCACGGTGAACTGTCTAGAAAGAGAGGGCCCAAGAAACGGAATAGGAAAGCTTACATATCGAGTCTGCCGTAGGTCTTGACTGCCAGATCGACCAGGAGCTTGACATCATCTTCCGAGCTGGCATCTGCCCGTTGGAAGATGGCCTTGCCTTGCCCGTGGGTTCGGACGATCAGGTCATGGGTTGGAGTGAGGTCTTTTTCGTAGCCACCGGCTCGAATCTCAGAGGTTAAGTCGCTGCAGACGATGGATGCGCCTTCTGATGCCAGCGCCAGCGCGATGGCCCTGCCATTCCCCGACGAAGAGCCTGTAACGATGGCAACCCGTCCGGTGATGCTAGGATGCCGAATGAGCCATTCTTCCGACACCACATGCGATGTTTGTATACAAACCTAAGGATATTGGACATGCTGGACTTGGGTTTGGAGAATTGATGAGTGTGTCAGCAAATTGCCTCGATAGCTCGTCTGGATCTGCCGGTATTTGTCTCGCATTCCTCAATCTATTTCTCGACAGAGTCATGTGGAATAGATCCATTCGACCGTGGAGGAGCTCCCCCATGGCACGGCTTGACACGTGTCGAGAGCGGTACCGCTACAAAGCTAAGTTTTCCAATTCGTTAGGATAAGGTTCGCCTCTGTGCAGGTGCAAGAAAGGGTCAAGAAGAGGGCTTCCGAGACTTTCGTTTATGCCCAGCTGCAGTGACAAGAGGGGTCGTTAGGGCGAGGGGGCGCAGGAGAGATTGAGATATCCAATGGGATACGCTGCGGTCCCGCATCATGCCATGCCCGCCGCCGGATGTGTAACCTCCAGACGCACCAAGCACTGGGTACGTCGTTAGATCTGTCCGGGGTATCCGTACCTCTCCACGCTACCAAACAGACAGGGCACCGAGGTACAGTTCCCTTCTCATGAGACGGTGGTGGTGGTCTTGTCGGGGCCTGGCCTCTCCGCACATGACGTCTTTCAGCCTCGCCGGCCTGGTCTATCTCGGACACTGGCTTATGTACTTGCCCTTGGGCCTACAAATGGTGCTGACCAAAGCTGCTGGCGGCACCGCAATCTACGAGTGCTTACGGAGCAATAGAGCTCACGAAACATGGGTCCGGGCTGGAGAACCACCTCGGATTGTCCAGCACAAGTGCAGGTATAAGGTCTATTTCATGAGCTCGAATCCCGGGATTCTCATGTCCTCCAAGTCGGAAGTAAGTCATTCTTCAAGGCCATACACATCCCACAATCCCAACCATGCCGCGCGAGGACATCTCCTTCCAGACCGCCGATAACGTCACCTTGAGAGGGTGGTTTTACAAGCCTTCGGAGAGCGACACGGCCCTACCGTGCTTGGTGATGGCCCATGGGTTCTCTTCCCTGAAAGAAATGGATCTTAACACGTTTGCCGAGTACTTTACAACCCACCTCCCCCTGTCCTGCCTGGTGTACGACAACCGGGGATTCGGCGACAGTGACACGAAGGAGGGACAACCCCGCCACGAAATCCTGCCCACCCAGCAGACGAGCGACTTTTCAGACGCCATCACCTACGCGCAGTCGAGGGTCGATGTCAACCCTGACAAAATCGGCGTCTGGGGCAGTTCCTACAGCGGCGGCCATGTGCTCTGGGTTGGTGCGGTGGACCGCAGGGTGAAGGTGGTGCTCAGCCAAGTGCCCTGCGTCGATGGCTGGGCCAACTTCCACCGTCTCATACGCCCGGATTTCGTGGCGGGCTTGAACAAGCTGTTCCAAGAAGGTGCGCAGTCGATCTTCGCAGTCTCTCATATCCGTCCTAAATCGAAGCGCAGATCGGCTGGCAAGAGCCGCAGGCAAACCGCCCGGCTTGTTGCCCGTGGTTGATGCCGATCCCCATAAACCATCGGCGCTGCCCACCCCGGACAGCCATGAATTCTTCACAGGATGGGGGAAGAAGAGCAACTGGAAGAACGACGTGACGGTGAAAACGTACGTGACCAAAAGTCCCCCCCCCCCCTTTTCAACATGATGAACCATTCCTCGTTGACACGGGAGGGGTTTTCCTCAGGATCGAGGCCTTTCGCGAGTATAACCCGTCGGCGCACATCCACCACATATCGCCCACGCCTCTACTCATGACGGTTGCGGAAAATGACGTGCTGACGCCGACCGACCTGGCCCTGGACGCCTATTCGAGGGCGCTGGAACCCAAGCAGCTGCATCTCCTGCCCGGTGGTCATTTCGACGCTTATTCCGGGCCCAACTTCGAAAGGAATGCTGGTCAGCAAGCGCAGTTTCTGAGGGAGCATCTGTGCGGGTAGAGAGACTAAGCGAGAATCGCCGTGGCCGTAGACAGACATAGAGGAGGATTCGGATCCGATGCCCCGTCCCTCGTACAGTCATCAGGTGGCGCCACAATGGACGGGGGGGATAGGCCTAGACGACTTCCTGGTTGGTCTGTAGAGAATTGTTAAGCAACTGAATTTATGCCCCAGCATTACGAGGGACTTTGTTAGACTGAGGATCTTTGGCCCTGACAGATCACTGAGGGTCTCGTCTTCGTGTGTCCCCTACCGATATCGTCAAGGTAGCCTACAGCTGCCGACAACCTTCACTGCTCTAGCTGCTCTGGGTGGGTCGAGGTCACTATCGCTATGGACGTCATCTTCGATCCCACGGGGATTTTCTCAATGGCGCCTTCAAACTCGAGCTTCGTCTAAGCGACTCCAGCGATTTCCCTACGTTTGACTGGCATCCCTGCACTGCCGGGTTTTGCCGCATCCACTCCAGGCGGCGCCTCGGACATAAGAACGACGTCGAGAAGGCCCCTTTATCCGCTGACCCGGTATAATTATTTTTCTCGTTGTATGATACATATATATGGAGGCTATATTGCCACCGACCTCTACCACTGCCATGCAGGCTGTTCCGAGCCACGCACCGTCCTGAGCGACCATACCCTGCGACTCGCGACGATGGAGGAAGCATTCCAGCCCCGTGCGCCTAAGAGGCAAAGGAGACAGTACCAGAGCTGCGACAATTGTCGCAAAGGCCGGCGAGCCTGCAACGCGGTGTCCCTAGGTATCAACCCCCTGCAGCAGAACACCCCGGCTACGGGCGCTGCATCGATAGCCTGCTCGACTTGTCAACGCTCCAAGAAGGAGTGCACGTTCCGGTGGTTGCAGGAAATTCCGCGCGGGACGCTGCCAGAATGTCTCAAGCAGAAATTCAGCACGCGCTACGATCCTGTTATGCACGGCGGAGGCGGAGAAGTCCCTCAGGGCTCTCAACCACCACCACAATCCCGCCCGGCCAATGTCAGCAGTTCCAATGAGACAGCGAACCGGAGAACAAACGCCATAAGTCAACCAGTTGAGAGGCAGAACAACGGCCCACGGCAAGTCCGGATAGCACCGCATCGCGACCAGCTGGGAATGAATAACGTTGAGCAGCAATCAACTGGCCTATCCAGAAATGATGTCGGTAGCGCGGCTGATGTCGCAGCGGACTGCACCAACTGGCTGGAAAATATCGGATGGTCAACTTCCCTCCTTGACGACGACCGAGGGCAAGCGTTCTGGCAGTCCGGGACTGCGCAGGTCGGCGAGCGGGGGCTACCGTTCGATGACAGTGGTCAATCTACAACATTTGCAAGCTGGGACTCGCCCTTGTATGGATCACTGCTCGACTATGCGCGGTCAAATGCTGAAGGCCTCGACGGTGGCGTGGACGATTCACACCGCCTTCTATCCTATCCCTTTGAGCAGACGGACACGGTCAATCAGACACAGGACACGGACGACTTGGCCTTGCTCACCGATTCGATGCTGGGGAGTATTCCACCGTGCACACCGCCGGTTCCGGACGATGTGTCGTTCAACATGCGAGAATTCGACCTCACGCAGTCCTTCAGCAAGTGCCTGATCTCCGACCGGCTACTCGCCGTGTACCACGACAGTTTCGAGACTTCGCTCTCTTGCTGGGTCACCGAGTCGAACTGCCCGTTCAAGCTGCCGCGGCTGCTTCTGGGGAGCGCCAGCCAGAGAACCAGGCTGCTTTCATATCTGGCGAGCACCGGCTTCTATCAACGGATCCGGAGGCTAGACGGCGCCTTTTCCCCGCTTCGCAAGCAGCCGCTGAGCCGCGGGGACTGCGCCAGGGCGTCTAGAGCTCTTATGCTCGCAATATTGGCGTTCGCCAGCCAGTGGACCCATTCGCATGACCGGCGACGCCGGCGAGTGCACTCCGTCTACCCGGAAACAGACGCCACGGAGTCTCGCCATGCAGCTGGAAAGAATGTGCCGGACACCGCCGGAGCGAGTCCTCACGACTTCGAGCGCCTCATCCAGCAGAGCCTCTGGAACGAGGCGGCAGACGCCGTCCACGCGTGTTTCAATGTCGACTCCTTCGAACTCATCTTTGCCCAGATAATATTCTCAATCATGGAGAGAGCCTCCGGCCACGGCAGGTCCGAGGCCCATGAGCATGCGAGGGTGGTCTCCTATCACGGCGATCGATCCTCATTCGCGAACGTGTCGGCCAGCGACCCCAGGGACCGCGTCATTGCTTCCTCGCATCGAAGAAGAGTGGTCGCGGTTGGCAATGAAAGATATCTCGAGATCGCACTGCGTCACCTGCTCGCCTGGAAGAAGAGAATCGCCTCCGCCCGGCGGCAACAAGCGGCGCTCGCTCTGCTGCCCTTGGGACACACTGCGAGCCCGCACCAGCCCATCCTGGCGGAAGATTACCAGGCGTTTGACATGTTCTTTTGGTTCGGCGTCATGTGTGACACCACCGCGGCCGTCCTGAACGAGCGGGTTCCCGTGATTCCCGACACCGACGCGGTCTTCAACCTTGACGACGGGCCAACAGCGTCCCCGCCGACCGGAGGAGACGCTCCGTTCGGAAGACACGATCACCGCCCGAGAAGCACTGCGGCGAGAGCTACCGTCTGGGGATCCTGCGTGGCGAACGCTCAGCCCCTTTTTGGGGCGCCCACAGTGCGGTGGCCGTGGGCGCAGGGAGACGCCGAAAGCGTGCTCCAGGAAGCCATCCCGGTCAAGGTCCTGCTGTGGCGGCGGATCACGGTCATCAAGACGCTCCTGGCCCGCGATGAGACGCCCCCGGGGGCGATCGAGCGGTGTGTCGCGGAGACGCTGCGGGTGTACGAGCACTGGCAGCACCACTACGGCGACTTCATGCGGGACTGCGTCTCCCACCACGCCCAGCTGCCGTTCAAGATCCAGTCGTGGTACGTCATCCTCTCCAGCCACTGGCACCTGGCCGGCCTGCTCGTGGCGCATTACATCGACCTGGCGGACGGGAGTGTGAGGTCGGAGGCCGTGCCGCGGTCCCTGCGCCAGTCGTCGGCGCTGGTGTGGGAACTGCAGAAAGCCAACGCCTATGCCATCGCCGACCTGGCGCGCGTGGCGAAACCGCCCGAGGCCGCCGGTCTGTCGCACCACGATCGATCCTTCCACTACGCCACCGCCTACGGCGCCCTCGTCACGGAGCCTTGGCCGGAAGTCCTCACCCAGGCCCTCACAAGGGCGTGCGAAGTGCTGCTGGGCTGGCTGTCGTCCACGAAGGACCCAACGCCGCGCACTTCGCAGCAGACGTGGGTTTCCGCCAACACGAGCGCGTCCGAGTTGACTCGGCACGCCGCGAGTTGCATCGACGCGCTCCATCTGCTGGGGAGCAGCTCGGACCTGGCACAGCTGATGGCGTCGTCGCTCGAGGACCAGCTGCAGGCGTTGACCGAGCCCCCGCCCCCGGCCCCGGCCTTTGACGTCCACTGGCAGGATTTCGGCTACGACAACTTGGTCTATTGATTCACGCGCCGTAGATCTAATGGGTATCATGTCTTGTGATGATGTGTCTATACTCAAGGGCGTCCACTATATTTCAGTTTATGGCTGAGAGTTTTGAGGTAAACTGGTAAACTGTATGTATGAACATGATGCGTCCTCTTGTCGAGCATGCCTATTACATTGCAGGTCTGGGCAGGCCCAATCTTCATCCATTCGCCTCCGTCCTCGTGGTCTCAGAATCCCTTTCTTCCCTTTGCTCAACCCTTCCCCAGCCAGCATGTTCGAACCAACTCACTCGTATTTCTGGGCCGTCGTGAACCACTCTGGGCGGTACAAGCACCGTCACAATAGCAAGGACTCTCGCCGCTCGTCCGGTGAATCGGCAGCGCACCATCTACTTGGATTCAGGGCGTCGGAAGACCGTGCAGTATTGTGTCCACTACCCGTCTACGGAGCGTTTCTTCACGTCAGCGTGCTAGTATAAGGTTTTCGCGTGAGCATTATCTAGCGTTGTTGGGGTCCCCGTCTCTCGGTAGCTCTCATTCATCATGCAGTGTTAGCTCACAGACGGTACCGAGAGGTCGGTACTTTAGGGAGGTACATATGGGTAGGGAGGTGGGTTGCGGAACCGCAGCGACGGCGATTGGTGCTGGTGCCATTGATTGGTCCATCCTGGATTCCTGTCTCGCCTGTACGGTCCCAAGAGTACGTCCATAGCAGAACACCAGGACGACAGTTCTATGACTACACGCTCTTTATCTCAATGGTCCGTCGGATGCCTTGTCTCTGGTATATCCCGAGACGCGCAGAGGCAGCAGTCGAGGAGACCCTCCTTCTCCCCACAATCGGGCCCCAGCCCTCGAGCGTACGTGCGTATGCCTTCGCACCCGCTTCTATCCCCGGACAGAACGACTTATAACCCTTTCGCCAGTGCAGACACATCGGCGACCCCCTGCAGCGCCAACGCCGCGTCGCTGGCCTTCCTGGCCCCCTCGGCGCCCAGCACGGGGGTGACCTGGTCGATGAACTTGTCCTGCAGCTGTGCGTCCGTCATGGGCACCTCGAGGCTGCCGATGGCGTGCGTGACGTGTTTGGTGAGCGTCGTGGCGGTCGGGCCGTCGAACTCGACGACGACCTCGGCCTCGTCGGCGCCCAGGCCCGCGTCCGCCGCGGCGTCGATCCGGTCCCTGACGGCCACGATCTCGGCGCCGGTGACCACCGCGTCCTCGTACTGCGCGGGGCCGGCCTTGCCCAGGACCAAGCCGACCGCGCCGCCGTGGTAGACGCTGAACTTGGCCTGCAGGCCGTCCTGGGGCGTCTTCTTGCCCGTCAGCTCCAGCACCAGCGGGTGGACCTTGCAGTGGACGCGCCGGATCTGCGCGGCGGTGAGGCCGCGCTGCCGCATGTCGCGGTGCAGCTGGATGCAGGCGTCGATGATCGGGTGCACGACGATGCCGCAGGGGAACGGCTTGAACGAGTTCTTCTCTGTCTCCCACACCTGGCCCAGCGTCGGCATCACGGCGTCCAGGTGCCGCGTCTCGCTCACCACGTTAACCCACCCGCGCTTGGCCTCCAGGGCCTGCGTGGACGAGGTGTACCCCTTGGACGCGAGCACCGCCGCCATGAGGCCGTTCTGCGCCGCCCGCCCCACGTGGAACGACTTTGTGTCGGAGCCGAACATCTCGCGCAGGCCCGTGACCTGGGTCGCGGCGATGCCGATGGCGTGGGCCATCTGCTCGGTGGTGAGATTGAGCAGTTTGCCCACGGCGACCGCGGCGCCGATCGAGCCGGTCGTCGACGTGATGTGCCTGTGGCGCATTCAGTCAGTCGACTCCCTTGACGATACCGTTCATGCCAGAGACAATCAGAGCATTTCGTTCTCCTTCATGGCGGTTCCCTCTACAAACAACGACGAAAGCACTCACCAGCCGATATCATAATGCTTCGGCCACACGGCCAACCCGACTTTACACTCGGCCTCGATGCCCGCCACCAGGGCGAGGATGAACTCGTCGCCGGCGACGGGTTTCCCCAGCGCCTCGGCCTGCGCGAGCAAGGCACTCGCCACGGGTCCTGTCGGGTGGATGATGGTCTCGAGATGCGTGTCGTCGTAGTCGTGGACGTGCGAGGCGATGCCGTTGATGAGGGCCGCGTGCGACGCATCCGCGCTGCCGATGTCGCCTCCCCCTGAGCGGTGGCCCAGGATGCTGGAAGTGGGCTTGCCGAAGAAGGGCGCCAGGGCCTCGAGCGCCGTCGTCGTGGTAGGGTGGTTCGAGCCGCCCAGCGCGCAGCCCGTCCAGTTGTAGAAACTGCGCACCGCGGCCTGGCTGACGGCCGCGGGCAGGTCACTGGATTGTAGAGACGTGCTCCACGCCGCGAGGCGGAGAGTCGCCATTTTTGGTTGTTGTTTCCTTTTGCTCTTCTTTCCTGAGTTCTGTCTGTGTGTGGGATCACGGATCTGGTTCTTGTTCTAGATCTGATCTGCGTGCCTTTGGTGTAGGTAACGCGATAGTTAAAGTCCTCTCGTGCCCTGTCAGTCTCAGATGTAGTGCCGCGATTCCTCCTATGTCGACGCTCGCCTATCCTGGTCCCAGCTCAGCCAGCTCGAAGCGCTATATCAGCAAAGACGATGCTTCCTTGCGCGAAAGAGGGCTTAGATCTAACCTTCAAGGGTAATCATAGCATATCGTGAAGAGTTGTCCTTCGTGAAATCACATTATCGTATATATATACATACCTGTCCTTGCCGGCAAATGATCCATTGGGCTTTTTCCAAAGCCCATCCGACGGCTTTCCCCACGGGCATTGTCCGCTCCGCTGCGACGTTGATGCTGGAGACAGATGACGACGGGTCGCTCGAATGCATCCCCTCACGGAAGGAACTTGGCCGATATCGCAAGAGGGCCACCACTTTCTTCTCCAACGGTGCGAATCTATCGGGGGTGGGGAGAGAATCGACAGAGACACAAAACCACTTATTGTTCCTGGCTCGTAGGGAACAGGTTGTAGGAGCATAGGACCTGGGACCTGGAACCTGAGGATGCACGCCACGACTATAGATACTGATCCCAGAAACAGGGAGGAAACGGTGTTCAGAATTACCTTTTTACCAGCCAGGCCTGCCTATTTACCTCCTTCGCATACTCGAGTCCGGGATTAGTCGCCTATGTAGGTCAATCTCAATCATCACCACTATTGCCGTACATCTCCAGTGTCCACTTCCACTGCCTCCCCCTCAATCGTACTCGGTGCTCGTATGAGACGCCCACGTCTTGGACGGCCTCATCTGGTCGAGTGGCGGCGGTGCCGGGCTAAAGCCATTGGTGGTCGAAGCGATGCTCGCCCTCCTCGCTTTGCCGTTGCCGTTGTAGGCCTTCCGGTACTCCCTCTCTGCCTGCCTGAGTACCTGCCATTCCAGCAAGCCCTGTTGGAAGATGCCGGTCTTGGGGAACAATGCGACGCCCGGGTGCACCAGCTCTTCCCCTTGATCTGGGGTCACCGTCGCGGTGTCGCGCTTGCGGTACAGTCGGGGACTCACACAGAGCGGTTCGAAGGCGCTTTCTCTGCAGACCCCTAGAGACGGGTTGGGCGCGTCCTCGAGGTCGAGGCCTTCGCTGAACTCCTTCCACCCCTTGCCGCCGTCCACGGAGGGACTGAAGTCGAAGGAGACCGGGGATCGATCGCGCCATGATTCTTGGCCCAGCTCCATTGCCGTGGTGAAGATCTTCTTCAGCTCGGACCGGAAATCGACCTTATTCTTTTCTCCCAGCAACGGCTCGAGAATCTGGATGACATTCAGGTCAATCGCGACTCCAATCTTGTCTCCGACGTCCACCCCGTTGTCAAGCCGATCCAGAACCTTCACAGTGGATACTCTCCAGTCGTTTTGGATCTCTTCGCCGTCGGCACTCAGGCGTAGATATATCTCGTGGATGAGCGATCTGTCTTTTTTGTTCTTCCAGAGGTGCCGGGAGAAAAAGGGCGGCCACACGGTGTCACGGATGGCGTTGAAGATGATGTTCTGCACAAAGGCGAGCCGAAGAACTCGTGCACATGGCGAATCGGTGATTGGGACCACGTCAAAAGTGCTCCGTTTCTTTTTGAGTTGTTTATGTATTCCGGCAGGATCCTAATTCATACAACGCATGAGAATGACCAGCAAAACAGAGTGGCAGAACACCGTTTCCCTCCAAGAATCGGTGCCCGGGATGGCAGGGCTTACCTCCTCTGCTTCTTCCGGTAGCTCGGAGAAGTATTCGTCCGCAATTGAAGCCACTGAGTCTACCAGACCTTTGTATCGTTCCGTGCTGTGGATGATGCTGTTTAGCCGAGTCCACGAGGCCAGGTGAAGGGAATGCAGGATCACTTACTAGTGTTCATCGGGTTGCCTTTCGACTTCATACTTGGCCTTCACGGCGGTGAGCGCCTGTTCGAGGTCCTGGATTTTTGCGTCGGCCTTGCCCTGCATCGTTTCGTGAGTCTGTATTTCCAAGTCCCGCAGCTTGGTCATGTCTTCGAGCTCTCGTTTCAGTTTTGTCCGCTCTTCCTCAAGCCCTTTTGCGGCGGCCTCTAGCCTGGTGATCTTCTCCTCGTTGTCCTTCTCCAACTGATCTCTTTTCATCTCAAGGTCTCTTTGCGACTTCAGCATGGCAGTCTCTTGCTCCTTCTTCAGGGCTTCTATCATTTTCTCATACTTCTCCCTCTCCGCCTTTCCTGATTCTGCCTGTGACTTCAGTCGAGAGAGCTGCTTCTCATGTTGTACGCCCAAGTTACGTAGCTGCACTCTATGCCCCTGCCGGAGCTTCTCCATCTGCGTCACTAACGTTTCGTTCAGATTTTTCTCGTCTTGAAGCTGCTCCTCAAGATCCTGCCCTGCGCTGTATCGTTCCTCCACGGTCTTGACCATTTCTCCGTATTTATCGACCATCTCGGTGAGTTTAGCCACCGCGGTCTGGGTGACATTCATGCTCTGATTGATGGTTTGCACCTGGACATGCAACTCGGTGTTGAAACGACCAGAATCCACGCTGTCAATTTGGACGCTCTCCAGGTCATTGGTTTCGGTCCCGTTCGGCAGCCCATCAGACACCTTCTCTGCCTTCCCATTTGTCACTGCGTGCATGCCTGACTCGGACATGGAGGCTGGGCGGACCTTGCATTTCACAGCGGCCTTGAGTATATTGCGCGAGCACAAGAACCAACGACTAACTCACCGGGATCTTCTCTTTCTTATTCCTGATTGAACGGACAGGGCGAAAGATCTTGTCCACATAAGACTCAGTGGTCGATATCTCGCGGTCCAGATGCCGGGAAAATCTGTAGTTAGGGACTTTGGGGGACATAGAGCACAGCCCGGGTCATTGTCAGTGGATAAGCTGTTTCGAGGAGAGAGCGGCTGATGCAGAGGGATTGACCTATATCTTGGACCAGTCTCAAGAGAGGTCCTCTGACTCTCTCATTCACAATCACATGGAGGTGGCAGTTGTTCAATCGATTGCCCAAGGAATGCTTCCACGTGTCTGCCAGTGACTGAACGAACAACGCCCAAGTGTCGACCAATGCCATTAGGGGGTTCCGGAGTGGTACGATGATGTGCAGGGTTCGTTCACATTATTGCATTGCAAAATTTTGTCATTGGACACCTCTGCCTAATTGCGAGGCGTAGTCGAGAACACATGGTCCGTGCAAACCACGGGAGATTCTGCATGGGCCTATCAACAGATGATCCCGGCCAACTTTTTGGCCTGCTGAGCCCTTGATCCCCCACGTTTGGAGGTTCGAGGTGTTCTGCACGGATGTGTTGTCGTCGTCGTAAAGCCAAGGCGAGAACATCTCGAGCCTAGGATGCTGCATGAGTCGTTATCTGGATGATGGAGAGTTGGATGGGATTGGCGATGGAAGACGAGGCGTCTTAGCCTTAGCTAGAAGCTGAAAGAGTCTCCGAGCAGCCCGCTGACCAGTGACCAGGGCCTAGGAACAATCGTCCGGAACGCGGCATCTCCTCGGCTCGGACCACCAGCAGCCCAAAGATAAATTGTCTAGGGCCAGAGGGTCGTGTGCCAACCACGGACACGAGGCTATCCTAGCTAGCCAATTCAGCAGCCTGCATATCTTTCTGAGAAGCATGAAACATGCGTTGGACTCGATCTCAATTTCGTCCATTTGTAAGATGGTTGATATTGTCGTTAAGAGCATTGGATGTCCTGGCATAAATCTGCACTGTGCGGAACATCCCTTATCGTGGAGGGCCCTCTCGCGTTCCTAATGGATCGGTGGTATCTCTCGGGTGGTAGATGCCTCCACAGCAGGTGCCCTTGGTGGCTGTTTGGTCAACTCGAGAGCGACTGTCTACTCAATGACCGCGACAATATGGTTTCGAGCATAGGTGGGTGTTCACTGCCTCGCACGTTGCCTAGTAAATTATCCTCGTCAGAACACCATAAGATACGGCCCACTCGACAGGCCAATGACGCATATCCTGATGTACATACCTCTTGATGAAATGTTCCTGTCGCCGTGTCTCCTCAGCTAGAATTGTTGTATTTTTGAATGTTCGCCCGGGCCCCTGTTCTCTCCCCGGTGCGCCATTAGCCGGTGCTATGGTCACAACAGTGTCCCTCTGCCGGAATGAAGTACACAAGGATGCCAAACCTGTCGATCAAGGACGATGGGAGAAGGGAATTGGTGATGAAGCCCCTGCTCTGGTGCACAAAGTCAGTCCTATCCCCAGTCTATTATGGCCCCCATCTGGGGGCACTGCCGATAACGCCGCTTATCGCCACGTGACACGGGACTTGGCATCGTGACACGCTGTCGAACTTCGCAAAAGGGGCTGAGCCATCGAGGCTGCCATCAGATCCATCATATCTGTCAACATCTTCCCCTCTGTCTTCTTGTCCAGGTCTCAGTTTTCACAAGAACACACACACATACACACCACAGACAGGAGACACAGTAATAGAAGGATTTGGAGGGGGCACACCTAGCTGGAAGGACTGCCACTGTGCGACTACATCACCGAACCCAGCTGGTCTCTTTTACCACCTGAACATCTACCGATTCAACAATCCGGGCCTCCAGTCAGCGACACGCCGCTCCGAGCAATATCCCATTTCTCGACGGACCAGTCTCATCTTTGCGTCGAACTTATCCCGGTAAACCTCTCGGGTTCAAAACACCCTACGACTTTCCCAGTCCCAGGAATTCCCCAACACAGCAAAATGGTCAGCCCCCTTTCCTCCCCCCCTCCATTTACCACCTCATCTAGCCCGTGACCGCTCACAGCCATGCTCCTACCACAGGCTCAAACCCCCGCGCAACGCCGCGCCAACGAGAAACACGCCAAGGGCGTCGAGAAGCGCATGGGCAAGCCCGAGTCGGTGTACAAGAAGAAAGAGGCCAGGAAGTCGCCGGTGGGCATCGCCGCCGTTGGTTCGTCCTTGTCCTTTTTTGTTATCTCTCCCCATCTATTCTTTCCCCGTCTGCTCTGGGCTCTACTCCGTGGCTGTGCGAGGTGTGTTTGCGTGTGCGTGTACCGGGCTGACCGTTGAAACACCTACAAAACAACAGTGCTCTTGATCTTTGTGGTCGTCGCGCCCCTGATCATCGAACAATTAAAGCTGCTCCCCTATCTCTGGGGCCTCCTGCTGGATCTGCTGGCCAAGATCGGGCTGGTGTCGAAATAAGTTATTGTTTTCGGGATCCCACCCGGCTCCCCATAATTTCAAATGGACTCTTTACATTTCCCTTTATCAAAGCTCTCCCCCCCAACATGTTTCCCCCTTGCTGTTCTACTAAGAGCGAAACGATAGCTGAATGCGTGCAACAATCCGCAGAAGTTCCGGCGGTCAGCCAAGGAAGGAGTGATGGGTTTGGATTAGATGACGGAGACGACAGCCATTTGCCCGTTAGACGAGCTGCTGGAGGCGAGGAATATTACAACTGGAAGGGGAAAAGTTCCTGATTACATTACTAGCCATGGTGCTAGGAGTTACTCTGCACTGTATACATTGGACCACTCTATGTGAACGCTCCCTTAATAATAGTTCGCGCAAATCCCCAGCCACCACCATAGCGCTCGCACTAGATTCTAGTACGGGATCCCGTTGGTGATTAATTGAAACTCATCGTACACTTTGGTGGTGACATTCGCCGCGCTCTTCTTGATGCAACCCAACATGAACTCTGCTGCTTCTCTCTCGCTCCTTTCCAGCACGAACCTCTGCTTGAAGTTCCTCATCGTTTCGGGCTTGAAACACGGCAGCCCGCTGTCCAGCATCAAACTCACCAAGTGACTGAGCTTGTCGCAATAGGGCCTGCTGGCCAGGAACGCTTTGATGGTCAGTTCTTCGAACCAGCGGTATGGTTGACTGGTATGAGGGTCATTTCCGCCCATGACGGCAATCATCTCAGGCGTGAGTTTAAACGGTGCCCGTTCGAATTTGACTCCGCCCGGGGCAATGTCGAAGCAGAATCCAAAGTCGATGTGGAGGATGTGGCCCTTGTCGTCAATCATGATGTTTCCATTGTGGCGGTCCTTGAATTGTAAGAGGTACGTGATGACTGAATATGCTGCCATGCTCTTCACAAATTCGCTCCGAGCTTCCTGGTAGCGCACAGAGTGTTCGCCACCGTATTTGGTGATAAAGTAGTCATGCAACCCGTTCACCGCTTCCCGGCCCAACATGTCGCGACTGATAGAGTTCGGAAGAACGTCGATGACGCCACAGCCGGGCGCCGTTGCCGTGACACGATACGGAAAGACGTAGACGTCCAGACCTATCGAGTTGAAGATACCGCGGAAAGCCGCAATCATTTGCAAGGCGAGAACGTCTTGGCGACAATCGTCCCCGACTTTGAAGATGGCACTCTGCCAGACCTCATAAGTTGACGCATTCCCGTCGTTCAATTCAACGTTGGAGATGTCGCTCGTATTTCTTCGGCTGTGACCAATTCTCGGATTGGCGGTTTGAGTCTTCGGTGCCAATTCTATCAGCTCGTTCGTCTCCTCATTGGAAGCGTCCTTTTTCTTGCGGATCCGGAAAGTCGCCATGTACGGTGCCTTAGCGTGAGACTGCAAGGGCTTCCCAGATTTCCTGTCAATACCAACCACCACCCCGTCAGGGTTGCTCGGAAGATAGACACCAACATCGACTTTGATTTTTCGAAGCTCTTCTTCGATCTTGGCCTTCTTCTCCGGCTTGGGTCTTTTGATGAACGGCTTGAGCTTGCCCGAGATATCCGTCACTTCACTAAAGAACGCAAATTCCCGTTCGTAGAAGTCCTTGTCTTCGCCGGAGAAACTTGAAATCAGACTGTTCATGACTTTGTCCAGCGTGGGCTTGACAGGATCCGGCACTTGTGAGTCCTCGTCTTTGTATGCGTTGGCCTTCATGTTCCATATGATCTGGTGGGCAAATAACTGTGAGAACTTGCCAGTCTCTATGATGTACCGCTCGACGTATCCCAGCGTATCATATCGAAGGCTCTGTACAATCTGTGGGACATAGAAGAACGTAACGTCGACCGAGTGGCTCTCCACAGCTCTCATCGCATATTGAATGACGAATGGATGATTGCCAAAGGCAGGCATGAAGTACGTCACAGCCTGAACAGGGTTGACGGGTCGCCAGTACAGTAGATACTTCAACTGAAAAGACAGGTCTGACGACAAAGCATCCCCAAGCAACAAATCAACTGCATTGGCCTCGTGCAACGCTTTCTCCGGCTGATTCATGAGTATGAAGCGGACATCGCGGCGAAGCTGGTCATGGTTGAATCGTGCCAGAAGCTGTATGGCGAGTGCGGGATCCTCTGCCCACGCGGTTCGAACAAGGCCGGCAACTTGAGACTCGGGCTGAGTTTGGTGTCCCGAATGACCAAGAGGCGACAGCCAGACGTTCAGCCGGTTGATTTCGTTCGTGAGAAGAGCTTCCAAGAGCTCCTGTTTCTGGTGAGGGTCTTTCCTGGTCGCCGAAGCCGGGAAGATGGGTGTCCGTGTACCTTGCAACAAGACTAGAACATCTTGCATAACTTGAACTTCAGCCTTCAATTGTAACCGATTACCTCCAAAAGACCAAAACGGCGGTTTAGCAAACCACTGCAGACCGACAGACAGAATAAGATCTTTTAATTTCCACATGGACAACTTGTTGAGACAAGTACTATTTTTGACGACTCGAAGAGCAAACAGGACCACATGAAATTGCAGGTCGCGCAGAAGGGGATGTCCCTTGATGTGGATAAACCCGAGGAGCGTTCGCTCAAGCAGTCGGATAAACGTACGTTGCGTATTGGCGCTTCCTAGTCTGATGGCATTAAAATGACTTTCGAAGAATTGCATCAATCGGAAATGGGGGGCAATGGTGTTGTGCGCCACTTGCGCTTCTTTTTGTAAGGCAGCTCTGTCAGATGGGGCGAACTCTTCTTTGACATAAAAAGGATCCGGCTGCTCGAATGTGGGACTGAAAATACCAACTTTTCGATCAATCGACTTCTCCCACCCCTGCGCAACCTCTGTAAGGATGCGAGCTTCCATCCTAGGATTCTCATGAATGACCCCAAGCCATAAAGATATACCAAGTTTAATGGATTCTTTCGTGAAAATGGCAAAGGGAATATTGACCAGATAGTGTACGATAGCCGTCTGTGATTTCTTGCTTTGGCAGAGTAGAGCCGCTGCGCGTCGGAGAACATCCTTGACCTCAAACGCTTTGACGTGAACTTTCTGACTTGTCCTTTTGTGAAGGTCAAGAAGCGCATCCTGCAACATAGGCATTGGATCGGTAGAGGGCCTCTGCAGGGAAGATCTTCGTCCAGTCGTATCATCCATGTAGAAATTATCGCGGTGGTGATCCGGGATACCTGTGAATCGATATTCTTGCCGAGCAGTGTACTGGGCTACAAAATCAGACGCCATGTTGATGTCTGTGGAGTCGTTTCTTTTGTCGATGGCGTTCAGTCTACGATCGGTTGGAGGGATCATGGAGCCCATCTCCAAAGCGAACGATCTGCCCAAGGAAATGTGGCCGTATGCCCCAGTATCATCGAATTCAGATAGGTACGTCTGGAGGAGGCCCTTGATATCCAGAGGCGCCACTCCCATCACCATGGTCACCCATTTTCTGGCATCACTGTGCAGATTTTGCAGGGTGCGCTTGCGGAATGCGTAGTCATCAGACAATTCAACGGTGATCTTGCCTCTGGCGGAGGTGAGGGTGGATCGCCATTCGTACTCGTCGGTATCTGCATCGAGACAACTGGACCACATTAAAGAGAGGAGCTCCAGTAAAGCGAACAAGGCGGACTTCTGGCACAACGCAGAAGGCACAAAGCTGATGATATGGTTGGCTGCCGCCCTTGCGACCTCTTGCATCTTGCTGCTACGGTGGCAGCAGCCACTGAGAATCCGAGCAAGCTGTCGCGACACATACGGCGCGCTGAAGTCGTCGTCCTTTCCGGCCACAGCTTTCTGGGTATATCTTTTGACAACCTCGTTCGCAATTGAGCCAAGGCATGCTCCCATATGGCTGGTTTGTGTCGTCGGGTCCGAGAAATAGTCCAGAATCTCAGCACAGCTCCCGGATACAGCCCGGAGACTTTCGACCAGAAATACCGCATTTAAAAACACTACCTTCTGGTAACTCAGCCTGCCGATGTCGGATTCTCGATCCGGAATAGCGAAGAGTAGAGCTTTCTTTTGGTCGTTCATATGGTGAGAGTTCATTCCCCTCCGTAGGACAGTGTTGATTTCCACGTCTGACTCTAGAAGCTCGGCCCGGTCATCATCCACGAGAGGCATCGAGTTCATCGCCAACACCCGCAATTCATGATAATATTGCTGACCAATGCGAGACTGAAGTGTGATTCCGTGCACGGCCACGTTGTACCAAACCTCTCGAACCATACTTAGCACGTCCCCATCTTCGGCAAGTGTGCTTTCGATCGTCAGAGCGGGTTTTCGCGAAGCCAGAATAGACAAAGGCTTCAGAAGAGGTGCTATCTCTTTCGCAGCCTGTTCGACTTCTGCGGACTGCTTGAATTCTCCTTCCACGACATCCCCTTTGCTGAGGACCCGTTCCAGCAGCTGCATTGCATAGATCTTGAATAGCGGCGATCGGTTGTCCAAATTAATTGCCAAGTATTCTTGCCCGTTGCGGACAGCTTGTGAGATAATGGTGTTTTCCTGGACGACAGCCTGGTGATGGAGTCGAGTGTAGAGCCTGAGTAGAGCCTTGAACTCGTTTTCCTTGCCAATAATGGCAAGCTTTGCGGCTTCTTCAATGATACGAGCGTCAACCACGACGCTGATTCTGCCAACCTTTTGCAGCATCATCATCTGTGCTAAAGCGATGATTTTACTGTCGTTGCATTCGGTGGCTATGACCACGATCGCGTCTGCAACATTCCCACAGACCAGTGATGTTTCTTCGTCGCCACTTAAGGAGAGCGATATGACACTTCCAGTGCGAAGTCTCGTCGTAGATGACATTGAGCCATTCTGGCCTGTGATTTCCAATATCCCGTGGGCCTGATGTACCTTTTCGGCTCCTGTCTGGGAGCTGAGAACATTTCCCAGTGAATATATCGTTGTGATGACAGCATCGTGGGAAAGCATCCTCAAGATATGCGACAGACTTTGTGCAGCGATGGCTACTGCTGGTGGTCTCGAGGTGCCTCGGACAATGAATCTTAAAAGGACTCGGGCGTAGTTGTTGGCACCTTCAGGAATGTATTTGGCCACAACGGCCATGCTTTTCAGCACAATGTCCGCAAGGTCAATATCCGCCATCTGAACTTGGTTTGCAATCGAATCTTCGAGCCATCCGGCCAGATCCTCCGGATCGGCAATCTCCTCATCCAGAACCAAACAATGCAGATATGCTTCCACGGCGTATGCTTTGACAGAAAAGGCGAGTCGCTGTTGCCAGACGGAGCTGAGCTGCAAGTAATCTGAGCCATCCTCCAGCACGCGCATTTGCTCACTGACGATGTCTACCAGGTACTCGACCATGTCGTCACTGATCCCGTCATCTTTAACTCGGTTCAGGTGACTACCGGCGATGTATTGATCAAGTATGTCTCCGCAGTCTACGGTATGCTCATCGCATAACATTCTGGCCGTGCACGCAAGGACCAGTTTCATGAAACCTTTTTGCAGCAGCATGGCTCCGACAGGCAGCCCCTGCGCGGCGAATCTCTTCAGGTATTTTCTCCAGTCTCGTTCGGCGGCGTCGGGGGATGTGGAATTTCGGATAGCCGACGAGGCAGTCTCAACGGCTATGAGGAAACGCTCGGACAGAGCTTCTTTCAAGCACCGGATAAGTTCGACTGTCTCATAGGGGGACCAGAAATTTCCATGGGCGGCGGCCGCGTCGAGAAACCCGATCAACGAGACCGTTATGGCTGCAATCTCCTGAATTTCGTCGTCGTCTGCATTTTGCTCGCCGACTCCCACGGCTGCCAGCGCCGAAGCAGACCGAGACCAGTTCTGCGTATACGACTTGATGCTGTACGCGACTGTTTCTTTCAAGGGGGGAAATCTGAGCCCGAGGACGAGGAGCGCCTTTGTAAGTTGAAATGTAAGGGCCGTCCATGGTGTGGGTCTGATTTCTTGGATAAAGGGCGAAGATGAGAATACTTGTAGGTGCGACTCGGGTAGGTAAGCAGTCAACTGTTTGACTAGGCGGTCGGCATGAGCCAGCTCGTGCAAGTCATGGGCACTTGCGCACAACGCCAGCAAGACATCGAGTTCGCGAGGGGACATAGGCACCCGCGAAGTGGGTGCAATAGCCCGAAGAACTCCATCGAGAACACCGCCGTTCCCCTGGGATTTGGTGGAGGGCACCGACGAGGTTAGACGTTTGAATTCTGCGTCGCGGGTCGGGGATCGGACTGCGGAGAGGGCAGCGAGTTTGGAGAAGGCCTGTCGACGCAGACCTCCATGGCCGCTGGGATAACGTCAGTCCAGACACGAAACACGGAGAGCAGGAGAATGGGAAGTATACAGGTCCATCTGGCCCGAAGTTGCGGCGCTGTCGCGCAGGTATGGAGGACAATCCGCCCTGGGCTGCTTGGAGGCTGCACATTGACGAAGCCCGAAGTTCAGAACAGGATGTATACCTCGCAGTGACGCGGGAGACTTGGCAGGGACCCCTGCGAGGTTGCTCGGAGCTCACGTGTCACGCCGCGATTCCGTGCCGCTTTAAGTACAAGACTACAACTCGCACTCGCTCCTCATCTTCACCTTCGTCGCCGTCATCTTCGTACGGGACCTCTTTCGTGAAATATATAAGGAATGGGAGATGAGAGCTGATTCGGCAACAGACACCTTTGTCCTTCACAACTGTCTTCTTTGCAATCCCTAGTCACGACTTCTCACAAAGAAGGACTGAACGTGGTACAACCTGGCGATATGTAAGAGTAAGATGTCCTGCTTCACTAGTTGTGTACTTCTCCTACCATGAAAACTGACTCCTCAGGGATTTCACGCGGTGGTCACCGAAGTGCTGACGTTGTTGGTGATCCTGTGCTTTGGCTTTGGAAAGACCGGGCCCGGCGATCGTCTACATACTCACCTCAGTTCACCGGGGTTTCCGTAGCCGGTGCCAACCTCGGATTTTCGACAGTCTAGCAACGTCCAGGCGGTTAGAAGCACGAATTCCAGTTCTCTCGGCGACAATGGCAAGGAGCAAGTCGCTCTGCCTGTGCAACGCGAGGGGTTGTTGTCGAAGCCTGCCGTGACCAACGTCGACAGCATCTCCACGAACAGACGACGAGACACCAACAAAAAGGGGACCTTTTGTTTTGCGGACCACGTTCCATTTGGGATCGTGAACCAATAACTCCCAATTTACTCAATACAGGCTCTCGTGCAATTGTATCTATCTCCCGCTTAGGGAGTCCGGTTGCCAACGATCGCTCTCCAAGGTATATGAAATCGCGAGACAGCGGGTATCTGTTCAACGGTAAGACAATGCTGTCTTACATGTTCCGAAAGCGGCCGTAGCAATAGTTGATTAAAGGTTGGAGAGAGAGAAACCATCACGCCAAAGAACACCAAACCCAAAAGTTCATGACTCCTCATTTCTTCAACTCGGCCTTGCCCAGGTTGGGAAACAATCCAGCGAGCGTCTCTCTCATGGCGTGCTGAATATCCTCCAACTCCTGCTCGTCAGTCGTGATAACATCGTCGTTGAGACACATCTGGCCCGGCAGCTGCTTGTGTTCTTTGACGTAATGCCGGTACAGGGTGCTGTCGATCTGGTCGGCGTCGGTCACCATGACAAACAGCGTGTCCGACGGGTCGACCTCGATGAATTTGTACCGCATGGCGCCTTTGATGACGAGCTCGCGGTCGGCGGCTTGGGTGTCCGCGTCCGGCAGCAGTGGGCTCAAGCCCGAAGGTGTCTGCTGAAGGAGTCCTTTTAACAGGCAGTCGCCGCAATGTGGATTCTGGCGAGCTAGACGGTCAAAGATGACCGCCGCGCTGAATGTCGGATTCGTCCTCGATGTGGCCGAGTTGTCGGTATTGAAACCCGGTGCCAGGCAGTCGTCTACCGAGAATTCCGAGCAGTCGACATTTCGAATGGCGTGCGGTCCGTCGAGGGAGGTCCACAGAGAGTTCGTGTTCACCTGAGGTGCGCGGAGCCCGGCCTCTTCAAGCATGGACGGGACATGGTAGAAGATCTTGCGGCGGAACGACACCTTGTCGGCGTTCTTTGACCCTCTCTCCAGGTCGGCGACGATTGTCTGGCGCTCCTCCCAGGACAAGATGCCGTCTCGGTCGATGTCACTTCGCAGCATGATGTAGCTCCACAGGAGAAGTTCCCGGTGACGTTCGATGATGTAGTGGTTCGTCACATACCACGAGTAGAGTTGGAATCCTGGCTCGCCGCGAAATCGTTTGCAGGCACTCTGGATCTCGGAGCGAGGGAATGCCTCGATCGCCTCCCGCATAATGCTCCGCGACAGGGAATGGCCGAAGTGGCTCTGGCCTTTGCGTTTTCGGACCCCGAACCGACGGTTGAGAAGCCACGAGGTGTAGATCAGATACGGCTGCAAATGAATGTTAAACCACCTCCCGGTGCAAGGAATCAAGGTCGGAAACAAACCTTCTCGCCAAAGCGTTGTGCATCAGCCTCGGTTGGTGCAGACGTGGTGCTGTAGCCGTTGGTCTTGAAGCTCATGACGGCTCCGAACAGCGGCGAGTATATGTCCGAGGCCTCGTGCTCCCGTGTAAGTAACATGTCGTCGGACATGGCAAAGAACTGAGGTGTGGTGTCAGTTCTGACAAGCAAATGCGTTCTCGGCTTCACTTCTCACGTACCTGGTCAATGTCCGACTCCGTGTTGAAGATCTGGTTTTCGATCGTCAGGGAGTTAAATGCCGGTAAGCACACCTTCTTGTCGTCCTCGAACATCTCCTCTTGAGATATAATCTGGACAAGCTCGGAGACCTTTGGGTCGTCGACAGCAAGCCAGGTGGGCGTCTGTTTCCGGACGGGGATACCGTTCTCATAAATGGAGTTGACAAGTACTTTGATGGTGTTCATGAAATGGCCAGCGTTCTTCTCAATGCTGCGAAAAGAATAGCGTAATTCATCCCAATCCCGGTATCTGTTCATCCCGTGGGTGCTGATCCATTCTCCCTCATCATCATTCAGGATAGACCGCTCTTCCCACGGCCTGATGGTCCGTTGAAAATCCTCTTCTGAACCGTTGACCCCTGGATGTTTCATTAGCAACGACTCCCTTCGATGACTTCCCAAGAAATGCAACCATACATAGATAGACAAAATCGATCTTGGGTTCTTCCATAATTCCCCATTTTTCCGAGTCGTATGTTCCTGAACTCACCCACTCGTCTTCCCAGCCCTGGAGGACTTCGTCCTTGACGGTTTCTTCAAATGGTACCCAGATGAACTCCGGCAGCGACTCTGCTCTCTTCTCCAGAGACAAATGCTGTTGCGACTCGTTCGATTCGTCCTCAACTGTCGGGTCGTTTGAAGAAGCGGCTGGCTCGGGCACTTCTATTTCAGTATTGGCCGAGTCCGACACGGGTTTTGGGTCAGCCTCTTCCTCTTCTTTGGTTGGAGGTTTTTCATTGACTGCTTCGTTGTCTTTCTGAGATTGAGGGTCGGGAATCGGTTCTTTGGTTGGAGATTTGTCATTCACTGCTTCGTTGTTTTTCTGAGAGTGAGAGTCAGGAGCCGGTTCTTTGGTGTCTTTAGCGGATTCCTCATTCTTTGCGGGTTGAGGGGCTTTGTTTTCGTCTTTGATGGACGGACTGGTTTCATGATTCGCTGAGACACGGGCGTCCGAAGTGTTGTTGACGGTGACGGCCGATTGTTGCATATGCTTGGGCTGCTTCGGGAGACCTATCCAACTCTGAAGACTCGCTTTGTAGCTGTTGCTGTGCCGGTAGTCGATCGAGCCTCGAGTCGACGCCAGGAAGATCGTGGTCCCTATCAGGACGACGAACAAGAACAGGACACTTGATCGAGGGCCTTTCCTCCGCCACATTGGCCTTTTGATCCTCGTCCAAAGTGGCGGTGTCCTGTGGTCATTGACCGGGTGAGAATAGTACATCGTGGCTGTAGAAAACCGATTATGCCAATGGTGTCGAGCCTCGATTCCCCAATTTCAACCATAACCTGCGACCGATGAATCTAAACAACTCAGCGCAACAGGCACCCGGTGTTTCCAACGTATTGAGGCATCCAGCCAGGGCTACCAGGAGGGAAGAAGCTGGCGGTTCGGCGGATTTTTTGCTGTGCTCCCTCACTGGGCAGGTCTGGATATGCAGAGTTTCGTGTATACGATTCAGCGAAGGGAGAGATCAACAAGTATACATACGAACGCCGAGTAACTAAACAGACGTGCCGGCAAGCCATGACTCCCGAGAATGAAATTGGCCGAGTGTGAAACTGGTCGTGTGTTTGGTTTGGGGAGTGGGGGAGACGGGAGAGAAGGGGGATAGGGGGGCACGGTAAAGTTGTCTGGCTAAAGGCTGTGGGAGGAGAGATAACCGTATCTTATCTTGTCATTTCAACACTTCCTCCATCGCCGGGAGCCGATGTCCAGTCTAACGTGGCCGAACGAGGAAAACGGGCTCGAGGCAAGAGAACAACAGCCTTGCCCCAGGTTGGGTTGATTGCTGCAAATTCGACCCGCGGCACTCCACTGCCCTTTAGCGAAGGATCGACAAGGCTATGTAGCTTCGAGAAAGGCTATGGTTCTTTAGCTTCCGAGAGCGCTGATCGACACACAGATGCAGGGACAAGGAAGCCTACGATTCTTTAGCTTCCGATGTTTTCTCCGGGTTGATAACTCCACAGTTTCGGATTTCCCCTTACGGGAATACACAATGCTCGTCGACGAGCGCGTCAAATCGCGCTATTCTTCAAAGCGGCTTGGTCCAGAGATCGTGAACAGGACCCCAGTTTCACTTGTACTTTTGCTATTGGCTCCCTTGAGTGTATGCTTTGGATGATTGCTGGACCTGTCGAGGTTTAGCTCGCTGGCTGCTCAAGGAGCTTCTCAGGAGTCATGCTTCAGTTGAGACCCTCTGCTCAATCCATCTAGTCATTTTTGCTCGAGCAGTGTTTGATTGCATCCCAATGGCATGAAGCGAAGGAACCTCCCTCTTTCATGTCAATGCCTGTGAAACCTGATGGGTCTCCAACGAGTACATGGCCACGAACCAAAATGTCTCGGTGGAAATTAGCACTCGTTCACCTCATATACCGAGGCTCTGGCTGTTTGTCGCCTGTCGAGAGGGTGCTGTACTTTAGACCGGGCGCTTCTTTTCCTGTCTCTCTGGGACGAGTGCAAGATCCTGACGATGTCTTCGAACCTATACAACATACCAGGGACGGAACCCTTCTCAATAAGTCTGAGTCGCCATCCCCGGGGCCTTTTCGACACAGGTAAGTCTATATATCCGATGCCGAGTCAAGATGGAAGGAGGAGCTAATGTGTACTCGCCAGCCAAGACGGATATGGATCAACATTATTTGGAAAAGCAACCCTTGACTGAAGGATCTCCCAACAAACCGCGGATTCCTCGATGGGCGCTGAGCGATTCGAAGACGCTCTTCAGCATCAGCATCAGCGAGAAGACTGCCGTCAACGTTCTCTGCGTCGTGCTCAACACCCTATCGACGGTGTCCATCGTTTTTGCGAACAAGATGTAAGGTTGTTGCGGGCTATCGAGAGCCTCGCGCCCGGGGATCTGAGGGAAGTGCTAACTCTGCTGTCTAATCACCAGTGTCTTTACCGATCCTCAATTTCGAAAGTTCCAGATCGGGACCGCAGCATGGCACTTTACGGCGACCTCTGTGTTGTTGTATATCGCGACCTTGAAGCCGTTCAGCTTCTTCAAGCCTGTCCGGTTGGCGGTGCGGGATGTCTTGCCCCTCTCGACCCTCTTCCTCGGGTTCCTGGTCCTGGGGAACCTGTCCCTCGCCCTCAACACCGTCTCCTTCTACCAACTGGCCAAGATCATGACCACGCCGACGGTTGTGGCGATCAACTTCCTGCTCTTCCGGAAGTGCCTCGCGCGTCCGTTGTTGTTGGCCATTATGGTTTCCTGCCTGGGCGTCGCCATGACCAATATCGCGATGGTCTCGTCGAACCCGATCGGCACTTGCGTCGCCATCGCCGCCTTCGTCACCACGGCATTCTACCAGATCTGGATCGGCAAGAAGGTGCAAGAACTCGACGTGAGCGCCCCGGCGCTCCTGCTGAACCAGGCTCCCATTTCCGTGGCCATGCTCCTTTGCCTGCTCCCTTTCACGGACACCATTCCCGACTTCCGGGCGGTCGATCCTAAGATTATGGCCACCTTCCTCCTCTCGGGTATCCTCGCCGCCGGACTCAACCTGAGCCAGTTCTTGATCATCGGACGCCTCTCGGCCATTGCATTCAACGTGGTGTCCAACGCGAAGAACGTCATCATCATTTCCCTGGGCTGGTACATGGCCGGCCAGTCCCCGTCCTTGAAGGACATCGTAGGCGTCATGCTGGCCCTCGGCGGAGCAGGTGCGTACTCGTGGTTGCAACGAAGGTGATGTTTTGAATTGTGTGGGGACCACGAGAGGAACCGTTTGAATGCTTGATTTCCTCTATCCAGAGAGCGATCCGCTCTCGTCTAGCTGAGGGTACGGAGGTGGTAAGGGCCTATGGGCTGCCCTTCCACGAGACTGGTGCAGGGGAGCCAGGAGTGCCACATATTAACTTCAACGGAGAGCAGTTTGTGCGGATGACATCAAAACGTAAGCCCATGACACGATGAGGTACTCTAGACACCGAAAGGGCTGGTTCAAGTTATAATTTTTATCCTTTGTAATATCTCTGTGAAGGATTCAGAAGTAGTTTTAGCGCAGGAAATTTGACGATGAGATACTTGCTCGAGCTTCTTAACAGATGGTTTTACCCTGAAAGGTGCATACTTAGACAAGATGGTCAAATTGGGAATTTTATTAGTCCAAGATTGAAGAATTGGACCTTGAAAGGGCCGCATTAAAGTCGCACTAAGGCCGTATCTACGCTGAGCCAGAATCCGTAAACCATTCCCCCGAAGAGAAGCAAGAGTCCTGAAACGCCTTGGAACCGGGTGAGTCTTTTCACTCCCACATTTAACGCTCAGTATAGACTTCTCCCTCAACCACATTCCCCTTCGGCTGGCTCCTCTGCTTGCTGTAATTCTCCCAAAAGGACGAGATTTCCGCCAGCAGCTCGGGCAGCTGGTCGACCTCCTTGACCCACTCGGACTCGTCCCTTTCGTAGGCTTCTACGAACGAGGTGATCCTCTGGACCTTGGTGGCCCCCGACCCCGCGAAATGCAGCAGAAGATCTGGAAGAATTTGTCAGCAATCAAAACTTCGAGAAACCAATTCGTCCTGAGGGCCATTTTCGCTTACCGCCCGGCTTCACGCCGTTGGGGGGCTGCTTCTTTCTCGGAAGAGCCACTCCGTGGTCGTCCCGCGCCCCCATGTACGCGTTCAACCAGCGCTGCGGGATCTCGGCGTAGCCGTCGAGATACGTCGTGCCGTCCCAAGGCCGATATATTCCTCCCTCGTGCACGACATGCTCGATGGCCGATTGCTCCGAGTAGCGCAGGTCCACGGTCGGTCGGAAAGTCTCGACGCTGAGTGATGATGCCAGCAGGTGGACGGAATAGTCGTTGATCCTGAGTAGAAAGGCGCCGTCGTTGAGTCCATTGTGGTCGTTCCCGCAGAGGAAGTGGACCCCCTGCACTTCGGGCGGCGGCAGGTAGATTTCCAGCGGGATCTTGGGGTTGAGGAGAAACGTGTCGGCGTCGAACCAGAATAACCACTCCAGCCTCTCTTCGGGCGGTTTCGCCAGCTCGTTGAGCACCACGGCCAGGATCCAGGCCGGTTTGGTCCACAGACGTCCCAGCATCTTCTGGCGTAAGACGTACATGGGATAGCCGTGCATGTCGGCATGAATCCCATGGGATTCTAGAGCTCGCTCGTATGCCTCGTCGGGAGCATCCCCGTATAGCATGGTGATTTTGGCAATCTTGGGCTGCGGCTCGTCGTCCTCGTCATTGTTGCTGCTATTGTCGTCGTTGCTATTGTTGCTGTTGCCGTCGTTGTTATTGTTGCTGTCGTCGTCGTCGTCGTCATACGTGTCGGTAAAGGCAGTGTCAGTAAAGACAGTGTCGGTAAAGGTAGTGTCGAGCTCATCATCCGGGCCAGTCATTTCTCCGTCTAGCTCTATAATGCCTTTGTCGTCCTGGATTACTGCAGCTTGTTCGACGATCTGTCTGGAGTACGTCCGGAAGGCAGATAAGTCTGTCCATGGCGATTCCGAGCCGGTTTGACCCAGCTGTGACAGACACAGTTGAAGGACGATGAATCCCAACAACGTCGCCAGAGCGAGTTGGTACTTCTTCGCCATGTAGGCTTTCATAAACTCGTAGAGCGGAAGATCACGATAGTGCTAAAAGCTTCAAAGGTAGGATGGTCGACAAAAATCGGGCCTGCCTATCGTAGAGGCGGGAAGCTCGCACAATAAGTTGCCAAGTCCAAAGGGCAGTTCGATCCTCGATTCCTCCATGGTTAAAGGAGGAACGACTGATTTGGACGCGACACGCACCCAAGGCTCCATGTGGCACAACCTTCTCATCGCAGGCGCTTCCAAGCTTCGTCTGTCTAAATTGGCGAATGCTCTCAGATCAGCCCACGCAACAGAAAGAGGATATGATCGGGTGGCCTCCACCGTGAATGGGAGCATTGAGTGGCCTGTTCATACAGAGACTGGGTTACTTTAAGAAGCTTAAGAGATCACAGGGGTGAGAGGCTTGACACAGATGATGCAGTCTACAGAGCACCGCCCCGGGAGTCATGACAAAAGACCAAAAATGAAATGCAGGTCGTTGGGGTTGCGCAAACTCGATTGCACAGGCTCCTTTCTCGACGGGAGTCGCCATAAAGAGCATCTCAACCTGTTGTAATGACAGTCGATCGCTACGGCCAGACAAGATTCCACATAGTCGCCGGGTCTTTCGGCCTGGGATGAGGTCGGCGGATGGAGGCGTGAGCCGATGATAGCGAAAGTGTATTCCGCCCTGGTCTTCCTCTTATGGTTACATCATCCGTCTCCACTTCTATAAATGCCCAGGACGCCTTAGAGTTAGGGTTATCCCCTCCGTGCCCCTCGAAGCTGATCGCCAGCCACCTTGCGCAATCGAGACATTGGCCTCCCTTTCCCCTGCAGTCCTAGCCTCGTGGGTGTCCAACAGTCCATACCGGCCAGAGTTCAATAATCCCAGCCCTCCGGATCATCAAACAGATCATCGTCCCAGCCCAATCTCCGGAGGGGTGGCATGACTCGGTGAACGTACCATGCATACCCCTCCCATGTGCCCCTGGGACATTTCCTGGAGAGCTTGGCTGTGCCTAGACGCACACAATGAGGTGCGGACCGGTGGACATGCGACTGGCGCTAAGCCTGTCTCGCGGCATGCTTGTATACATCAGACTGAGAAGGGGGGTGGGGGTCTGCTGTTCGTTGGCAGGCTGTTCGTCCGCACAACCCTTACTGGCGCTGCCGAACCCAATCGGCTTTTATTCGATTATCAGGGGGTCGTTGCTTGATTGCTCAGGTACGCGGAATCAATTTCCTCGGACTTGATATGATCTTGGCTCTGCTTCGTTTAGGTCTCGCCCGGGGCCATTGTCTTCTGCGTGCTGTGCCCAACGTTTCTTTGTTGTGCATCTCAGTCCACTGTGCTTTGTTGCCCTCCCAATCCTCCGTCGATGGCTGATAAAATTGGTTCAGGTGGCCGTCTTCCGGTTTGGGAACACACATCGTCACAGGCCCAAGAGGCTCCGTCGTTGCTGGTACTCATCTTGAGCACGGGCAGGCGCAAGGTTCTGGTACGCACAATCTTATGTGCCGCCCTATTGATCTTGCTCTTGCGGCATTCTGGGTCGCATTCTGTAGTGACCCGGTATGCACGTGGACGCAATAACATCGACCACATCTACAACACCACCTTGGGATTCCAGAGAGTCTTCGCCATCAATCTCCCCGAGCGGACGGACAAGAGGGACCTGAACTCCCTCGCCGCCTCGTTCGCGGGCTTCGACGTTGACTATATTCCTGGCGTCAAAGTGGAAGATGTCGTTGAGAAAGCGGCGCCGTCGGTACGCAACAAGTCTCTGTTATCTCCGCCATGTATCGCGAATCGAGACAAGCTGACCTTTGATCATCAGAATTGGGACTATAATACGCAGACGCCAGGCGCGCTGGGATGCTGGAGAGCTCACATGAACGTTCTCCAGAAGATCGTTGCCGAGCGGATCCAGAGCGCCCTGATCATCGAAGACGATGCAGACTGGTCTCCATTCATCAAGGACCAACTGTCCGAGCTGGCAGCCGGGGCACGTGCGCTGCAGAAGTCGTCAGATTCAACACTGTCACCGTACGGCCATGATTGGGACTTGCTCTGGCTGGGCCACAACCGGATTGGGCCGACCGACGAGGAACAGAACGTCTGGATCATTGATCACGACTTCACCGTGCCCCCTCTGCACCGCCGCAACTCCCGGTGGCGACAGTCACACATTCCCGACGACGCGCTACGCAATGACACTCGACTGTTCTTCAAAGCATATGCTGGTATGTGCCTCTATGGATATGCAGTCACTTACGAAGGGGCGCGCAAGATGTTGACGTCCATGTCGGTCCAACCACGCAACCAGCCGGTGGACCAGAGCGTGTCGGACATGTGCCGTGGCAAAATGGCCAAGGGGTTCGAATGCTACGGCGTCTGGCCACCCCTGATATCGACCCATCGCTCAGCAGGATACAAGTCTCAGGACTCGGACATCAACGTCAACGCGAGGAGTGGCTGGCACCAGGAATATACCTTCGACATCCCCTTCAGCACCATGATCAACATCCCCAGGCTGGCCGATGGTGCTACCTCCGTCTTGTCACAGTGGCCCGAGACGGACATTCAGGAAGCTACGCTGAACCTGGACATTCGACGTCCACCCCATGGGTATCTGAAGAGCATCAACTTTCGGGCTCTTCCGAGACGAGATCATTCGACCAAGATATAAGATCCCTCGTTCTGTGGGAAAAGCCCTCAGCTGTTTTGAAGCCACCCAGCTTGCACAACCTTGTCCAGTATTGGTACGTCCCGCGGCGTCGGGGATGCTGGTACAACGAAACTCTTTCGTGAGGATTCTGGCAGACTAGAATCATCGCCTGCTGTATTTTTAGCTCCATATGTTTTTCATAATTAGACATGCATTGGGAGAAGAGATGAGAGCGCTTGTTTGACAAAGTCTAATGCTAGAACCTCGTACGCCATGTCCTACTGAGGCTGAATATATGAGTAGCCAAGCAGAGGTCAAATTGGCCTTATCATCGGTGTGTTCCTCGTTGGGATCTGTTTTCTCGGTCGGTGCCAGGAAGACAACACAGACGTCCTTGGATCCCGGATGTTGCAAGGTCCGTTGTGGAACAGCCACCCCATGAGAGGAAGCAGGGCTGGAAAGGAGTGGTGGTTAAGAGCACGGGTGATGTGATTTACGTACTGGTTCGCGATGTCGCTCCACAGCAAAGTAAAAGACACTGCCGAGCACGACGCCGACAAACACGAAATCCCGTGACCACATGCCCTCTTTGACGTGAAGCCATGGCCGCCGTGATCGGTGTTGACCCATCAATCAGCACCAGAAATAGCAGAGAGTGGTCCTAGAACGAGGTCGAGACTCGAGAGTCAGTCGTCCAAGATAAGAAATAGCCACCGCGACTAGATATCGGTAGGTCAGATCCGTGATTGCGTGCGTGACCTCGCTTGTTGGCACCCCTTGGAGTGGGTTTGACCCTGAGTCTAGATTTAGCTCCATCTTGGTTGTGGTAGAGAGAGGGAGTAGGGGGGGGGAGGGGAAGGAGTGCGACGAACCACTAGGGGTTTGTGGCTAACACCCCTAGTCGCGGCCTTAGTGTGTTTATCCCCCACATTTGGACCTGGACAGTGACGTTTAAGGCTGTTGGTGCCAAAACCAAAATCTAACTTCCCAATAAGTTTCCCTCGACCAATGCGGCTCGACGCGACATCGCAACTCTGTTTCTCAACCAGCCTCGTCGCGCAAAGGCGTCGAGCCTTACTCCCAGCCATGGTAAACACAGCAGTCAGAATGGCCACAGTTCCAAGTCCGAGGCCGCCGAAGTCGCCGAAGTCGCCCTCACTTTCAATAATTCCTTTCGGTGGCTAGCAACTATCAATACTTCCACGATGAGTCGAGGACAGTCGCAAGAATGGGTCGGGGAGGAGTGGCAATTGTTTGCCCAGAGAGCCCAGCATTTGGCGGACGACCAAGTCCATGAGGCTGAAGTTGTTGTCATGGGGCTTCACGCGTCATCTGCCACCAGAAATGTGAAAGCAGCCTCAACAGTACTCCGTGAAAACCCCGTCCAAGACTTGAGATGTTGAGATTTAATTACATTGCTAAACATTAAAAGTAACTCTAAGTACATATGTAACCGCTCTGGTAGGAGCTTTTGTGAAATGCTCAAAAAGAGTAAGAGAGGCCGTAGAGAGACTGTTGTGCCTGGGCAGTCGATAGTGCCAAAGCCAGGATGTCGCCCTCTCCAGTTCCACAAGTCGAATCGGAAGGTAAGAAGAATCATCAAGGTCGTGGAAGGAAATGATCTCGCGCCACCAGAAAACCCCTTTACTCCACAATTTCGCCGTCCATGTCGAATTCGAATGAGCGCTTCACAAGTCGGCCGGGCCCGTCGTTGTCGCTCGATGGATCAGGTCTTTGCGGTCGAGTAGCTGTCGGATTGAAACCACTTCCCCTGCCGCCTCTGCCGGCACCTCCACGACCTCCAGCACCACCACGACCTCCAGCACCACCACGGCCTCCGGCACCAGCACCTCCACGACCACCGGCACCGCCGCCGCCACGACCACCTCGCCCACCCGCCTGTCTAGCCTCGATCTTAGTTGCGAACCATGCTGGGACACTGCGAGGGGTGACGGTGGACGCTATGGCTGGGATCGCAGTAGATTGAGGTTGGCTGCCAGACTTGTTTTGACGCGGTGGTAGTGATCTTGGGGCGGGACCGGCACCTATTTCTGGTATTAGGACCATTTCGTTACGAAGAGGTCAGGGTCATCCGAATACTCACGTTGTCTTGGTGACAAACCAATGTCTTGACATGCGAAGGGGGGCTTTCCATGGCCCTGAAGGAAGACCGATCCATCCTCGCTCTGGCAGAAGACTGCTTGGCTACCCTCGCCGTAAGAGAAACCTTCTCCTTGAACGTGAAGCCACCCGTCCTCGCCCTGCAAGAAGTTGTACTCTTCAGAGCTGGGATGGTCGTCGAGCTTGACCACGGCATACCCATTGCTGAAGTCCAGGTGCACGAATTGGTCGCCCACTCCAAGTTGTCCTCCCCATAGCCAGAACTTGGCAGCCTCTTCCTTGGACTCGGTGAGGTATCCGTCTCTCCCAGTGAACGAAACAAAGCTGGGCGCGGTCTTGTGGTATTTATGATTAACCCCAAAAGACTGCAGATGGTACCAGGTGTTGGTATCACTGCCAGGCGCAAGCGCAGAACTTGCGCTTGTCGGCAGAGCGGCGGCAGTAACCCCAGAAGTGAGGTGTGACAAGACACTCATGAGGGTGACCATGAGGCCTGCGTCCAAGTTGAAGTGAACCATATTGTTGTTAACTTCCTGTGCGACCAAGTGCTGAGGGAACGCAAGGTCGGTTCAAGGTCGGCTGCAGCCGAAGAAAAAAGAGTTATAAGGTCGAATATCGAATGATCAGGCGGAAAGAGCGTGGCGTTGTCGTACGAAGAACAACAACAACATAAACGAGTGTGATAAATGAGTGTGATGAATGTGATTAAGTAGCAATGAACGTCGTAGTGCAACTCGATTATAAAGGGAGGTTGGTGGTACTTAAAGACTGTATACCAGCCTTGAGAGCGAATATCTCTGCAATTTCCAAAAGACTTGCTAGTCAAATTGCCTATCACGTCAAGGCTGCGCAGACAAGCATGACAACAGATGCCAGGCCCAGCTCTAGTCCAAGCAGCGACTCGACCATTGAAGGAAAATCAAACGCGACCTAGCGCGACCTCACGCGACCTCAGAGAGGGCAGAATCAAACGCGCCCCCGTTGAGGAAGGACACAACGTGATCTCATTCCCCAAGACGGTAAGGCAATTTCGTGTGGTGGCTCTCGAGAGGCTGGGAGTGGGATATACCGAGACCCCAGGTTTGGTTGCGATTAGACTTCGTGCAGAGCACCAGCCTTACGAGAATGTGGCGAAGGCCATCCTTGTCCTGATCTCCCTGGCGGTGGCCAAGTGGCGCATAACAGGGTCGACTGGATGAAATAAGCTCGTGGCCATCCCCCCGGAAGAATTGTTATCCGCTCTCCTCTTCAGGGGCTGCTGTGCATCAACAACATACGCGGAAGGCGAAAGCAGCGCAGACTGTTTCTCAGGCCCAGACTCGATGTTGAATGCGCAAGGGATCTCGAGACACATAAGGATCCCCAGCCTTCTCAGTCTCGGTAGCGGTCGAGTGATCAGTCGCCTTGGGTGCCGACGAGACCATGGTCAAGAACCCCTGCCACTCAAGAATAGAAGATCGACATCGTTAACTCCTGCCAGTAGTGCCGCCTGTGGAATAACCTTCGATGCTGAGAACGCCTCGCTCGCATTACCTCTTTCTGCTGGGTGTTCTGTCAGCCTCGACTCCGCTGCTGGGTGTGCGTGCTGAAAAGTCCTGACTCGTTGTGTCGATGCTCGCGTGACAGAATTCCCAATCGAGGAAGTTGAAGAACATCACGGCGTGTTAGGGTTTCAGCCATGGGAGAAGTGGTAGGCCAGTCTGAATCAGTCTTCCCTAGGAGGAGGGAGATCTGCGCTGATCGACACCCTGTCATTACATGTCAGTCCATTCTGCACATTACAAGGAGGCCGGTAGTCGGGAGCGGTACGAAGACCTCAGTTCCTTTCAGCATGAACCTTGAACGGGCCGTTCCGTTATTTGCTGGGAACGCATGTTGTGCAGCATAGGGAGAATTTCTCACTGACAACGCACAACGCACAACGCACAATGCATTTCCAACCCCGGAGGATTGTTATCATATCTCCAACGTCCTGTCACCATGACCAACGACAATTCTGTCACCATGAGTAGCAAAAATGTCGACGGATGTCGAGGATTGTTCGGCATGAGTTCAGAGAGGACGATGAGTTGGCACGACTAGTTGACAACTTGACACGGATGCGAGATCTTAGCGCAAGACTCTGTCCTCGGCTCTTGTCTTGTTGTCTCCCAAGACTTGTGCCTCTTGTTCTTCCCGCGAGGCTTTGCGCCGTCTGCGTCTACGCTCCCAAACATATCCATCTGATTCTTTTTACTTTCCACCGCCATCATTTTTTCCTACCTTAAATTCCACAGTTCATGGGTTGGAAGAGCACCGATTGGCTTGACTAGATTGCCCTTGGTGATCTTCGCATCCGTCGCCTGGAAAGTACACTTTGCGGCTATGCTTTCAACCAACCAACCTGAGAACCCTTGGGCTGGGAAAGCTTCCATCGAATGTAGCTTTGGCCTCTCACGTGTTGAAGAACGGACGGTTGGTTCATGATCACGCGACACCATTGAGGGTCGTTGTTATCACAGTTAACCTCCAGGTCTGGATGGCAGGGAAAGAGGACGAGTGTTCTGACCTGGAGTCTATCGGCAAGAGAGATGATCACGAGGAGGAAATGCTGCAAAACGCTCCACGACAGTGCTTCAGGATTTTTCAGGTCTGGGGAACTCTGATCTCAATGCCTCTAGGTGCTCTTGTCCTTACCCGCCACAGCTGGAGTCAGGCCACCCGCATTCCCTTGAACATCCCTGGGCCAAGAAGACACGTCCCTGAGCACCAGAGATCGTCAGGGTATCTTTCGAATTGTTCAATTTCTGTTGCAGGAACTTTTGGGTCTTCCACGGCAGTGTAGATGCGGATCAGGATAGCGAGTGGTTCGAAGAACGTGTAGATCGAGATCTTGATGACCAAGGTAATCTGCATCGTTGTCGTCCGTGGCGAGATAAGCTACTTTTCGATTTCGGTAGCACTCTTCGTACAAGGTTTTCCGGCCATGGCCGAACCATTCGGTGGTGTCGTCGACGCCGTCATCGATGAACACGACGCGGGAATTCTCAAGTCTCGGTAGCCTCGAGATCTGGAGATCTGACGGTAGCTCGATCGCTAGGCTCGTTGCGGATGGTATCCGACATTGTGCCATGATTGATGTGATTCAGAACGCGGGAAATCCGAGAAAGTGTAGTATTAGGCGAAGTATGTAACTAGGTGAGTTCGGCCGTCAAACCAACACTGCATCCCAAATCTCTAGACGTCTTAAAGAAAAGACTCGCGAGGAAGATTGGCTTGAGTACTTGGCGATCTGATCTGGTGGCCAGGCGAAGTCGACATTCCACCTCGCTGCTCTCCCCTTCCCACTTTTCGCGCTTTCTATTAGCTCGAGACACGGTCAATTCGAATCTCCTCTGTCCTGTGCACCCTGGTCTGTTCAAGTCTTTGCCTCTCTGGATCCGACTCCATTCGAAGTCTTGTAGGTGGTGATTTGAGATTTCCAACCTGGGAAATCAAATTTGCTGGCTCGACAGAAGTATCGTTGCCGCCGTCAATCCTAGGTCGGACGTCTGAGCCATTCCATGTAGGGATCGAGGGCTGATCAGGAGAGAAGCACATCCCAAATCCCAGACCGTAGCCTGGAACAACGACATCACAATGCGCTCTGAAAGGAAGGGCCCCGAGACCTGACAGCCTGGGCAGCTGAGCTCTGCTTTTATCTGTGGATGTTGTCACAATCCATAGCGCAAGACGAGGCGCAAAAAGAAGTATAAGGACGATAGTCGTGGGCTCTGAGGCACTAAAGGAGGTCAGCCTTCATCTCGACAAACAGAAGAACAAGGGAATGGAAGGTCGAAAAGAGCCAGGAGGTAAGGTCAGTGACTCTTCGGCGTTCGATGTCCAGTTTTTCAAGCTCTCGATCGGGCCAAGCTTTACAGAATCTTCACACCAGGCCGTTCTTTGCCCCGGATAAGTCGTTGCTCGAGGATGGATTGGTTGAACAGTCACGCCAAAGCTACAAAATCAAAAAGAGGGAGGGAAACAACTTCAGGTATAGCGGGTAGGATCAGGGCTTGCGAAACAGCGAGGAAGTCTTCCCTCAGCATCTCTCCTGAGCGGTGGGAGGAGGATCCTGCGAGAAGACAAGGTCCGTGGATAGATGGATCTGAGGAGGCATGGAGTAGGAGGTATCAAGAACAGCTCGTCTCGCGCAAGAACTCGGCTCTGTCCATCGAGATTCAACCAAACAGAGGATGTTCTGGAGGCCACGAGGGTGATACCGACAACTTGGTGCACCTTTGACGACCACTATCTGATGTAAATTTTTGCAATGGGCACGACCCAGGAAGTGCCCGCACCACCGCACGGAGGACCAGAGCCGGGAGGTCGGGAAATCCTGTGTGTATTAGGTGCTCGCAAAGCAGGGCGCGGATCTCAGGGCCAGGATATCTTCTGTGGACAGTCATTAGGGTCGATTTTCGAGATTGAACCGGTGCGACTGGTACGACAAAGGCATCTGCAGGGAGTCGCTGCACTCGCAATCGTCATCGCTTCAACCAGTGCAGTAGTCAAGGCAGCTTCAGAATCTCGACAAGCAGATGTCTCTGGCATTGTTTGGCGCGAAGGGCATCAATTTCTGGATTTTCAACACCCCACTCCGATTGTGCTGCATTGATCCGCCTTCGCCGCATATCTGCTCGGGGTTGCTTGAATGGTCAGCTTCTTGCACTGACACGCACCTGGCGCAGGCAGACCAGGCAAACATGGAGAAAATGTGCCAATCCCCAGCCTCGCGGCACGTGATGTTGCTGGTGGCCCAATTGCAGCTCCGCTTCGAGCACGTCTCCTCGGGCCTCAGTGACTCGTGCTTTGTATCTACTCTCCATTGCATTTTTTTTTTTTAATTTTTGATATAATCTCTCTTCAACCGACTCGTTTGCGCTACAACTGCCATAAACATACAATCTGCCATTCTCATCGCGGAACGGAGTCCATCCAATTGTCGAAGGTGGGCTGATCTGCGCCGGAGTCTCTGTGGGGTGTGATGGGTCCCAAGAAAGAGAAGAGCAGTTTGAAGCGGAATCGGGTGAGGATGTAACGCGATCAATGTTGTCGCCGTTCAATCTGACCGCCCCAATAGCATAGCACCGGTGAGGACCAGGAGATCAAGAAACCGCGAAGATCGCAGAGGATTTCTTCGCAGTCTCAAAATGATCCCCTGCACACGCCTCTCAAAAACCAGTATCTGCCTTCTCCTCTAACGAACCATGAGTCCACTGCTACCGAGACATTCAAAGAACACACGGCGACCCCTCCAGAAGGCCGCCCAAGCCAGATTCGTCATGTCACGCCTGTAGCCTCGCCGCCACTTCTCCCCCAATCCTCACCTCCTCAAGACACTCAGCCTTTATCCCAGTTCGTCTACCCTCCTCGAGACATTGAGCCTGACTTGAACGATGAGGACGGGACGTGGGGCTATCTGTTTCCCATGACCGAGAATGGTCATAGGCTGCAGATGAAACGACGAGCATTTTGTCCCGCTCCCGCTAAGCCGCTCGAGGTCTCGAGGCATACTGTTAAGAGCAAAAAGCGAGGCAAGAGGGAACTGGTTGAAGCCGAGGTAGAATATGAGCATGAGAAAACGGGCAAAGGGTTTCCAGCGAGCGGATACCTGATCGGGAGACATCCAGAATGTGACATGATCCTTGACATTCCAACAGTCTCGAACCGCCACTGCCTCATCTTCAACGAAACAAGAAACGGCGATGCGGTCGCTATTCTCGAGGACTTGTCCAGCAATGGAACCTTTGTCAACGAGGCCTTTTTGGGCCGGAACAAGAGGAGGCAACTGGAAGACGGCGACGAGATTACAATCTTGGATGAGGCTCGATTTGTCTTTCGCTACCCAAGAAGCCGAGACTCGAGTGCCTTCAATTCGCGTTACCGGATCCTCCAACAGTTGGGGAAGGGCCATTTTGCCACTGTGTACCTCTGTGTGGAAAGATCAACAGGTTTCAAGTTCGCCGTCAAGAAGTTCGAACGTCGCATGGGAGAGTCTCAGCGGTCGCAGACGGAAGGGCTAGAACAGGAAATTGCTGTGTTGATGAGTGTCAGCCATCCCAATGTCCTTTGCTTGAAAGAGACATTCGATGAGCCGGACGGGGTTTACCTGGTCCTGGAGCTTGCTGCTGAAGGCGAATTGTTCAACTTGATTGTGACGAAACAGAAGTTGACAGAGGCCGAGACCAGGAAGATCTTCATCCAGTTGTTCCAGGGGACTAAGTATCTGCACGAACGGAACATTGTTCACCGCGACATTAAACCGGAGAACATCTTACTGACCGACAAGAATCTGTCGGTCAAGCTGGCAGATTTTGGCCTGGCTAAGATCATTGGCGAGGAGTCCTTCACAACTACGTTATGCGGTACGCCAAGTTGTAAGTATGCACTTGGCCTTCTCAAACGGTCGTGGCTAACGGTGCGCAGATGTTGCACCTGAAATACTGGAGAATACACGCCATCGAAAATATACCAAAGCAGTTGATGTCTGGTCTCTCGGCGTGGTCCTGTACATCTGTCTCTGCGGGTTTCCTCCATTTTCCGACGAGCTCTACTCACGAGAGAATCCATACACCCTAGCCCAACAGATCAAAATGGGGCGGTTTGACTATCCATCACCGTATTGGGACTCTATCGGCGACCCTGCGCTGGATCTCATCGACCGCATGCTCACAGTGGACGTGGAGAAGCGAATCACCATCGACCAATGCCTCGAACATCCCTGGACAAGGAACCTGGGCTACATCAACCCTGCTGATTCACTGGACGGCCTCACCGGGCAAATGAGTGCGTTTGACTTCTCCAAACGAAAAGTCCAACGGGAACGCACGTTGCTAGCCAACATCAACGATGTCAAAGTGAGCAAAGTAGTAGACCTCAATGGTGGCCAGCAGATCCAAGGCCAGCCAACCCACATTCCTGGTTCACCAGCACATGTGAAGGTGTGGGATAAGAACCCCAGTGGGAAGAATATTAGGATGAGCCCTCCGAAAGACAACAAGGGGAAGAAACAAAAGGATGACGGTGGAGCTGCCGACAAGAGTGAAGTTGACGGCAAGAAGGAGGAACATCCCGCGGCGAACAGGCAGCAGGAGGAATTCATGCAGATGGGCGGCAAAGGCGACATGCGTTTGTTTGGGGATGACGCCTCTTCGAGGTATTTGCCGGAAGAGGTGCCCGAGGACAAGAAAAAATGAACATGGAGGGCCGGGATTGACATGCGTTACGACGTTGGTCAGCCGATGTTGATTGGGATATGTGGATCGCAATGACGCTGTTTTATGCATCGCTTGGGGTTGGCTTGGATGATATCCGACTTGATTGTGTGATTTTTGTTTTCAGACCCAAGTCTGAACTTTGCTGGGAAAAGCACCGGCAAAGGACCCACGGAATGACTGCACGAGAGGACACGAGCTTGAACACGAGGCGAAACGACACACGGACGGAATCAAGTACACGACGCTGCATATATTGGAAACCTGGTTTTCTATTGTCCTTGGTACGAGGTGCTGCAGACATGGCCCAAGAGGGGCAGCGGGTCACTGTGCATAATTGTCCATGTACATGTCTGTACATGTTTGCGGCCTGAGGGGGTTTGGGGGTTTATTCGAATATCGTCACGGCGGCTTATCGTGAATGGATGGCGTGTGAAGTTGAACGTGCATGGGCAGGCGGCAGGCCATACATCAGTCTTGGGGTTTCTCATATCATATCATGCCGCGCGCACGCCCGGCGTCTTCCAAAAGTCGGAAAAAGTCTTGTTTCATTCCTTGGATCGGGGTATACATAGGATACTGGGTGTTATGGTTGGGTGTCAGGGATCGGGCTTTGGGGGAGAGGAGGGCCGGACGACGGGAGAATCCCTGGCTGTGTAGCTGGGTAGCTAGCCACCGGGCATGCAGTGTAATAGGACTGTGTATTGGTATGGGCATCCTCAAAAGGTGTGTCGAGAGTCGAGGGTCGAGTTCTCACCCAGCCCAGTCTTATGCTTCTGCTTCTGCTTCTGCTCCTTCGCATCATCGGACGTTGGGTTCTCTAGGGTACTCGATGCCGACGTAGATGTGACGGTGACAGTGACGGTGACGGTGACGGTGGGTGAGACTTGCTGCCCCGCTGAGAACGCGGTATACCGTAGGCAGACAGTGGTTGTAGAACTACCAGGGACCTTAGTTGAGCGATTGGCTTTGGACAGTAGCTGTGCATCTGGGAAGTATGGCAGAAGCGGTATAACAGCCCCTGTTAGACATGGGCGTGGACACGGAGAAGAACAAGGACAAGGACATGGGATCGGGTACCCGTCCGAGAAAAAGTCCGAGACGGTGTCACTAAAGCTTGCTTTCTTGTTGGAGAACAGTTCTGAAATTGTATTCAGCGCCTGAGCTGACCGAGCGCACTGCAATTCAAAGATTCGAACCATGCAAACAAACACCCACAACACCAAACATGCGCCCATACGTTTTCGATGGCGACAGCCAAGGTCAAGGAATCTTGTTCCGAGGCCACCAGTCCTGCTGCTCCTGGTGCCGCCTCAGACGTCGTTCGATGTCCCGGGCCACTTTAACCGAGGGCGCATCGATGGTTCTCCAGAACAGGTCTGCAACGCACAGGAAGAACGGCAGCATCATGATATAGCCGAACAGCCAGATGACCACAAACTGAGCAAACGATGTGTCCTCGCGGACGTATGCCCCCGTGAGAGACCGCAATCTCCCGATGATCACATACCCCAGCGACCTGATCAACATGCCGTGCGTGAGATAGAGGGCAAAGGAGATCCGACCCAGATACTGTGCGAATTCGTTGTTGAAAATGGGTGAGAAGATGTCCGAGTTGACGCACGCCCATGTCGTTATGACTGCACCGAACAGTCGGATCAGCCTGTTCTTTTCGACGATGTATGCTGGGAGGAGGCGAGCCAGGAACGCATATGATGGCGCAGTGACTGGCTCGACAAAGGGGATAGACAGGATGTACAAGCCGACAACGAAACACAGGCCCCACGCAGCCGACGCCACATCTGGTTGCTGAAACCATTCTAAATTCTTGAGTGGTACCGGCGATGGCGACGGTGACGGATTCCCGAGGAGGGGGCCTTGTCCTGGTGACTGTCCTGGACGTCCAAGATGCTTTCGAACCATATCGAGCTCCGCGACAATCATTCCACCGACAAAGAGACAGATACTGCGGTATTCCTGTGTGGCACAGAACAATGCGATGGCCCCGTGGAAGAAAAGCCGCCATCGGCTGGAGAGCATCGACGTCCCCATTATGAGGAGGAAAATAGCCATGCTCGACTTCAGTTCGACGGGAATTGTCCAGACATGTGCGTCGTAGACAAAGTAGTCATGCTGACTCGGCTCTCCAGGCACTGAACCTCTGGCGAGCATGTAGAATTCAGTGAGAACATCTGAAACCTGTGCAGAAAATGTCTCGGACAGTGGTGGAGGTTCTTCACGCATCAGACGAGGCCGTGGATTGTCCACCAGGAGGCCGTCCTCGATCATTTGCGTCACGTTGTTCCTCGCGTCAAATGCCTCCAGCTGTGCAGCATTGATGTCGTTGCATACGTACCTTGCCGGTTCGAAGGCTCGCATCTGCGTCAAGGTTGCAATTATGACCACCGCCGCCATCGTGGGGAGCAAAAGGCGGAACGCCCGACGGAAAACCGAGGAGGCAATGCACTCGTACATCATCTGAGGGCTGGACGAGTACAACAAGCCCAGTGGTTTATGGGAGAGGACATAGCCCGACATGACGAAGAACAGGTTCACCATGGCCTCTCCCCCCCACAACAGGATAACAAATGGCTTCCACATGAAACCAGTGGCGAGTTCGTTGATAGCATATGGTCGCCAGGGGTCATCGACCGCACACGTCCAGTGCTCGTGCAAGACAATGAGACATGCAATGCCTCGAAGGCCGTCGAGCGCAGAAATCTTGTCGGACGAAGTCGAGGTGGATGTCTTCGCGGATTTGGATTTTGAGGCAAAGCTCGGGGTCAGCCATAGCAGGAGCCTGTAGATGACCATAGTAACCAGTCGAGCTGCATGATAGGACAGTGATCAGTACTCAGCCTGCCCGACCATTGAATCAAACAGGCCTGTTCTTACCGCCATTGCCGAGGACTGCGACGTTTAGTCTTCCATTGTTCATTGACCGAGACTTGAAAAAGGCCTTGCCGCCGCCTTCAGTCATGATGGTGGAAAGTAGCGTCTAGAGGCCAGACTTCTGAAGTCATCAGCGAGTGAGTAAAATCAGCATAGCGTGGGGAATAGGATCCCAGTGTATTACCCCCTGAAAGTTTGCTTGCTCAAACATCTGGCCTGGTTGTTTGCTTGGCTGAAAGGGACGCGAGAGTGGTCGAGAGAGGTGGAGTCCTAGGGAGGATGCTTGCTGGCTGGCTTCACACCCTCGCACAAGACGGGGACCAGGTCCTCTCCTGTTCCAATCCGTTATGTCGATGATTGTCAAAAGATCAGAGCATTGAGAAACCCTGGTCGTATCTTTTAGGCACGGCCTCCGTAACTGCTGACGCCGAATCTCTGTGCAACGATCGTCAGGTACCCGGATAGGGGCCCGCAGATGGACAAGGGCCAAAGGACGAATTAAAAGCCCTTGCCGTGCAGCAAAGCGAAACCCCAGCAAGGGCCGGCAAACACCGTCAAAACCCCCCCTGCGCGTACCTGGATGGCTGGGCTAAGAAGCGCTCAGACGGAGCACGGAGGATTATCCTTTCAACTGCCAATCGGCTGCGGAGCTTGATACACGGTCGTGGATGGCCTGCAGTGGCGTTCCTTGGGACACTCTGGGTTCTCGATGAGCAAGCCTTTCCATGGTTCTTTTTCTTTGTGTGGGAGGAGCGGGCAGGCGTTTGACCGACGGCAGCCCGGGGGGGTTATTCTCATTCATGTGGCATGGGAAAGATTAGGCCTTGGACCGCACTTGCCATTTTCCCGTCTTGACCTTTGACAACGCTGGAGTGCTGTCGCAGGCAAGCAGAATCGTGGAGCAATTTGAACGCCCCCGGAGGGACATGATAACCATTACTGCATCCACTATCTCGGTGCTCGTCATTCGATATGCTGCTTACGCAAAGTACTCTTCTTTGTGTGCACCCAATTTCCTGGTCAAGTAGTCGGCTTGATAGACGTACGAGGAAAGGAACATGAAAACCCCGTTCACCGGTGCTGATTGAACTAGTATGTCGATCGCAGGTACAAGCTCATGCGCATTAGGCTGTCTGTAAGGGATCGCATGCTTATCTACAGTCCCACGACGGATATTTTGGAGAGTCGACGCATGTGACAGTCTCAACATGATGTCATGGAGAACTACTATCCTGAAGCTTCATCTGAATGCCATCAGAATACGAGGGATATTTCGGAAATCGCACCTTGTCGTCCAGAACAATATAGACTATTCGATGGTGGGAGCGACGATGGACATGTTCTCTTGGCTCTTCCACCAGCAAACCACGACTCCTGACGCCCGCGGCTACAACAGACACGACGTAAGCCCGTTTGGTCCCTTCAGTTTTGGTGGCGTCAGGCATGTCGCCATAATTTAGTGGCTGATGAAAGGGTACCTGACGACCTCGCAGTGGATTCCTTATAAGTGGAGTCTGGTTATAGCCCGACAGCCTCGGCCCTTAAGCCCCTGAAAAAATACTCAATACTCAATACACGTACGTACACACAGGGGATCCGCTGCCTCGATCCGAAATTGCACGCTCTAGCTCGCCTAGAAGAAGCCCCTATCCCAAAAAGAATTTTTTGCAAGGGGACTCCGGTCACGAAGAATCGATCGGGGGACGCTCTTGACGCTCACGGCCAATGATGGCTGGTCCCCGTGGAGACATGGACCAGGAACGAGGACTGCAGGTCAAACTGACTCACAGGCTCTTATCGTCTCGTCCATATCTCAACAGATCCGCGCGCGGATCTGGCTGCTAGCTCTTTGCGGCGGGCTGTCACCTCAGGGGGGGAAACTGTCTCAAGTGGCATTTACCTTTTTGTTTATCCCGCCACGTCCTGAGTATTTGACATTGGACGACAATTCCTCCTGGTGACTTCAATGTGCTTGGCCATGCTGCGAATATGAGGTGGCAGTCACGGGCGTGGTCGACTGTATCTTGTTCAACATGCAATCCACATCCTCTTCGGTGAAGATGAAGCTCGAGATCCTGCAGCAATATGCGGTGCCTGGGAATATCCCATGGACTAGTCGCAAGGTCAGAATCATCGCAGTTCTGTGCGGAATCCTATGTCTGCGCTTCTTCCTTGGTGCACTCGACGTAAAACCCATCCAGGTATGCAGCATCTAACGAGGTGCCTCTACGATTCTCTGGCTGACAAGTTGTTTCCAGAACCGTTTGCCTAATGCCCTCCGGCAGCAGACCTATCTCGACCAGGCAGGATTTCAGTCGATACCCATAACCGGCTTCGTCAACACCGGAGACCTCTCAAGCCGCACATGCGAAGATCTAAGGCATGAAGGAGAGCTTCGGGTGGACAAGAGCCTGTACCTCGAAGACGACTTGGAGCACATTGCACGATCACTGGCAGGTCATCCGATGATCGACTATTCCCAGCAGGAGAAGGGGTTGACATTCCGCCAAATGGTGGCCAAAACCTGGGCTAGGCTATCCGGGTCGAGTGTGTGGATCGAGAAGTTCAAGGTCTTCCTCACCGTCACGAGAGTCATCTTCTACGACAACGGCCTCCGACACAAGCCAGTCATCAGCTTCCTGGCGGGCCAGCTTCATGACGAAAACTGGAACGAGCTGAAGAACTACACCATCCAGTGGCAGAGCGAGGAGATCAAATTCCCCACGGTGTTCAACATCCCCGCCCCGTTCAAGCAAGGCGACCGATACTTTGGGCCTGAAGACCCCCGAGTGATTCTCGAGGAGGGGGTCGAAGATGCGGAGCCCATCGTGACGTTCAACATGCTTTACGACCTGAAAACCGGAGACAGGGCCATGTATATCTTCCGCCCGTTTTCCAACGACACGACCGTCTTGACCATCACGGGCCAGACCGAGAGGGCGCACGCGGAAAAGAACTGGGCGCCCTTCTTCATCAACGAGCACGAGCCCATCTCGCCGGGACACTACAAGTGGCCCAGCCACTACATCCATTTTATCTACGACTTCAACCCGCTGCGGGTGCTCAAATGCCACACCCTCAACGGTTGGTGCCACTTTGTGTATGAGCAGAAGGTTCCCGACGAGCTGAGGGGGTCAGGCCTGAATGCGAACGGGCGGATGACGGGCGGGACCAACATGGTGCCGTTGCAACTGGAAACACGTTCCAACCTCAACGCGTGGGTCGGATTCCCCAGATCCCACATCAACATCGGGTGCACCGACGACCTCGCCATGTACCGGCCAGAGCTGATGATCATGACGGCACACGGCGACCACTTCTACCTCAGCTTCATGTCGGGCCCCATCGACTTCGGCACCGCGGCCATGACGCCCGAAGCCATCAGCGACCCCTGCGGCGAGGGCAAGGTGGTGATAGCCAACAGCATCGCCAAGTGGGATCGACGGCCCAAGCACGACGTCCTGACGCTGACCTTCTCGGTGGCCGACTCGACCGTCCAGATCATGCAGCTGGCCAGCCTCTCCAAGTTCGTGAGCCAGCTGCCCCATGTGGCTCATCTGGACGGCGCGTTCCTCGCCGACATGTCCAGCCGGAACAAGACCGAGTGGGACCTGCGCTATACGGCCGTGAGCAAGGATGTCCTGGACTGCACAATGGAGGCGGCCTCGTACTATTCGGAAATCATCGCCGCGCCCTTCAAGGGCCTGTCCAAGGAAGAGCTCTCGTATGAAAACGGAAAATGGGACTGGAAGGCCGGCGCGGTCATATGAAGGCATGAAATGGAGGAATCTCTTTCCATCTGGGGCTGGCCAACCTTTGGCCTAAAGCTAGGATGGCATTTTGACGCACAAAACTCCCCCCCGCCAACTGCGCGAAGAAACGACATACCAACACTTTTACAAAAGTCTTGACTCGACTCTAACGACCCGCACTGGTTACACCCGGTGCCACGTGTTTTCAAAAACATCATTAGGAAGAAACGAGTGCGGACTTGGCGACAGTTTAAAACGGGAATGATTTCTGGCAATGCCTCTCACTTTTTTAATTTTTACCGTGGGGCGAAATAAAGGACCAAAAGTCCCCAGAAGCATCCAGGCGCCCGATATCAGTTCACGGAGGCGTGATATCACAAATTTCGTGACGATGCGGGTGTCAATAATGCAACCTTGCAAGCGATTTGATGACATGGGATCACTATTAGAGAGGCGGTTTCCTGTTATTATGGAACGATAAGCTGGCGGCGGGGAGGAGAAGAGGTCGATCTTTGCAGGCGTTCGGGTTTTGAGATGCGCACGGGACGCGAGGGTCTCGGACTGTATATGTGCCGTCCCCCTGAACATCAGCAGTCCAGATACACGTAGGGACATAGAAACAATGACACACGCCGAAGAGGGCTGACGAACGATTCTGTCTTGCGATCACGATGGCGTAGTGTTCTTTCGAGTGTCTTTGGCACGCAGCAAAAGCACCGCTGAGGAGCTGGGTACATAAATTGACGGCTCACATGTTATATACCTGGGCGCCCAGGTGCATGGACTTTAAGGGGCGCGCTCTCTCTCTCTGCCTGAGTACATGGGTGCCTACGACGGAACTCTCAGCAACCCAACTTGCGAAATGGGGAGAGGGAATGTTGAATCCAAAGCCGCGGATTATGAACTGGTTCGTCCCCCGACAAAATACGACACTTGTCAAGGAATCGACCGCGAGTCGAACAGGCAGAAGGAATGGAAGATGAAGAGGGACATAAGATTATATTGTCGTAGGCACAGTATCCAACTCCGCCGCAAAAAAAACCTCTATGGAGTCCTTCCAGTAATAACAAAAACCCTAGGCCTCTTTCATGGGCCCTTCCCAACCCAAACCCCCAGCCAGCGCAAATATAAAGGAAACCAACCAAAGGGGGCTCAGTTATTCATTTCTATCTTCTTTCTCGTCCAGGCATATCGGATGTGCTCGGCCTCGGTGATGATGGAGTGCAGGCGGTCGAGGAACTCGCGGCTCAGGGGCCGCCAGCGCGACTCGTCGTGCTGGGGGCAGCCGCGGGCGTCCTCGGTCCAGTCGCGCCAGTTCCAGGCGGCCTGGGTGGCGAGGACCTCGGTCTCGTTCTCCGGGCGCGAGAGGGTGACGTTGCTGTCGAGCGCGATGGGCTCCTGGGTCAGGTTGGCGGCGGCGGTGGTCTGGATGGTCAGGTCGATCGGGGCGCCCAGGTACCAGTGGGTCCAGTTGGCGAAGCCCAGGGTCTTGTCCTCCTTGTTCTGCCACACGCCCATGTTGGTCCAGAAGGGCTCATCGTCGTCGGCGTCCGAGTGCGCCATGTGCGGCGAGCAGATGCGCGGCGTCTTGAACACCTCGGCCTCGGGCGTGCTCAGCGCCTCCGAGAAGCGCGCCGCCTGCCACGGCTCGAACGCGTACGGGACCCCCGTCAGCTCCGCCGCCAGCCAGTACGACTCCTTGTCCCCCCAGAACGTGTCCCACGTGATGGCGTCGCGCACGTCCTGCACGTTCATCCACGCCGCGAACAGCGCCGTCACGTACAGCTCCGGCCGGGACTTGTCGAAGTAGACCACCGCCGAGTCCGCCTCCTCGCCGATGTAGCCCTTGTAGAACAGCGAGCTGCTGTTGAGCCGCGCCGACGGCTGCCGTCCCGTCTTGACGAGCTGCTCGGCCACGAATCTCCTCCGGTTCTCGCTCCGATCCATGGTCACGGCTCGGTCGTGGAAGAACAAGGTGCCCGTCTCCCTCAGGCCCTCGTAGTCCGTCCAAGCCCGTTCCGGGTGTGAGAAGAACACCGCGTCTGCGTCCACGAGAATGGTCTGGGGAAATCGACTGGCTATTAGGGCGAACGGTTTGGTGGCCCAGCCTTTGAGGCCAATGAGGGAATTATCGAAGATTTTGGTGAGGTCGAGAAATTGTATGTCTTTGCTGGTTGCACGGAGAAACGTTCGGGTATGAGGTGACAGGTCGGAATCACCAGCATATGCGATTTCTATGGGGAGTTCGTTCTTGAGGACTTTTTTGAGGTTTGTGATCAAAAAGAGAGCGTCTTCCACGTTGCCGTCGCCCACACAGGCGACGATGCCCGTCTTCAGCTCCGGCTTCTCCTTCGACCAGGGTTTCTGCTTCGTCTGGTGTTTCCACGGCACATAGGCCAATTTGTCCTCGTTCCACCAGGGGAAAAGGTGGGCCAAGGAATCTTTGAGGCGGCCGCGATCGAGAGTCTGCTGCCGCATGTAAAGCCCAGCGAGCTGGGAAAGGGCGGCCACTTGGTTGGCCACCGAGGCGAAGTCGGGAAGGGCGACATCGAGGGGGTACTCGGCCACGTAGGTGTGTAAATCGGTCACCAGACGCTCCGTCCTGTGTTGCTGCACGACAACATAGCGAAAGTAAAAGAGTGTGATCAGAGGCAATAAAAGAATGAGAAGAATGCTGGACGGCCTTTTGCGAACAGTGCTCGTCAGCATCGAAAACATGATGGCCAAACGTTGGACACGTCACTCACGTGCGCGCGCAGACGGGACGAACGACTCGATCTGAGCTTGAGCCGTGTATATGTAGGAGGGATATGAACGTGGGGGCTCTGGGTGGTGACCCCCCATTTTCTCGCAGAGGCGGCGAGCCAGGAGTCGACAGGGAAAGGACGCTGGTGGAACCTGTGAGTTGAGTTCCGAAGCGCCAGCAGTCTCCATTCTGATCTGATCGAGTATCAGGGGGAAAGAGAAAAAACTCCCCGTGAGTTTAGCGAATTGCAAAGTGGGTAGCGCCACGGATTCCCAAAGCAGCTTGAGGCTTTCAATGATTGTAAGACTCTTACCCGTTGTGAGGGACGGGGGATTGGGCCCTGGCACGCTCAGCACCAATACTCTGTACGTGAATCTCATGCCTGACGAGTACCTTCGGGCCTAAAGCACGTGCGTTAAGGAGACAAGACTTCAGCCAATATTGGACCATCAAACCGTTTTCTCAGCTCCCTGCAGACCGAAAGGCAATCCTCTCGTCTGAAGTTACACCCATGGCAAGTGTAATCTTGCTCAGGTCTCTTCCTCTTCTCGGACTGGGTACGACGTAATCCCTCGTGGTCTTTTGATGCGGTGTGTGCGTTCACTCTCTTCTTTTTTGCAGCGGGGGGCCATAGTGCAGCAAAACTGGACGGATCTAACCCTTTGCGGTAGCTTGGACCCAAATATGTGGACCCCATATCAGGGGACGCTTCTGCAGGTACAGCATGGTCTGGAACCTGGCTGCTTCACACCTGGGAGAGAGAATCTGTTTGATTGACTGATCGTCGTCTCGTCCATGTCCTAGCTGAGAGACCTTATCGCTCAGCGGTTTTGCAGGATTAATGTGGTTGATCCTGCCATATTGCAGTATCGGGCATAACTTCGTCCCCCCTGAATGATTTTAATTGTTTGCCAAAGAAGATTATTCTTGTCCCGTGAAGAAAACTTTAAACGATGGACGAGTGCGTTAGTCAATAGGGCTGCAGATCGACTTTTCAGGAGTGCAGTTCCTTCGTCACCAATCCAACGTCCCGGCCGCCGAAAGACCTCTTGGTAGGCGTCGGCTGAGGATGAGACAGCAGCCAAAGGTCTGGGCTCTCTTCGGCACGATCGGGCTCTCCTGACCGACACTGCAGATTCTGGCTGCAAAGGGCCGCCCAGGGCGGAATGATAGCATCATGATACCTGGCTGGCTGGAATTTCGGGGCTAGACGCCACGACAGGGTTTAGCGAAGGAGGGCACGAAAACAAGACTTAGGCTTGTGCGTTCAGGTACAAGCTGCTTGAGCCTGGCTGGAAGCTCGTCCACTCGGATGTATGAGCTGCGCAACTGGTCCACCTTATGAAACCTGCCACCGTTGTAACCGTAAGTACTGGTACATACGAGTACAAGCGCGTCAATTCTTTTCCACCGCACGTAAATCGTGGGCCTTCCCACCCAATAAGCAGAAGAAAAGGTCGAAATGTCCTTGCAGGCATGTGCGGCTCTACCCTTAGTCGCGGGCCCGTCGGTGTTTCAGGTGGTCACCGATAGGCAAGGCGTCGAATTTTCTAGCTGAGTTGGGTAGAAGGTGGCAGATTTGTGGCCGCCGTGGCGACCTTAGCTGGACCTGAGGCGCTGGGGGCTGCGAGGACTTCGCATACTGACGCGTCAAGCAAGACTGACATGGTTGTCAAGTCGTATTAGCACGAGTAAATATTCGATTCTACATGTTCTACTGTAGAGGACCCGTATGTATCGTAGGTGGGAGCAATTAGGCCGAATGAGGGTTACACGCACCGTTTGCCCCAAGCTGCGGTCCTTCATCATACACGCATGAACTCTTTTTCGCTGGCTCCCTCCACAAGAAAGGGCTCGGCCTCTCCATTGATCATGATACAGCACATGGGAAATTCCAAGCAATGAACCCTAATCCCATGATCGGTCTATCTCATATCTTAGCCCGACAAGGCCCAGGGGGAGAGCATATCGAACAGGGCTTATCCAGTCAAGTCCAAAAGCTGTGCACTCCACCCCGTTCAAGTTGATGACTGACTCCTGAACAACAGAGAGTGGGCTGGCAAATTTTATTCATCCCTCGAGTGTCATTTTAACCCTCGCATGATTCGCGATTGGATCGACAAACATGGCGTGAAACCGCCGGGCGATGATGTGAGCATGTAGCGAGGTATTGGCTGGGACTGTCTAGGCGCGTGTTGGAAACTCGGAGTATTTTGGATGGAGCTTTTTCCAATAGTCGACATGTGCTGTGGTAGCATCTAGACACAAGCTTTGTCAGTTACAGGAGCGCCTTGAGGGGCACAGAAAAGCAAAAGAGCGGAAAATAGATGCCCATCTCACGAACACGAAGCCACGACGTGACGCGCGATGTTGCAGCGCGATGTCATCGCATCACTTGGGTCGAATATGACCTGATCGGCCTGATCGACCTTCGACATCTCCTCCTGATGCTCGTGTATCCGTAATTGCGACGTGATAAGGTCGATCGTCGACCTGGGGTAATTGGATGCGCCTGACTCAGGGTGACGGACACCATCACCAACATCAGATTGCGTAGGAAACAGGCAGGCCGTGAGGACGTCGATGATGGAGATTCCATTGCGTGCAGGCTTGGTTGGCCGTGGTTCTATGAGTGTCGGTCTGGTGAACTACTGAACTGCGTTGCTCTCCTCGACGTGATGGTCAAAGTCATCCCTTTCCTGGTCGATCGTCACTTCCCTCAGAACCGCATTCATCTACAGGAATGTCAATGAACAGCAGGAATGCGCAGGCTGTCCAAGATTGTATACCATTGACTGACTCTAGGTCTACTATGCAACGCCCATACCATTGCTTAAGAACGCTCAGAATAGCTTCTCACAAATTCATCTCATGAAAATCTCGTCCAGTCCCTTCATATCTGCCAACACCATCTTCTTGGCCTGGATGTTCCGCCCTCTAAGCAAGTGTCGGCCAGTTTTCATCACCGTGACGGTCTGTTTGTTTGATGCCGCCATCAACGTCGACACCGACGAGTTCCTTCCCTCGGTGTCCACATTATCCTTTGATGACTTGTGCTTTCGCTTGTTTGGCCTTTGGGCCTTCATGGCTTCGTCATCTGATGCAGCAGACGACACAGGCTCATCAGGCGGTTGAGTCAGAGGAGACTTATGGGCTGGCAGGGCTTGAGCGTCGTCTTTGGCTTTCTTCGCAGCTCTTCTCGAAACTTTTTCTTCCCTCCGTTTCCTCCTCTCTTCCTTTCGCTGCCTCTTCTCTTCCTTCATTCTCCGTCGCTCTTCACGCTCTTTGCTTCTAGCTTCTCCCTGTGCCTGCGAAGCTGACTCCGACTCCGACGGGGTTTGATCGTCCTCCAAAGGAGAGTTCTCTGCGTTGTCTTTCACTCGCCCGTTCTCTTCAATAGTGCCAACCAATACCCCGCCTCTCACAAAGATCATGCCACCCCATCTTCCGCGAGCATACATTTCCAACTTTCGGTCTTCGACCTTCTTTTCCTCCTGTTTCAGCACCTCCTCACTCTTGCCATTCAATCGGCCCAAGAGGCCCTGAAACGCATCCAGCCCAACCTTCTGGTTCTCAACCGCTTCCTTCCCGCTTTTCCTCCTTGCGCCCAAACCTAGATTGTCATCTTTGAAGAGGACTCCGACGTGAGCGGCCGCGAGGCGTTCTGCATCGCTAGGAGCACCGTATCGGGAGGTTGTGGTGCGCTTGCCGAGTGCTTGTCCCTGGGACCACCCTTGCTGGGTCATAAGCCGGTGGCCATAGGATGTGGCAGAGGACTGGGAGGACCACGCGAGGTTCCGAGGATCGTGAGAGAGTTTTTGCCTCCTGTCGACGTAAGTTAGAATTGACCCAGAGACCAGTACAGTTGCAAACAATGAGCGCAGATTGTTGTTATCTTGCCATCACAGAGGGATAGTATTCGATAACCTGGTTGAAAATGGAAACACATACTTTCTCGGCTCAGCTAGACCCATCTTGCACCTCACCTTCTAGGTGTGCACCTCTTCAAACTGGGCTTTTGAATTCTGAACGGGAATCGTCAGTCAATCAGTCCGATATGCATGGGATTTCGAAAAATTTACAGTTTGCACTTTAGTCCTTTAAGGTCCGCCGTAAAAGCGCTACAGCGGATCGTAATTTCCCCAATGCGACATTCTACGATGAAGGTGAAGGCATGGCGTCTGCTCCTACATCTATTGGAGGCAACAGGTCACGTAAAAGGCGTGCACATTCTCTGTTTTCTTCCGTAGTGATCGTTGACTTGAAAAGGACAGAAGCCACCGCTTGCATAGGAATGATGCTCACCTACCAAACTTCTCTGTCTCTCAACTCAGAATATCGCGACCCGGCTTTGATACTGTTGTCGAAGGTAAGTAGGTGACCGGCCGCGCAATTGTCTGTTGACACTTCAACCCAAGACTGACATTCAATCCTACCACCACAATTACAGATCCCCGTGGGAATCATTGCGTACTTGACCGCAAAACGCTGATGACGGCATCTCCTTGACCCCTCTCCAAGCGAGCTCCGAGGCTATGGGCAACCGACCTACTCGTATGAGCATCCAGAAACCCTGAATTCTATCCGTCACGGCACGTTGCCCGGAGATTAATGGTCACGATCTTGTGGATAACCTTGGCGCGATCATCTCGTCCTGGACTGGCTGTATAAAGCAAGAGTTAGTCACGGGCCAGTGAGCAATGGGTTTCAGGAGGCTTGAGACCAAGAACTACTGCATATGGCAATACGGGTAGCATTTGACCAGGCTGGATGCAGATAACGAGTCGGCATGCAGACTGCAGACTGCTCCTTCAATCGGATTCAGTATGGCCAAATCGCGACCCCTGCTCTTCTGATTAGCGCCCGCAGCTGCAATATCAAGAAGGCGACAGTGGAACCGCCTAGTACCATTCGAGACAAAGGCTTGATCAACAAAAGGGGGTCCTGCAGCAAACTTCGCAATAGCCCTGGGTACGAGGTACAGTCTGCAAACTTCGAGAATGCTGAGATGAGATGTCCGAATTTCCATCATAGGTGTCTTCCAGAGCCGTGATACGGCATTTCGGTGAGCCAACAGAGGTCGGTAGCGGTGGTCGCAGCCGCTGACAACCTCCAGGGATCCATCCCTGCCAACCTGATCTGCTGGTACAGTACTCAAAACCGGCGCAGCAGACCTCGAGACTGGACGAATTAGGCTCAGTTGTGTCCCGCCTTCCGGCTTTTCAACCTCCTGTCAATTACGACTTCTCCGCGTCACAGGGTCAATAATGGCCCTCCCTTTCGCGTTGTTTGCGCGAGGTATAGACAGGACATACTTGGCTATTTTGATAGTCTGCATCCTATTTATTTCCTTCCTCGGCAGCCCCTTTACTTCGTACCAACCAAAAGTCGGCGCGGTGGAAGAATTGGTCTACCGAGCCGCTGGGCTCAACGGCACCGTTCGCCCTTCCAATCTCGAACTCAGCGATGTCGTCGAAGAGATCGACACCAGTCCCACGCATGGACTCTTCAACTTCTACTCGGAACCATGGGATCCGCCTGGAGTCACGGAATTGAACGAAGAAAGAATGCGGATCATTGAACCTTACATCAAAGCCATCACAGACCCCAGTGACAGACGTTTCCCACGACTTCGATGTCCCCTGCCAATGAAAGAACGGTATGAGAACTTCCGCCGCCGGAGAAGTTTTGCGACGAGATGGGACACGCCGCCGAGACGGTGGTTCTTTGCACTCAACCTCCATCAATGCGCACCCATCTTGCCTCGCTTACTGGCGTCAGTCGTCGAGGCAATCCGCTTCCTTCGGCCACAGGACTGCGTTCTATCCATTGTTGCTCGCCATTCCAATGACGGTACAATGGAGATCCTGGCGAAGATTCGCGAGGAAATGGACACGCTCAACGTCACATACTACTTTAGCACGAGCGACGTCGACCCGTTCAAGGAGGGCAATGACTACATCACCGAATGGGCCGCTCTGCGAAATCTGGCACTTGACCCGTTGGTGCGGCAGCCGGAACTCTACGACCCTGACACAACGGTTATCTTTTTGAATGATGCGGCGATCTGCACGGATGATATTCTGGAACTCATCTACCAAAAGGTGAGTCTTCAGTGGAGACGGATCTGGTCGAAGGCACTAACGATCATGCACTAGGTCTATCAAAAGGCTGACATGACCTGTGGCATGGATTGGGCCAATCACGGAGAAAACTTCAACGACTTAGGGGCGTCCCGTGGCATGACAGGCGACATGTTTGTCTACACACCCCAGGACGGCAAAGTTGACCCCAATAACACACTCTTCCGCAACGACCCCAGAACGAAGACTCGATTCGAAGCCAGGCTGCCATTCCAGGTGAGTAGCTGTTCCTTGCCGACTGATTTCACTTCTGCCCCAAACAATGACATATTTCGAACTCGCCGTCGATACTGACAATATGGGCTCACTTCAGGTCTACTCATGTTGGAACGGCGGCGCCGTCTTTACAGCCAAACCCCTGCTCCGGCACAACATCACGTTCCGGGCCTCACGCCACGACGAATGCCACATGGGTGAACCGCTACTCCTGTGCAAGGATTTCTGGAAGTACGGCTACGGACGGATCGCGGTAGTGCCGAGCGTGAACATCGGATACAACGACGACGAGTCGCGGCAGACGAAGAAGCGGTACGGCTTCGCGACGGAGATCGTGCAGCGCGTCGAGGAGGACCTGGATCTCGCGGCCATCAGGCAAAGCAAGATCCGGTGGCAGGCCGCGCCGCCCAAGAGTGTCAAGTGCGAGTCGGACCTCTCGCACCCGGCCGAGGACGAGCTGGATGACGCCAAGAAAGCTGCTGCCAGCGAGGGCACGGATTCCGCTGGCAGTTCTGATAGTGCGGACAATAACAAGGAGCCGCCGCAGAAGAACATTGTCTATGAGGACGGTGGTGGCCCGGACCTGTAAAAAGGGGCCCAGGCGGTCAGCTAATGCAGTAATGGAAAGCGGTGGTCTGTCTGCGGGAACATTCGTGGCGGGACGTTTACAGTGGACGCACGGTCAGACTCCTTTTGGGCGTTGGGGGAGGGATTCGTGGGAGGAATACACCCTGACTGTATATTTATAACATGTTAGATGTGGCGTACAAGCGAATATACATAGAACCCAGGAATTTGATGACATATGATCGACAAAAGCCATGCTTTCATTTTCCATTCAGTATCCCCCCACAATGCCAGCAGCGGTTTCGTGCGGGTGGTCGTGGAATGGCACCGATTTTTCTCCCCGAGCATAATAACGCAAGGGGCTCGAATTCTGTCCGGCAGGGAAAATTGTCTCGGACGGACGTCCGCCCTGAGACAAGAAGATGCCCTAGCCACGATCACGATGATGACCTTTGCTGGAGCGGGCATGGTTCCCAGATCATTTGGACCTGCTTTACAACGACGCCAGTGTGCGTTACACCCTCAGCGCTCAGGTATCAAATACATATGGATACAACAAGGCTGGGCAGCCGGGGGGTGTTCTCGACCGGGCGAACGCAGGATCAGTCCTCCGCCACACATGCCATGTCATGCCATGTCTGTGCACGACGCGATGAAGGGGTTCAGGACGGACATGAACCCCTGCGAAAGGGAGGAGTTGACACATTCCAGCGCGCCAGCAGGAACGCGCGGGAAAGGGAGAGCTCTCTCCCACCCACACATACACACACACACTCGCTTTCATTGCTCCCGCCTAACAGATACTACTATCTCAAGAGTGAGGATACTACGACGTAGGGACAAGGTAGCGGTGCATATCCCGCCATATCCCCAAGGAGCCAGTCATGTTCCCACGATTCGAAATCGCCGGCTTCGCCATCACACTGACGATCGTGTTCTTGTTCGGCGCCCGATTCAGGCCCTCGTTTCCGGACTTTGACGCGTCGATGGGTCTGCGGTTCAACTACGACGACGACGATGGAGGGACGGCACTTTCTCTCGGGGTCAACGGTGGGAGTCGGTTCGACGACGTGCAGCCACCCGACCCCATCGAGGACGTGCGGGTCGCGGACGTTTTCTTCGACGAGGCCGCCGAGCAGGCACAGGTGCAGGAGGAGGGGGTCGGCGACAACATGGACGACGCCATGAACTCGACGCTGGGCTTTGCCAAGGTCTTTGTCATCTCCATGCCCGAGAGGAGTGACAAGCGGGACGCGTTCAGTCTGCAGGCTCGGCTGTCGAATATATCGTTCGAGGTCCGGGACGGCGTCTCAGGGGCGGATGTATCGGTCAAGGCTCTTCCACACGTAAGGCATCTTCCCACCTACTCGGCTGAGACTGGCTGAGGGACGTCGTATTTCGATCAGCAAAACAACTGACATTGTGGGCGTTTCGAATAGAGCTTCGCCCAGGACGCCGGCGCCACTGGGTGTTGGCGAGCGCACTTGAACGTCATGCAAGAGATGCTCCGGGACAACATCCAGTCCGCTCTTGTGTTTGAGGACGATGCAGATTGGGACCTGGCCATCAAATACCAGGCGATGCAGGCAGCGCAAGCGACGCGGTTCCTCACCGTGCAGCCCGAAGACGAGAAGCCCCTGTCCCCTTACGGAGACTACTGGGACATCATCTGGTTCGGGCACTGCGCTGCGCAGACCGACCCGGAGTTCGACAGGAGGTTCGTCGTGACGGACGACCCGACAGTGCTGCCGCCGTGGGCGCGCTCGGAATTCGTGCAGCCCGACATGTCCATCTGGGAGGAGGACTCGGACGACTACCTGAACTTCCAGACCCGCATCTACTTCCGGTCGAGCTGGAACTCCTGCACGGCCGCGTACGCTATCTCGCTGCGAGGCGCGGAGAAGGTCGTCTTCACCGAGAGCATGGTGCCCTTCAACGACCCCGTGGACAACGGCATGGGCGCCATGTGCAACCGCCACGCGCTCGACTTCACCTGCATCGCCCCGTTCCCCACCGTCGTGGGCATTTCGAAACCGGCCGGCGCGTCAAACCGAGGGAGCGACATTCGCGGGCTGGACAATGTCCAGGTCGTAGAGCAAGGGTGGAGTGAACGCCTCATGTATTCGACGCGGCAGAACATCCCTCGCATTCTGACCGGCGAGAAGGAATTTGTGAGTGTCTTCCCGGAGGACTCGGTGCCGCCCTTGACCGTCAAGGACATTGGGCGAGGCATGGGCCATCCCGAATGGGTCTGGGGAGGGACCAGGTACTTTGACGAAGGCGAATACCTGCAGGTGCGCTTCAGCGGAGGGGAAGACGAACACCAGGAGGCCAACGCTCAGGAAGAAGATCAAAAGTCCGAGGCGAGTGAGTGGACGAGTCCCATCGAGCAGGAGACGGAGGAAACCCAACCAGATGCCGAGAAGGAGGAGACTCCTAGCTCGGAGGAGGTTCAAGAAGAGATAGTGGAAAAGGCCTCTGAATCCACAGACAACGCCAAAAAGCAGGTGTTACATCGATACCGGAACAAAGGCAAGAACCGAGACAGGGAGCATGGGAGGGAAGAAGCGGACAAGGCGGAAGCACTGCTCGAATCCTAGGCCCAATGACCACAGCACAGATCCTTGAAGCAGGAACGGGCCTTGTTGTTCTCGAACGGCGAAAGGGGTTGGTTGACATGGTGTTGTCTACAGAACCTCGCGTAAGCGGCATGTACCGAGGTAAATCACACCGCACAGGAGAGACTGAGACGAGGCTCGCAGCATCTGCTCGGCTCTAGCGAACACAATCAATCCATCAATCAGTCGGTCTATTTCCCGCCTTCGTCCTGCTGGCCATGACAACACTCGTCGTGGAACAATCCATACACACCACTGCACTACTCTAGACGGACAGCGGGGCGCAACGAAGGAGCAGGACCCAGACAACGACGCCCTGGAAGATGAAGTCGTGAGAGGCTGAGAACTCGCCATTGCCACAATATCCATACCGCCACCAGCTACTACTTGCCCAACAACAACTCCCATTCAGGCTCCCAAAGCACCATGGGCTCAGCAGACAGACCAGGCCCGACTCCCCAGGCGACACTGGAGCATTTCCAGGCGATACCATGGTGCAGACCGCACCTGACAGACCAGGCATTTCGGCGGGTGAACATGTCTCGCACGCTGACGCAGCCGGGCCACGGCCACTCGCTGATGGCCGCGACGTGGAACACGGACACGACCATCACGCACCTGCTCTCGATGTACCGGCCTCCTGCGCGACCAGACGCTGCACAACCAGACCAGGCGGGCGAAGTGCGGCGCTTCTACACGTTCGGGTCGGGCATGAACGCGCACCCGGACACGCTGCACGGCGGCGTCATCGCCACCGTGCTGGACAGCACCATGGGCAACGTCATCGGGCAGCAACTGCCCACCCGCGCGCCGACCTTCACGGTCGCCCTGAACGTGTCGTACAGGAAGCCCGTCGCCACGCCGGGCACCATCATGGCCAGGGCGTGGATCACAAAGGTCGACGGGCGGAAGATCTGGGTGCACGGCGTCGTCGAGGATGGGCGGGGCAATCTTCACGCAGAGGCTGATGGGATGTGGCTTCGGGCCAAGGCGAAGCTATAGGCATAGACGCGCATGATGGGGAAAGGGGGGGACGAATATGGTAGAGGTTGCGTATCAGAGTTTGCTCTTCTATAGAAATACACACGCTTCAAAGACGCCCGCAGCGCTAAATACACACCCGCTCAACCGATTCCGCCCATCTCGTTCTCCCGGAGGCTTCTTCAGCTTTCGTTCGTCACAGAAGCAAGACCTGGCTCGTCTGAATTCAGCCCGACTCCGAACCTGCAGAACTGCAAGACCAGATGTTTCCTAACCACCAATGCCAGCCTTACGGCGGCAAGTGCCCCCAGACTTGGTCCTTGTCCCACTTGATGTTGAACCGAGGGCCACCATGGCCCAGCAAATCCGCATCGTCAATGTCCCACGATGCCAGGTTCTGCATGAAGTACTGGTACTGGGCCTCGTTTTCCGACATCCACATCCGACAGAAGCCATTGTCAATATTGAACTCCCAGGCTCCGGGCTTGAGCACTTTCCGCATCTCCTCTCCGTCTTCGAATTTGTTCTCCACGACGCTGAGATCGGGCCTCTGCACGGTGGGATAGTCTTTGTAATACGGGTCGTTGACACTGACCCACTCGCCACAGCACCTCTCAATGCTGGGGCCGTCCAACGTCGAATCGAGGGGTTCTGACCCGGTAGCACACCACGCGTTCGGGAGCACGTAGAAAGGGGGGTCCAAGAAGCACCAGTTCCGCCAGTTGGCGGCCGCTGCAACTGCATGTCGGGGACAAGTATGCTCGAATTTCGGCAAGCCCGCATCGTACCAAACCCATTCGTGTGGGCAACGTAGGCCGTTACACCCTATCCTGACTTTGTGGAGATCCTTTGCTTTCGGAATCCCACCTGGTGTGCCAGGGGGGCACTCTACCGGGTCGAGCTCAACGTCTTTGTTCGGACACACCCATGGCTCTGGTTCTTCGGTGGTATTTCGAGGGTAGGGCGCACTTGGGACTGAGCCCGTTCTGTTGGTGGGGACTATGTGGCGTGGGAGAGCCGTCACTTGGAATATGAGCGTAAAGGTCACGGCGACAGTCGAGAAGACTCTGATAGCCATCGTTGGTGATTGATGGGGAAGGGTTCTTGTGATTGTGAGGAATAGTAGCCGATGTCGAAAGCTGATTTAGAGGGTCGAGGCGTTTGACGAGATGTGGTGAACAATCACTTACATCGTGAACGTGAACGACTTAAATATATGGCGGAGAGACTGGCAACCCTTGAGTTCCTTCAGGTCCTCACATAACTCACCTCTAGCCCAACCCTCGTGACTGCTGTCCGCGCATCTCTGGTACTTGAATCGAGAACCACTGCTCCGAAGGCCCATCCCCAAGTGCGCCAAGTCGGATACCAGAGTCTCGAATGGGGCTCGCACGCGAGGGAGCCGTTCAGCGAAGTAGATGCTGAAACCAGCATATCGAAAAGGTAAAATCCTTGCTTAGAACAGGCTGGGTCACCAATGAGGGTATTCCGTGGTGAAAGTGTGGAAGAATGTGAGGACCTGGTGCTTGGGCACGTCGTGGGAACTGCGGTGTACGGCGGAGCAGTTAATCCGGTCGCGAATTAGTTAATTGAGACGCGCTTTCACGCGTTCCCATGTCGCGGTGGGCATCTTCTCAAGGCACACTCAATACATGCAACTGAGGCCATTCCGACACAGTCTCTGAACTCTTACTGAACATGGCTCCTCTAAAGAGTCTCCTTCGGCCCTGGCAAAAGGATGAAAAATATGACGAGAGACAAAGGGCACCATCCTCCTACAATCCCCTCTATTCCTACCGACTCTCTCGAGGAAACATCAAACAGTACCACCAGCAATTCGGCGACATGTACTTTTTGCGCTTGGCCAAACTGAAGCCTGTGGTAGAAAAGATTGCTGAAGAAGACTGGGCCGACTTTGAAATCGCAGGAGAGAAAGCACAGAGAGTGGACAGAGTGTTGGACGTCCGTCAAGGGCAGTTGTGCTGGGTAGTCGGGACAATCTACATGGACATGCCGTTGAAACCAAATATCCTGGAGGATATATCGAAAGAGCATTGGGTTGCAGGAGCGCCGCCACGGCACTCATACTTGAATGTCGACGGAGAAACACAGGTCATGCTGGAGGATGAATCTGGTCGACTTCGACTGGCGGGAGCGACGCTGAAAAGTAATCTACTGGTCACCGGCGTCATAGTTGCGGTGCTGGGCACCGAAACCGCGAATGGAGACTTTGATGTGCTAGATATACACATCCCCGACCTACCACGACAGCCAAGAAGATGGGAACGGGACGATGAGGAAGACACAAAGATGGAGGTCGATCAACAACGGAAGAAGATCGCCCTTATCAGCGGGCTTGACTTCTCGGAGACGGAAGCTGACACGCTGAACACCTCACTTCTCTCTGAGTTCTTGCTTGCCGAGGCTTTGGACGAAGACGATCGGGAGGAGGCCAGCCAAATCTCTCGCCTCATAATCGCAGGCAATTCAATCGCCTCCGATCTGCTCCCAGGTCATCAGATGTCGATCGAAGATGGCAAGAAACCTGGCAATCGCAGGTATGGCTACGACGCGGCTTCATACAATCCCACACCCACAGCTCATCTCGACCGATTCCTTGCCGAACTCCTGCCCAGCATACCAATCACAATCATGGCAGGCGAACAAGATCCTGCAAACGCAAGCTTACCGCAACAGCCCATCCATCCAGCCATCCTGCCGTATTCTCGAGCCTACGCCACCAGTAACATCGCCGATCCGGAGGAGGAGGAGCCAGGATGGCTGGATAGCGTGACGAATCCTTGGGATGGTGATGTGGATGGATGGCGTTTCATGGGCAACAGCGGCCAGCCTGTGGATGACATCCTCAAGTACGTGGACTTTGGCGGACCGGACGGAAAAGACGCAGACGGGAGATTGGAAGTCATGGCCAGCCTGTTGCGATGGCGATGTGGGGCGCCCACCGCTCCAGATACACTGTGGTGCTATCCATTCCAAGACCGCGATCAGTTTGTCATTGAAGAGTGCCCCCATGTCTTCTTTGTGGGAAATCAGCCGAGATTTGATACTACGGTTATCGATGGTCCTGACGGGCAGCAAGTCCGACTTATTGCGGTGCCGCGGTTCCACGAAACTGGAGAGCTTGTCTTGGTCGATGCAGAGACGCTGGAGGTTGAGGTGGTCAGGTTCGATGTTCATGATCCGGCGTAATCGTGGCGAGGCTGTATCAAAACGCCGGAAACTTTTCCGCCTACAAAATCACAAAATTCATCAACACAAATGACCTTGTACAGTACTAGGATAATGATACTTGCATCATGACGCTATGATGGACAGATCTAGACAATGCGGATTAACGAACACACTTGTGAGTATTCACCACTTACACCCTTCGCCTTGCGAAGTTCTAATTATTCCGTCTTAAACTAGGCGTCTCCACGACGAAGGTGGTCCTGGTGCCCTACTCTACACACCATGTGCCCAAATACCATGGATGGATGAAGGATCCTGTACGTATCGATGATGCCTCTCGGGGCTCGGCTCATGGCATTATACCCTTTCACTCTACACAAGGCGATCGGTTACCCTCTCTGACTCTTTGATTTCGTTGGGAAACACAGGACATCCAGGAAGCCACGGCCTCTGAGCCCTTGACGTTGGAAGAAGAATACGCCATGCAACGCAGCTGGCGTGACGACGCGGATAAATTGACCTTCATCATCTGTCGGCCACACCACCGTGACGGCGTGGGTCGTCGCGAACAGCAGTCACATGCGCAGGCAGAGGAAGGAAAAGACCCGCTCGATCGTCAATATCGATGCGAGATTGACGCCATGATCGGGGACGTGAACCTCTTCATCTCCACTGCCGACGACGACTCTGGGCACGGCGGCGAGATTCTGGTCGGGGAACTCGAACTCATGATCGCGGAAGCCGCCCACCAGCGCCAGGGTTACGGCCGCGCCGCGCTCCTGGCGTTTCTGAAGTACATTGTGCACTACGAGTCCGAGATCCTGGCCGAGTTTCAGCAAGCGGCGGGCGACAACCACGACGCCCAGCACCACCGTGGACCTGTTGCTGCTGCTCCGACGCTCGATAGCGACCGGCACCGTTTCGACCACCTATCCGTGAAAATCGGCCGCACGAACTCGCGGAGCATGGCGCTCTTCGAGAGCCTGGCGTTCCGCAAGACGAGCGAAGCACCCAGCTACTTCGGGGAATACGAGCTGCGCCTGTCGCGCGCGGGGCTGGGGGATTTGATCGTGCACGTCGAGGCTGATGATCCGGCCGCAGCGCGCCGGGGATTACTTACGGGTTATTGTGAGGCGGGATATGCGTGCTGTTAATCTCGCGGGGTTGATCGAGGGATGGGATGCGCGAGGTGGCTCTGCGTCTGGTTGCTTCTAGATGGCAGAAAAGTCTCATGTCATAGAGGAGAGGGATAGAGCAAAAGGCATATGTCAGGGTAAAGAGCATAAATCGTAGAGCAAAGAGCAGGCCAGCATAGAAAAGGACGGATACGAGCGGCGATTACGAGCAGAGTCCTCGGGTCTTTCGTGCTCCGTGTGTAGACAACTTTAGACGTGTGATTTTCTACGCCTTTGTCCTGTCCCACCGAGAGTCCGGGTGTTGTGTGAAATTCCAAGGATGATGGAGGGTGATCTCTTTCGTTCTAACTAGGTCGAACCGTCACGTCCGTGCCTGACTACCTAGCTAGCCATCAATGCATCCTCGACAAGCCATCCATCCCGCACTGATCCTCTGACTTCCCAACAGGACGGCAATGCGATGCCCTTGGCCCTTTCGGTCATGTCTAGTTCAATTCGTTTGATCTTGTATCGTGTCATTACAAAGCCTAGACACTCCATACTCTCACCAGCCCATTTTGTTGATTTGCGTTTCAGTAATCGGTCATAGGAAAACGGAAACAATTCTTTTCTGCCGTCGCTCTGGCTGTGGTTGCCTTCCACGGTTCTCCTACCCTTCCGGCCACTTGATGCGAGCTTTCTTGTAACAAAAGACTTTTAGTTCTTCTTGGGCTTCTTGTTCTTCTTGCCGATTTCAGTGAAGGGCATCGCTGCAGGGTGAGAAGACAAACTGTTAGCCAGAGTCCAATGTCCAAAAATGATCTGCCTGGCAAGGTACGGGAATGAATGATTCCTTGAGGCGTCGGGTCTCTCAGCCCCAATGATTCGAGGGTTTGACGCTTCCCAGCTCCCTCCTCACTTCTGCCAGTTGGTCTCTTTCCGGTCGACCCCCGTGTGTCTCTGATTCACGCCATTCCAGTTCCGATGCACCCAGAATTCCCAAAAACAACGAATTCGATAGCTGCGCGGGGTATGGCCAAACTTACTAGGTGGGAGACTCTGCTTGATCTTGTCTGCTTTGTCGGAGTCCTTGAGGATGAGGGTGTACAGGTACCGCTTGCACCGGATCTTCATCTTGATGTCCTTTGACTTGGGGGATTTCTTGAGGCGCGCGCCTATATGCCGTAATAACCGAATTAGCAGATGATCAGAACAATCTCTTCACTGTATAGCAAATATTGCCGTTGCGCCTGTCCACGAATGCGTGGACTTGGGGTAACGTATTCAGGGCAGCGAGCGGCCGAGGATGGACAGGACACTGTGTAGATCCAACAGACTCTATCGAGCGCAAGAGGACTAGCGACGCAGTCCCTAGGCTTGGAAGGCGAGATATTGAGGGAAGCACAGCAGCTTCGGGAGACGTTTGGGGCCGCACCTTTGGCATCCTTTCTGCGGGCAATTTCGAGGAATTGCTTGATATCCGTGACTTCGGAAGGCATCTTGAAGGACCTGTGTGGTCGGCGAGGGGCAATGTGAACGACAAAGATGAGGTGGTGCGTTGTCGACTTGAACTCGCTGAGACAGTTCCCAATCGCAGTTTCCGTACGGGCTGCTTGTCAAAACTGAAAATGCGATTGTGGGCGGGGAATCCTCGGCGGCTCACTAGCGCCCCGGAGTTTGTCGGATATAAACCTCGTGCTTGACGAGGCTGAAGGCCACATGTCAGTCGCCACGAGGCTGCTGACGGGGTACTGCTGCTGCAGGATATCACCCATATTCTTCAGTGATGATTGCTACCAATACTGTGATGTGCGGGGAATATCTGTCCTTGTACACTTATCGGTCGGTTCTTTCCACGCTCAAGGCCAACCAAAATACGCAGACGTATAGTGCATGCTATTGTCAGCAGTAAGTCTGCACATAACAGGGGTATCTTTGTCTCGTCTATTGTCTCGTAAGTCGCTCTCATGAAACACTCTGTATTGAGTAGCTGTCTCAGCAAATGCACATTCCAATCTTCAGAACCATCATGTGTGACTCCGACTCCAGCAGTCCCGACACACCTGCTTTCCTCGAAGTGGACTATTTCTTGCTCAAGCCCTTCAACCACTTTGGCAGCTTCTTCTTTCCCTCTCCGCTCCCTTCACTTGTCTCCTTGGTCCCCACATTGACTTTGATGCCCGGCTCCTCATCAGCCGCGACATCCACGGTTGGGAGATCCTGCACTTTCACTTCTTGAGCCTGCTCCCTCAACTCCACCTTCAGAACAGACTTTACACTTCGCGCTTGAATGCTCGCTCTGTGATCATCCCATTGAAATGTGACTAGGACTCGACCTTTGAGCTGAAGGTCTTTGATTAATTTCTTGCCGCTGTCGTCTGGGATGACTTCATTTTTCCCTCTGATACCGGGATTTCGAAGCATGAAAGCCTCTGATCGGTACTGCTCTTCTAGACACTCTCGAACAAAGCCGTAGAGATCTGCTGCGGTATCGGCCGGTTCGAATCTGGCACTGACGGCACTCTGATCGGGAAACCGGACTTTGATCTCGACTTCCTTTACTGCCGCCCATTTGGCCGCTTCTTCTTCGGCTTGGGCTGCAAGCTCGGCTTCTGTCGGTAATCGGACGTTTCTTGAGTTCTGCTGCAACAGTTTTTGGTGGACCTGGGCGTGTTCTACCGTCGGCGTATAGTCCGATTCATTGTGAGACATCATGGCGGCGGACGGAGTGGATGAGCTTGGCGGCCGGAAGACGGAGACGGGACGACTTGTTGACGAAGTCACAGTTTCGGGTTGTGAGGGTAATGATGCGGATGTTTCTTGTTGAGGCTGAGGAGCTGGCTGCGAAGGCCGCTCCTCTTTCCACTCTGGCTGTGTCTCGGCTGATCCAGCCGGTGTCTCTCTTGAGGATGGAGTCTCTTGTTGGCGCGGCGGTTGGGCACCTGTTCCCTCGACTGAATCGAAATAGCTTTGTATTTGAGCCATGGCCTCTTCTAGAGGAGTTTCGGTCGTCCGGAAACTCAACCTCAAAAGAGCCGAGCCGCTGTTGAGACCCAGTTGTGCTAGAGACTTTTGTAGGTCCGTAAACGACGCCAATTCTCTATTCATGACCTGTATCACCGGCTGTTCGTAATACAGTCTGCCCGCACCGCCACTGCCTTGACTCACAGCTGGTACCCCTCTGGCAGTGAAATTCCAGGGACCGCTAGCACCTCCCCCCGCGACGCCGGCTTCGAATTTCCTGAGCACAAGCCATAGTGTGGTTGAACTAGGGAACTTGTCCGTGAGTCTGGCATTGGGTACACCTCTTGCTTCTGATTCCGGGAGTTGCAAGGCTATTGAAACGACGCCGGCGGATTTGGAGAGTTGAACCAGTTCTAGTTTTGCGCCTGATGACAGACCCGAAAGTCGAATCGTTCTGGAGATGTCGACAGGTTTGTTATTATGTCTGCAAAGGAACCGTTAGTCAACCTTGTGGTGCGTGGCGTGACCAGAGCGAACTCACTTCAATCCATATTGAGCAGCGTTGACCCCCAACTTCGTGCACGCCTCTTCGAGAACCTCACTGAGGTTCTTGCCCGGGGTAGTCTTGATCGTGGCCCTTCGAGCCGTCGAGTCTATCACCACTACGTGAGAAGCCATGGTAGATCGTCAGGCGACTGCCTGGTGGGGTAGCGTAGAGGGAGTCTCTCTTATGTTGCGTGGAAGGTGGACAGTGACTGTGTTGGTCGGGCGTTGGAAGCCGAATAGATTGTTCAGTAGAAGTGTCTAGAAGTGTTGCGGCGACCGGATTAGGTCGTGGGTGTAATGTGCATAGAATGGGTTGGATGCTGCCCTGGGCTTTACTAACGACTCCGCAGGGGCGGCGAAGATGAGCATCGCAGGCGTGCGCAGGCAAGCAGGTCGGCGTCATGGCGGAGGAATTAGCTAAGCTGGCCGCCCATTGGGCCCTGTAGCTCTTAGCGCCATCTTCTCCAGTTTGAGCCTCACTCGGGCATCAGCCTTGTGCCTGCGGAAACGCGTTTGCATTTTGTGCCTGCGCATCCCTCTCCGACTTTCGAGATCAGTATCCCAGGCCCTGTCAATCACATCCACCACCAACTTGACGCTCTATTGTCTGACCCCCCTAATTCCTCTGCTTCTAATCTGATCGAATCTTTCGCTTCCACAAGATGGTAAGTAATCTTCAGCATCAAAATGCCAACGGAATTCAATGCTAACCAATCCACCACAGAGCTCTCCATTCGACATCAGTACTGTCTCCCCTTGCCTCTCTTCTTTTACACCCTCTGACTTATATCCCAGATGGCGGCGCGTGCGTTGCAATGGTCGGCAAGGACTGTGTTGCCATAGCTTGCGACTTGCGACTGGGCATGCAGGCGTTGACGGTGTCCAACAACTTCCCCAAGATCTTCAACTATGCTCCCAGCGTCTTTCTCGGATTGACGGGTCTGGCGACCGACGTACAGACAGTCAGCGACACCTTCCGATACAAGGTCAACATGTATCGACTACGCGAAGAACGAAACATTTCCCCTCAGACACTGGCCAACCTTGTCAGCAGTTCACTGTACGAGAAGCGGTTTGGACCTTGGTTTGTGAGCCCAGTGCTTGCAGGGATAAATCATACAACGGGCAAACCCTTCATCTGCGGGTTCGACAGTATAGGCTGCATTGATTTTGCAAAGGATTTTATCGTGTCGGGCACGGCGAGCGACCAACTATTCGGGACGTGTGAAGGACTGTGGGAGCCGGATCTGGTGAGCCACATCCAACATCCATGCGGAATAGAGTCCTGCATTTCACGGCATACCCTATCTTCCTCCGCTGTTTCCCAGATCTCAAATCTAACAATGCTTGATACCAGGAACCCGAGGACCTCTTCGAAACCATTTCCCAAGCCCTGCTAAACGCCGTGGACAGAGACGCTCTGTCGGGATGGGGTGCTCACGTCTACATCATCGAGAAGGACAAGGTGACCAAGAGACTCCTCAAGGGGCGGCAAGACTAGAGTAGACTAGACTACCGGGTCCTCGAGTCTGTGTCGTGTGTGGAAAGGGACGCAGATGGTGGATGGATGGTCCGGGCACGTGCGCGAACAGCATATGGCATATGGAAAACGGCAAACGGCAAATGGCGTTCCTATGGCTCTCCCTGAATGGAACACTTGGGGCGTTGTGATCGCTCTGTCTCTTCCTGTTTCTTTTCCTTGCCCTTCCCTTTTTTCCTTCTCTTTCTCCCTGCACCCCCTTCTCGGTGGAACATGACGTTCGTCAAGCTAGCCAGCTAGTCGCTGGGGAAAGACTCCTATGCTCCTCGCCCTCGGCTGGCTGACCATCTCGCCATCTTACTGTCTGACCGTCCATCCGTCTTGAGAGACAAGGAACCGAAACACACGGGTGAGGAGGGAAAGGGCATACATGGCTATGTGTGCCGTAAGTACCTCGTACCTAGGGGGCCGGGGATGTCTGAAAGACGGACCTCCCGTTGAAAGGACTAGAGTACGTACTGGGTACCTACTAAACAACACCTTCCAAAGGAGAGGGTCAGGCAAGAGAGAAGCGGGAGAACCAGAAGACAGTACTGCGACAGAGAGGACAAGTTTTGCTTTTTCTACCATTGTTGTCCGTCATTCATGGCTTCTCTTGACCCATCTCTCTATCCATCCATACCTGGCTGCGCCTCTCCCCCCTCGTTGTCTGTCTTCTCTGATTGTCGTCCTTGCCACCCTCCCAACTTTACTTCCCGACCCGAATCTTGCCCTTCCCACCCACCACCCCATCGAGCGCATCGTCCCAGCTACCTTTGATCGCCCCACAGATAGTCTCCATGGTGACTTCGTCGCAGATACTTTCGACCAGACCCTCCCATTTCTCATCGCCAGGGGGGAGGGCGTCGTCTCCTTGAGCGTTCCCGACACCGTCACCATCGCTGCCGCGTCGCGCCATGCCCAGGTCCACGAGCCTGCCTAGCACGCCTGGCTCGTTGATGGCGGACTTCAACGCCCTGGCGTCTGCGAGGATCTGGGCCTCGAGCTCGGTGACGAGCGACTGGATCTCGGAGACCGCCTCCTTGGAGACCGATCCGGGAGAAGTCGCCTTGGAGGATTTTGCGGGCTTTTGCGCTTTCTTGGACACGAGGGAGGTGAGGTTGGCAATGACCTGCAACGTCTCGAGTTGCGTGACGCTTCCGTGCAGGTCTTCCCAGGTTGGCACCCGGATTCCTGCGACGTCCGATCCAGCAGGACCGTCCTTGCGGCTTGTAAGGGCGGAGGAGAGCCAGGTTTTGAGGTCCGAGAAGAGATCTGGAAGGGTTTTGGTATTGTTCTGTTGAGATGCAGCAGCCATGTTGGCGCTCCCTTCTTTGAACAGAGTTATCACCTGGGCGAGAATCTTGTGGCATTCTAGATTGGCCAGTTCAAATTGTGTCATTTCCGTCGATAGATCATCTGTAGCGGGCCAGGATACATGTTGCTGCGCCTGTTTCAGATTCTCGTACGTCGTAGCGGCCAGGGAAGTCTGCGACGCCGTCTCTGCTTTCAGATAGGTGGCTATGTTGTCGAAAAGCGCCATGGCGTGAATCCATCTCTCTTTTGGGAGAGGTCCGCATCGAAAGCCCGCCAGCAGCTGCCCATCATCTTTGCGATAGCTGGGCATATACCCGAAATCCCGCTTGTCGACAAGCGGCTTTGAGGAATCTGTCAATGGTAAGACCGTGTGGTCATCAGGCTCTCCTCGCCATCGTCGGACCTTCCGTTCCTCGATGGCATAGATCTGCTTGTTCATGCTCCTCTCAATCTCCGACCGCATCTTGACGCTGTTGTAGATGTTGGAGTAGCTGTTGAACCTCAACCCCTCGCGGATTCCACGCACCAAGGCGCCATCCGCGTTCTCAAGAACCGTGAGTCCTGTTTCGAGGGCCAAAAGTGGTTCGAAATCTTGCTGCAGTTCCGTACCCGAGGCGGGGTGTAACGACGATATCCTCGTGAGGATCAAATGTCCCACTGTTTCCCACTGGAGATTTTTGACGCTGAGTTTCACAAAGTTCTCCATCCCTAAAGACAGCAGTCCGAGATGGGACTGGAGCTGAACAAGCAGGATCGTCAGAATGTAGTAGTCTTCGAATTTTGAGCGGGCGACTTGAAGAAGTATGAGGGCAAACAGAACGATGGAAGGAGAGCTTTTGCCGTTGGCAAGTCGGAGGATTGCCAGCACCGCGAGAAGGGCAGCCTCCGGGCATGAAGGGCTCTCGGACAGTGATGTCTGGTATATCTGCAGTGCTCTGTGCGCGAAATCTAGAAGATCCGATCTGGAGGCGTCGGGTGGGAGTGTGCTGTACGCGAGCTTGAGGTCGAACAGCTTTGCTAGATTCCCTTCGTGGCCAGAGACTATTTGCTTGAATCGGTCGAAGTGAGGGGTGTCAAGCTGCCGAAGAGGCTCCTTTAAATCATCGAAACAAAACCCTTTGGATGAAAACGCTTCAAAATACTCCTTGCAAGTTTCCAGCAGGTCATCCTGCTCAGCCCCATCGTTCTGGCTTTGCTGAAGATTCAGCTTTGCGAGGTAAGCCGCGCGGACAATTGGCCGGGTGCTGCAAACAGATTCGAGGAGCTCTTTGGATTTCGCTTCCAGCCTGTATGAACGTCAGCGACATGTCATCCACGTGTGGTCTTCTGAGCTTCCTGACCCATCGGCTCCCGACGATTTCGATCGTGATTTGAGCCAGAGGTTCCATATCCGATCATCTGACTGGTATTCAGACTCGGACAGCAGATCCTGGCACACCTTGAATGCCTCGTCCCATTGCTCCGAGGCTTCCAAAGACTCGAGCAGCAGAGACAGCACCAATTGCGGGTCGCGTTTGCCGACTCGGGACGCCATGTTCAGCGACTGTCCCTGCAAGAGCTTGACCGTCTCTCCCACATGGCCCGTGGAGTTGAAGACCTGTGCCAGTAACGCAATCTCCTCCGGTTCCGAGATCGCCTTTCCTGGGGATGATGCTTGCGCCTGCTGGCACGTCAGATCTTTCCAACGCCTTCTACCAAGACCGGTCTCAGGCTCACATCATTCATAGGTATGGCCTCAGCGGCTTTCGAGATCATGCGATACGCAAGCGTCCCGAACAAGGTGCGGTCCTTGTCCGGGAGGTCTGGTTGCATATGTATCAGATAGCACATGAGGATATTCCAGAACTCGTAGTCTCGTTCCTTGGAGAAGGAATTTCGCAAACCCATGGTGGCCTGTCGGATATTGGGGCCCCCCATGTCAGCCAGTTCCCCTTTCTTGCTTGTGTTGTGCGGTGGAATGGTTTTTGTGTTCTTGGTTATTTCTTTTTCTGGTCTTCACACCTTTTGAGCACTCTTCCAGTTGTTGTCTGCAACTGCTTGGTTGAGCCATCTCATGTACAAGTCCTTATCATCCTTTCTGGCGCCGAGGGCTCGCTCCCAGAGTTTGGGGCTCTCTTCGTCGTGGAGTGACAGGGTCTTGAGCGCATGTTGGAGTTGGTAGATGGCTTCTGGCTCTGTAATGGCGGGCGTGCGCTTGCAGAGGTCCAAGACCTCCTCTCGACCTCGGTCATGTTGAGTCTTGTCCGGCTGGTTTACCAGGACGAAGGCTTTCAAGGCCTTTTGCCGCGAGGTTAGAGAGAGTGCTCACGAAGTGAGTGAGACGGGAGAACCCTCACCAGAAACCTGTCAGAGCGTTCGCCTTTCTTGAACCATTTGTCGCAAAGTTGCAGGGCCTGCTTCCAGTTGGCACTCGCAATGGCATCTTGGATCGGCCGTATTCTTCGCTCGCTGACACTCGGATCGGACATTATTCGTGGGATGACGGGGCCATGCCTCGAGAAGAAATTACGAGCGCGAAGTTGCGATGCGGGGAAATTTGTGTGGACAAGGCTGAAATGCAAGAAGATTTGCGGAACCTGCCAACGGAGATCTGGTGAGCTTCACGTATTGGCTACCACAGACCCAGGCCGGCTCTGCGCACTCTCTGAACCGGGAGTATTCGAGTGGAAAGCAGATACATCTCTCAGCGCTTCTACCTAATCTTACAATGCCGTCGACCACTGATCAGCGTTCGTACCATGTTGAGCCGCTGATGTATACAGAGTACTCCCACGCTATGCTTCGACAGAGGGTATCAATTCTGCTTTTGTACAGTCCTCCTGTTTCCCACCCAGAGACACCAAGGAGCATGACCGGTGCTCACCCAAACCACGAACCTGCCTCCGCCCTCCGTTTGGCAGTCTGATCGTTTTCGTCAGTGTTTTTGCGCAAAGCGGTTGAACCTGAGCTTTTGTCATACCCATTCTTTTTTACAGTCGCGGTAAGCTCTGTCCGTGTAAACCCTGCTGTCAGCCTAGATCTCTGAGGCCGCTGTTCGCGCTCGACGCAGTCCCATCGCTGCCCGACCAGACCACCCTGAAGACGGGCTTGTTGTCGTCTCTTTCTGCGCGTGGTCCCGCTCCTGTTGCAAAGGGGGAAACGCACTTAAAGTAGTCCTGGCACATCTCCCTGTCTCCTTTGTTTCGGTGCATGCATTTTATACTCTTGTTCGCAAACTCCTGGCAGGGGTCGTAGTACTCGGAGCTTCGTTTCCTGAAGCAACTCGTTAGTTCGACCTCACGTCTTTGCATGCGCGAAATCGAAACAATGCGCATACCCTTGAAAGGTCGCTTTTGATTTCTCCCAGGCATCCGACTGGGGTTCTGAAGAAGCAGCCTGGTCGGATTGCGCCGAAGTAGCCATGATGGCGTTAGGGTGAGGGCAGTGGTGGTTGCTGGAGTCCGCGGTAGCTGCAGGGTGCTTGATGCCAAGGTGTGGTCGAACTGCTCGCCCGCTCAGGCCCGTTGCGGTCGAGGGTGACGCCGCCCTGTGCTCACCCGTCCGAGGCCTGAAACGCCAGGCCCTTTCAGACACATCGCATCTAGCCATCTCTCAACATGGGTCAATTTCTGCAATAACATCTCCCCGTCCGCAAATAGCTAAAGAGGATTGGCACGTTATGTGGGCAAGAACACACTTGATGTGCGCATATGCCGACACAGAACAGAACAGAACAGAACAGAACAGACAGAACAGCTCTGCCCCGTCCTGGTGGCACATTCAGCAGTCCTCCAAGTACCCGCCGTGGTCATGTCAATCGTTGGCGGTCTATTGATATCCGGCACGATAATCAGCTTCGGCCGCAGGAATATATGATGATGTTGAGGAGAGCGTAGGGAGTGTGAGGAGCAAAGGACGCTCGCGGCGAAGGTGTCAGCGGTTCGCGGCGTATCCACCGTGAGGAAGTTCGAAAAGTGGCAGCACAATGAGACCTCTCATACTCCTGTTCAGGCGGTCAGGGAACTTGATCACTGACGACGGTCGGGAGGAATCTGTTGCGAAGAGGCACCGACTTCACCATGTTGTGCAGGGCCTTTGCCATGGCTGGAAGCCAGGCTACCCCCATCGCTTGACAGATATCTCTGCCGGATCATTTCGATGCCTTCGTGACACCTCCTGAAAGCTGACTGTCCCCATCTCGTCTGGATCAATGAGGACCCGACACGATCTCAAAACTTTCGCAGTAGAGCAGGCTATTACTGCGCTTCGTGTGGGTTCCCGAAAGTCTTATTATGACATTTATACATTTTGTTGTTGTTGTCTATGACTCTATGTAGCTTTCGCGAAATTAGTTTTGGATGTCGCCATCTAGTTGTACTCGAGTCGTATATCGTGTATGTGTATGAAACCCCCAATTCGTGTACTGCCCTTCATTATGACCCTTCATTATAACCCTTCATACCTTCTCAATATTGCTTTTGTCGTCAACGGCATACTGATCGACGGCGCTGACAATATGCGGGTTGAGGACGAAAGGTAAGCTGCAATGACAGACAATCATCAGAGCCATTGGAACGATCGCCACAGGTTGTGTAATCCTCCATGCCAGTGGTGCAAACAACGCCATGTATATCACGCCACCAGCGAGTGGAATCATGACAAGGTACATGTATTTGAACTTGCTCACAATCTTTGGGATCTCCTTGAAGAAGTTTGAATTCTCGACTTCCTTCTTGGTCATCTCCCAGGTCATTTCGTACCCGACGATGTGGGCGATCAAAGCTTTGTTGACGTGAAAGCTGAGGCCATAGAAGTAGAAGCAGTACATCGGCTGCCACCTGAAATTTTCCCAGAGCGAACCAAAGAATGATCGTTCGCCGATGCGGAATCGCATAATGGCTAGGGCGATGTTGCTGAGGATCCAGAACACCAGGACCACGGAGAGAAAGATGGACCAGGAGGAGGTGTAAAATTTGTCCAGTTCATTCCAGTAAAGGCCAACCAGAACATAGTTGGCAATAGTGTAGAAGAAGCCGCTACCGATGGCATAATCTGTGAGACAAGGGTGTCAGCTCGTAAGTTCACTATCCGCAAGTGACAATACTCACATGAAGTCATGTATGATATAATGCTGAGCTTCGAAGACCAATGCATATCGCAAAACAAAAATTTCCTGAAAAGCCGAGTGAAGGGTCCTCTCCAGAGCCAGGTCCAAATGGGATTGAACAAGAGTTCACTGTCGCCGTAAGAGTATCTTTCCCATCGACTGATTTCATCGTATATCGTAAGAGAGACTTGCTCCTTGAACTCGTCTTGATGATAGGAAGCGTATCGAGTGACCCAGTTGGCGCTTTGAAGTCGAATGCTCATGTTGAAATCCTCGGAAATGTGATATTCAGACCAGTACATGACATAGTTCGGATCACCCGTATCTATTGCGACGTCTTGGAGCGCTTTCCAGCGCACGAAAGCGTTGTGGCCGACGAAGGGGGCGCATTCACCATTGCTGACTTGGAACCGAATCTGCGCGTAACACATTTTGGCAAAATAAGTAGCACCGTTCTCGAAAAAGTCGCCCGAAACTTGATACACAGAGGTGTGGTGCTGAACGATGGCGACTTCTGGCGAGAGGAACATTTCTGCTGCTCCATTGATGAGGCAATCCCGGGGCTTTGGACCCGTCAGCTCAATACTCGCAACCAGGTATCCATGGACTTACAACCCGAGTATCGGAATCACACATCAGGATGACTTCACCTATACGGATGTTTCCAGCGGCTTTGACTCGACTATCCTTAGCCAGTTCTTCGGTCAAAGCTTGGTGATAGAGAACGTCCTCTTCCGCCGGGTCGATGAAGACTGGGCTTCCATCTCTGACTTTGCTGTGGGCATGCACGAGTTTTGTGAGAGTTCGCTCGACTCTGTTGGCAAAATTCATGCAGAAGTTCGAATTTGAGGCTTTCTTGAATCGCCCGGTACGAAAGTATCCGTTCTCGCCGTTCATTGGTCGGGCTACCCAGCTGTGGTGAAAGTCAGTAAAGGAGTTGCCAGACAGCTGTGTATGACGTTTACCCAATGTTGTTGGCTTCGTACCATTCGATACGAGCTTGAGCGGCAGCAGGGTCGCTATGAAGGAGGTATCCGAGGCCATCATCCGTGATGAAAATATTGGCCTTTCCTCCTTTCAACTCGTAGTCTGAGACTGCAGCCATCAGACTTCGGACCGTGGGGATAACGACCAGCTCTAGTGACTCCTTGTAAACAGCCATTTGTATTGTGACTCGTGGAGGAGTAAATCCTTGATCATACGCTTGCTTGAGGTTTGGCCTGTTGCTTGAGAAGAATCGTGTGTTGGTGAAAAGGCCCGTGATGGGTCCGAAAAGCTGGAAGGCATAAGTCATCAGAGACAGAGAGAAGAACATAGCCACGATTAGGGTGAGTGGCTCGAAGGCAATCCAGACGAAACGCATGCGATCGCCGTCTGTCAGCATCTCGAGGACGAGATGAGATGTGGTGTAGCCGAATATGAGGAAGACCAGGAAGAATATCGAACAAGCCATGATGATTGCGCCATAGAGCCTTACTGGGCGGTCGAGGGATTCTTTTTCGAGCTCTTGTTCTTCCAAATCCGAGATCTCTGTGACTTCGGTTGTGAATCTGTCCCTCTTCGATTTGTTCCACACGCTTAGAGAACTCGCAGTCAAAGCCCTGGATGTGTGATGGGCGGCGGTGAAAGGAGTATCCCCCCATATCTAATGTTCAATCAGCACTCTTCTGGCTGGCAGACAACACACACCAGTCTCGGTTGTCGGAACTCACTAGTTTCATCAATTCCTCTTCCGTGGCGACCGCTTGTTGCAACAGCTTGTCAACTTCGTCATGCCATACTAGAAGAATTCTCTCGCTTCTGATTAATGCTGCGTAGGGAAATCTTCGTGCCTGAGCAAGCCCAATTCGCATGAGGTTGGCCATGCAGTCGACGACTTGGAGATCCAGGCCATCACCAAGCATGATTCCATGATCTTCGTCACCAATGACATCGAAGATGGCCTCTGTCGAATCCGTAGCAATGGCAAAAGCTGCCTGAACGCCCAGTTTCGCAACCGTGCGAACCAGCGATTCTGGGAGGTCCTGTGGCTCGACGCTGTAGGTGCCATTGGATTGACGCAGGAGGACACCGAGTGGCCTTTTTGGCAGGTTGATGTCGAACCAACCATTGGCAGTACCTTTTCCATGAAGGAACTTTGTCATCTACGCCTCGATTGTTAGCTCAGCTTTCCTAGCATTTGCGCAAGCTCTTACCGTTCGGTGCCTCAGTGCTTCATCGAAGTTGGCTTTGTCCAGGCGCCTGCTCTGGTGGCTTGACACGGACACACCTGAAGAGTTCGGCTGCGAGAAATGCAGATATTGAGGCCTCGCCAGAGGCGTAGACGCACCTGTCTCCGAGAGTGCAGCCATCGTCGGTGTTGGTGGTAGAAGCAAAGAAGCTTGGTCTGTACATCAGCCTGACACGTCGAGTGCACCGAGCCTTGTCAAAAAATAAGAACGGTGAACTACTGATGAACCGAGAAGATTTGTTTACCGACCGAGACGGTGGCTTTTCGCTATCTCCCGCCCTGGCCACCATCCAGGGAGACCCGTGAGTGCGAAGCGTAGACTTCCCGCATGTCCGTCACGTACTTTGTCCGGATGCATGGTTCTGCTCGCCGTCGGCCATCGTCGCGTCCTGCATTGTGTGATTTGAACGGCATGGTGGCGTGCATCTAGCTCAGCCGTTCAACGCAGCGTTGAGGTTGGCAAATCTCAGCCTGCCGTGATGATTGGATGTGTTCTAACTGCAGGAACAAGACCTGAGATCCACCTCGGCGTGCTAAGATCCGGACATGGAGGCTTCCGCAGCTTAAACCTGGAGATCTCGTGGCTAAGACTTTCTGGGCTGAGACACTGCATGGTGTCATGGCGTCGAACGGACCTCGTCACGTACGGACAATCTCTGGGGCTGGCTATTCATGGACCTCTGGGACCTCTGGGACCTCGGGGCTGCGACACGGCCGTGACAGCACATTGTCAGCTCGCCACGCACAACCCAGGGGGTAAATCCAGGGTCATCATCGATAGGGCGGTGGCTCTGCCTGCTTTACCAATGATATCTCACAGTCAGAGGATCGTCACCTCGGGTCTGCACTGCTCAGCGACATTGTATCAGCCTTCTCCGGCAACATGGCCTAGCACTTGCCTCATGTGCGATAGGAATGTTCTCTATCTTGTTGGAAACCTGGTTTCCCGCTCCTCGCTAACGGGGTTTAATTTCACGGCCAACTTCTGAACCGTCCCGATTGAACATTGGACAGGGTTCATGCACCGAGAGTAATATTGTGGCTGGCATGGCTGGCATGGCTGGACATCCGCCTCCAATAACGCGGGATCAACGTTTCCAGAGCTAGTTTCGCACACCGGTCTCGTTCAGCCAACACCGAGTACTAATCTAGAGTTTGAGTGACACTGCCGGGGCGAAAGGCTACTCCCACTTCTGCGCGTCGAGCACATGTCTCACGAGAACAGTCTGTAAGAGCACATGAAAGTCGCCACCCATGCCGATCGATTTGGGTGAACTGCCAACAACAGCTCGACGCAAAAGTTGAATGCCGCTACGTTATCATTGTCTCGCAGCCACCTTGACGGCTTTTGTGTGTCAGTCAGTCTCGAGCAAAGACGAGAGAGAAGAAGATGACGTCGCCGATCGCAAACTCTCATGACCCCGACTTCCTCTATGCAGCGCATCAAGCAAGTCATCCAAGTCCCCAGACGCCAAGCAACAGCAACAACGAGGTCGCATCGATAGAGAACTATGGCTACAATCGTACCCGAGACGGTTCCGAGGAGGATCTCTTCCGAGGCCTCAACAGCTATCGTGTGAGCGGTATGCGCCACCATGAGTTCAAGACGTATTTGCTGGACGGAAAGTTAGTTGCTCTTCCATCTGTTCTCCTCTCTAACTATTCGAGCATCATTGACATGAAGCAGGATTGAGAAACCTTGGACTGCGGACAAGAAATACAAAGCGCCTCGCAAGGGCAATTGGTATATCCTTGGAGGGCTTCTCCTTGCGATAGCTGTCAGCGCTGTTGTGAACTGGAGGATCGCGGTCGGCGTTCCCCACCACGAGGTTCGGCTTCCCATTTGCGTCTGACTGTGGTTCACTGACACGGCGTTTTCCTTTGCAGTATTGTCTAGTCTTGGACGATTCCTTCAGCACCCTCGATAAATCCATCTGGAGCCATGAAGTCCAACTTGACGGGTTTGGTACGGGCTCATTCGACTGGACAACAACTGATGGCCGAAACGCCTTTACTGATGGAGATGGACTTCACATCGTTCCCACTTTCACAACTGCCACGACCGATATTACTGAAGGCGAAATACACAATGGGTCAGTAGTTGCACGGCCCCTGGGCTGCTGAAAGATGCTAACCTGTGGATCAGTTATCATCTGAACTTGGGCCAGTCAAAAAATGGTGACGGTTCATGCACAGCCAACAAAACTGCCGAATACTATGCCGATGAATGCAGCAGGAACTCCAACATTTCCTCCCACACAATCATCAACCCCGTGAGATCAGCACGCCTTACTACGCAAGGTGCAAAATCGATCCGGTATGGTCGTGTTGAAGTCGTGGCCAAGGTGCCAAAGGGCGATTGGCTCTGGCCGGCAATCTGGATGATGCCCGAAGATTCTGTATATGGAATCTGGCCGCTGAGTGGCGAGATTGATATCATGGAAAGTCGCGGTAACGCACGTGGCTACAGAAACGGCGGAAGAGAGACAGTCTCAAGCACGATCCATTGGGGTGAGCGAAACGCAGTCTCGGTTTCGAGCGTTAATCTTTGTTGAACTGAAACACGGCAGGTATCTCGTGGAAGACGGACAACTTCTTCAGAACCACACAAAAGCACACAATTCAAAGAACCGACTATTCCGAAGGCTTCCATACCTTCGGTCTGGAGTGGTCAGAAGATTACCTTTACACATGGGTCGACAATCGACTGCAGCAAGTTCTTTACGTCGACTTCACGAAACAGGATCTCTGGCAACGCGGCCATTTCCAAGGTGACTACGAAAATTCGACTGAATTGACCAACCCCTGGTTCAACGGAAACAAGAATGCACCTTTCGATCAAAAATTCTACCTGATTCTCAATGTTGCGGTCGGGAGTCGCAATGGCTGGTTCTCGTACGTTTTGGACTGGGGCAGCCTTGCCTCTGTGTTTCACCATCGCTGACACATGTTATACAGGGACGGAGTTGGTAGCAAGCCATGGGTTGACGGAAGAGATTCTGCCGCCTCTGACTTCTACGGCGGTGAGTCCAGTGTGACCTGTTGCCTCTCACAATCTATGCTGACACGTCAATTAGCCAGATCGTCGTGGGAACCGAGCTGGGGAACGGGAAACGAACGCGGTCTGACGGTCAAGAATGTCAAAATGTGGCAGCAAGGTAAATGTAGCACATAGAACACAAATGGGATGTAGACTAGAACACACATGGGAGGTAGACTAGCACACGATTGGGATGGACACAATGGGAGCGCATTTTCGAGCCTTGGTTATATATGCTTAAATAAAGACGTAAGTCCACCCCCTCCACCATTTCGTCAACAACAATAAACTCCCTCACCATTACCACCACCACTACTACCACCACCACTACTACCACCACCACTACTACCACCACCAC